ATTTCTTGGATATTAATAATACTCTGAAGAACGAATAAGCCAGCCACGATAAAAGATATTTTTAGGGTATGGATTGGAGCTCTTCTTAGTGGCTCCACATCGAAGGGCTTTATAATTGTAGTTGTAGTTTATAGATCCATAGAGAGTGGCTTCAGCAGCAAGTAGCCCGGGTAGTGGTCGGGACTCGGGAACATGGGTCGTCTATCAGTAAGGCTATAAATACCGCGGTCTGACGACGTTAGATCGGTGATCCGTCATAATACCGATAATAATGAGTGGAGCAGCACAGACTTTGATGACTTAGGGCTGGAATCGTGGGTGGTTAGGGAGTTGTCTGTGTACGATTTCAAGTTGCGGATCCTGCAACCTTGACCATCTTCTCGCCCTGAAAAACTCCTCCCTTAGAGATATACTGGTAGATTCCCCATAAAATACGTATTAGGACACACGAATCTACTTATGAAAGCAATCATCCCGAGAGCTGCCTGTTCAATGCTCCTTCTGAAACATATGATTTCATACCTGTCAACGTTGCATTCTGTCCCACGTTGCACCACCGAAAAAAATGCAGCAACAGCCACTTGGCATTCACATTTGCTGGAAGGATTTCTCGTACAGTTACATAGCTCTCCGCAGCTTATGCTGTGCACTCCAGTTTCTAGTCAACCACAAAGTGGACCTCGCACAGGATAGATTTCGGAGAAAGAGGGTGCCTATTTCCCTTTCTTGGTATTCCATGCGACTCTGCTTGGCTCAGATACAGTGCCGAGGAAAAAAAGGAAGGCTCTAACCTTTCCCGCCCGTTGGCGCGTCTACTACAGCGTTGGGACATGGGTCCTGCGTGGCAGTGCTAGCTAGCTAACAGCGAACTAGCTCTTGACTCAGTACTACTCCGGAGTAAGCGAGAGTTGACGGGTCGAGCCGAGGAATATCTCGCCGAAACAACGATCGTGAATGAATCAGTTTTTCGCGTCGATCAAACGCAGGACCTGGTCTGATCGTCAGGCGTGAATTTTCTGCCGCTAACGCCGAAGTCATTCTTGCTGCCTAATGGAGTGCATCGAATGAAACGGACAAGACGACGAACAAGCTTTGCTAGGCTCGGAGACGGCGGATCCGTCGACGGAGCCCGCGTGTCCCGTCGCCTGGTACCTTTTCTGTAGTGGATCGAGACCGTTGTTGGATTGTGTTTTTGGTCGGCCAGGAACCTCGGCGAGGATGAACCATTGGGTCTGTCCGCGGAGTTTCAACTTTCTAGGGTAAGCGTGACAAGATGCCCTAACGCGGGAAAAAAAAGAAAAAAAAAAAAATGGAGACAGGGTCAGGTCAAAGGCTATCAATGGCTATAAATACTTGTAAAACCAAGAAAAGAACAATATCTCTCCAATCAGATTCACCATCGTCACTCCACTCGGATGCGGAAGTTGCAGAGACCAACCAATCGTGATAGAAACCGGCCCTCCCCAGGCATCGAAAGAGTTGGCATTGGGAGGCTTGCATAAGTCGGTGATACCAATCAGTTGCCCACTACTACTACTTAAACTCGCGGTCCGGCTGACGGCAGTCGAGCGTTTGGCTGGACTGGAACCTCTGCTTGTATCCGTATCCCCGTCGCGAAACCTCATCGACCCATTTAACGAGTCACTGTACATACCGACAACGAAATTATGTGCTGACAGCACCATTCACCTTCAGTCACCCCCATCAAGGACATCTTTACTCTGTGACACGACCTCGACGGTCCATCTCCGACACATCCGGCCACCATGGGTATCCCAACCGCGGCCATCATCGTTATCGTCATTGTCGCCTGTCTCGCCGCTGTCTCGCTGGGCGCCGCCATGTGGAAACAAATCCATCCCACCGACTATTCTGCGCATCGATACAATTATTCTCGTGACCAGGAGCTCTATATGCGGTCGGTGCGGTTGAAAAACCTAGGGGGTCTTCGACAAGAGTCGCGCACGAAGGCACCCCCGCCGAGGGATCTCGAATCTGCGGTTTGTACGTCGCCTGCTGTTCCTCTATAGGCTTGGTTCAATTGTGAGTGGGCTAATGGGTGCTGGTCATGATCTAGATACGGAAGATGGCTCGTCGCGCTTCTGAGTCGCTCTTTGACGGTCGCCCTTTGTCCACTTTCTGGTGGAGTGTATTTTGTGACGATGATTATCGCTTTGGCAGTGGCGTTGAATGGCGTTGGTTTACGTGGATATATCCTGGGCTTGACCCTCATGATCGTGTTTTCTTTTTCTTTTTCTCTTGCTCATGAATCACAAAAGTGTCGGGGCGTGGAATGCATATGTGCCGCATGAGATATGTTTGCCGGAACTTTCCAGTTCGTTTGTCTTTACTATGTCCAATTCGCAGTACGGTCCCATCTCATTCCTTGATCTTGTTTTACTGCAAGTAGTGGTAGTTTGTTGTTTAACCTTAGCCGTCGAGGGTTCCGGCGGTAGATTTTCTTTGGCTGAGGCTCCATGAGACTGACAGTGAGAAGGTTTGGGGTACGACACGGTCTATTAGTACCTATACTATTCTGCGATTCGCCCCGGTGGAGAGTCGAAATAGTGGGGACAAATGACAGCGGCGAGCCCTAAAGTTCCACGACGACGAATCTGATAAGCTCACGCACATGATTGGGGCCTCGGTGCTACCTTTGGCGAGAAGGGTAGAATACTATTGAGATTGCATACGTTAATTGGAATGCATTGGGCAAGAGGTGTTTATACATCGGCCAGGTGGGCGTCCAGAGAAACATATATTGCGGAAGCCCCAGTGTGGGGAACGCTCCTCGCAACAACACCAGGCCATCCACTACTGTCTTGATTACATATACACGTAACCGTGTCGATAGGATCTTGACTTATTAGTATTACAGGGGAGTTATTAGTGCTGTTGTTTTCATTCGCGAACGTAACAGTACGCTGTCCGACTTCAGCTTGGCGAGGCTGCAGATGCTAATCGATAACGACGGCAAGATAGACCAGCTCCTTGCGTCCACTAAACAAGCATCATCTTTTAACCGAACGCTAATCCCCGCTGGTCAATTAGTTCGGTCCCGACTGGTTCTCGCCACAAACGCGAGCGATGGCGTGCTTCCACGATCGAAAAGAAAGTAGTCCCCCAGGATTCCGAACCACAACCACCTGCACCGGCATGCAGAAAAGTGAGGAACGTGCTTGCTATCTGTAACCAGGACTTGGCCAGATCGTATATGCGCCATGTCGTATCCGATTGAAAAGGCAGCCCCCCCCGCCGATTCTCCGCCAGAGACGTCGGATGTCGAAAGATGCAAGTCAAAAGAGGGCTCAGAACCGCCTCCGCAGCCCACGACAGAGCGACAAAAATGGTATCAATGGTTTGCGCCGACAGATACTCCCGCCGAGCGCCGTCTGATCCTCAAATTGGACGGCTTGATCATCGTCTTCCTCTTTCTGGCCCATTGGGCGAAGGTGTTAGATTCGTCAGCGACGAGCACTGCCTATGTGAGCGGGATGAAAGAGGATCTAAAGTTGTATGGGAATCAACTCAATTATCTCAACACGGTGTATATGTAAGCTCGCTGTTAGGTGGCATGCAGGGGGTGAAGGTTCCTAACTGGTCATGCAGGGTTGGATTCATCACGATGCAGATTCCCCTGACATTGGCGGTTAGTTGCGTATTGGCGACGAGTGGGTACCAACATGCTAACAGGACGGCTTAGATGACCCGCTGTCCGGTGAACTATTTCCTCCCGGCGGCAGATTTATTTTGGGGCGTGTTTACCCTGGCGCAGTACAAGGCCAGCACCGTCACCCAGCTTTACGCGCTTCGTTTCTTTGTCGGAGCCCTTGGTGGCTTCTTTTTCCCTGCTGTTCAATGGTATCTGGGCAGTTGGTATAAGAGGTCGGAGCTGGCGCGTCGGGGAGCGATCTTTTTCATCGCGAGCCAGGTGGGCAGTATGAGCTCAGGGTATATCCAAGCCGGTGCCTATGCACGACTGGATGGCCGATATGGGATCGAAGGGTGGAGATGGCTATACATCATCTGTAAGCCGCGTCGCCCCTACAATTCACAGATGTACCCTCTAACAGAGATCCACAGGCTTTGCCTGTACTATCCCCATTGCGTTTCTCGGTCTATGCCTACTTCCGAGTACCCCAGACCGATGCAACTCCCGCTACCTCACGCCGGATGAGATTCGTCTAGCACAAGAACGCATGGCTGCCGAACACCGCGAGCCCCGTCAACCATTTACTATGCCCAGAATCATCACCATCCTGAAAGGGTGGCGTATTTGGGTCCTCGTCGGCTTCGCCTTCTTCTTCTCCCAGGCAGACGGGGTCTCCTCTAATAGCGGCCTGTCCCTCTGGCTCAAAGAAGAGAATTACTCCGTCGAATCCATCAACACCATCACTACCGTGTCGCCAGCCGTCACTATCGTTGCCTCGATTGTGTGCGGCGTGATCTCGGATATCTACGATGCCAAGGTCTCGTTAATCGCTATCACTGCGCTGCTCAACATCTTCGCCTGTCTGGTGCTTGCCATCTGGAACGTCCCGGTCGGGCTGAAATTCTTCGCATTCTTTCTGTCCGGCACGGCGGACGGCATTGCGGCCATCATCTACGCCTGGGCGAACGAGATCTGTGCACGCAGTGCGGAGGAACGGGCCTTGGTCATTAGTGCCATGAATACTATTGGGAATACCTTTGGCGCGTGGATTCCACTTTTGTAAGTGATTCTAGCCCGTGCGTGTAGTGGATGCCTCCGCTGACTTACGATCACAGCGTCTGGAAGACGGTGGATGCGCCCAGGTATTTGATTGGATATAATTGGAATTTGGCGCTGGATGTCTGCATGTTGATCATGCTGTTCGTGCTACGGCATTTCTGGGTGAGGGAGAAAAGGATGGATAGGGCATGAAGCGAGATGCGCACGTTCTTGCCATGGTATATGATGATATACGAACGACTTGGTTTTATACACCCCATGTTTTAGCTTGATAACTGTAATGAATATACTATACTCCTCGCGATATAACAGCATCATGGTGTCCGAAATGCTTCATGAACCGTCCGCGGATCACCCGATGCTCGCGTTCTCCGATAGCAATCGGCCACAGAACCCTGGCAGCACCATCTTCAAACCCAATCGGACAGCCGTCTGCATGCTGACACTCGGGTGCAGCACTCATATAACCAGGATCTACCGTATTCATGGCGACATGCCGCTTCCACGCCGACTCGCTCTCCGTCTCCGTGATCATATTCAGCGCCGCCTTGGACATATTCGTGTGCACATGGTGACCGGCTTTGCTCGCAGACCTGTTCCTGGTCTCCAGGATGCCCTCCCGCGAGGACACATTGACGATGTATCCCAAGGGGCGAGACGACTTCTCAGTGGCGCCCATCCGGGGCAAGAGCTCGCGACATAGGATCAGCGGCACGAACGCATTAACCGCCTGCGCGCTGATCACATCCTCGTACGGGATCTGGTCCAGACGCTGGACCCACGACGACCTTGACTCATCCTCGCCCGTTCCATCCGGACCCAAGCCCTTCTGCACGATTCCAGAATCTTCCACCGACTCTGACTCCGCGCTACCTGCAATCTGTAACCGCACACGATCCTCAATGCCGCCCCACGCACTGTGCGCTCCACCCCGAAGCTTGGGCACATACCGCTCCCCATAATCCGCAATCAGCCCATGGTGCCCCCCAGCCTCCTCCTGCTCCAACTGCTCCTCCCGCATAATGGCCTTCGTCTCAGACCGCACCGGATCCGTCAACGTCTGCGCCGCATTGTTAATCAGAATATCCAGTGTAGCCCCCCTCCCATCCCCCTCCCAATCATCCAGTAACCTCTTCACCACCTCCACAAGCCGAAACGCATCTCTCGCCGTGCGGAAATCCGCGCCCACAACTCTCAGGCGGGACGAAAAGGCGCCAAAATCGCCCTCCCTCGCATACCGTACGACCGCGTCGCGCGGATACCGCGAGGACACGATGACGGTCGCACCACAGCGCAGCAGCCGCAGGGCGGTTTCATAGCGAGGTTGATTCGGCCGCCGGTGACGAGGGCCGTCTTGCCCCTCAGACGCAGATTCGGTGGCTGCGAGATGGCCGACGAGGCGAGGTTGAAGGAGCCGCAGGGGCGACACAGCGACGGGTACGTATCGTGCGCCTCGCCCGCCCGGATCTCGAAATGGCACATGTAGCAATTGCGCTTGCGGCGGCGGGCCTTGTAGCTGGCTTGCGTGTTCGCGCGGCTGTCTTTGTGGGCCGTGTGCAGGTGGGTCACGGCGCGCAGCCCGTCTTCGAATGCCAGTTGCGTTTTCACGGAGGATATCACGTCTGTGAACGGGCTGCTGCTGCTGAGCTGCGAGATGGATGGGTGCTTTTGGAGGTATTCGAGCACGCGCAGCGCGGATTGGAAATCCTGCGTTCTGGGGATTATCCCCGTGCCTTTTTCGCTGGTGGCCGACGTCCAGGTTGTTGTACTACTCATTTGGTTTACGGAGCTTTGATGCCGCTGATGATCCCCTGGCATTGCAGTATGCGGAGTGGCGCGGGGATGGTGGTGTCGGGGATGAGGTGTTTGGACACGGCGTCCAGGAGCTCACAGGGATGTGTTGGGAGGTGCATGGCGAGCGGGCTGGGGAGATGCTTCTCCTGGCAGAGGATCTGGTCGCGGCGGAGACATGCTGCGATTGTGGATGGGGACTGGGTCTGGATGAATTGGGCGTAGTCTTGTTGCTCTTCTGTTTGGAGCATCTTGTAGTCGGGTATATATGCGTGATGGTTGGGAAAGGGTTCGGGACATCGCGTGGACTATATACTACTAGTAGGGCCCTGAGGCTGAGACCGAGAACAGGCGATGTGGGGCCTCGCTCATGAGTCACTCAGCTTTTTGGCCCCATTAGTAGGGCTAACGTATCTGCTAGCACGTATCCATGACATATATCTACCCACCGCAGCCTCCCCCAATGCCCATGCCACCAGAAAAGAATCACTACGACTTAAGCCCATACATCCACGAAAAATGGCGCCCAAAATCCCCCTCCACAAAGTCGTCGCCTCCCTCAACACCCTCCCCAGGGAACTGGCCCACCAAATCCTCAATGACATCCGGATGTGGGACATCCTGCGTCTTATCTGCCACAACAACGCCCACATCAACACCGACATCCTCACGCACCCAACGCTGGGCCGCCTCTTCCACCACGAGACCAAGATCCTCGACGAAGTCCGCACATCCGCAGACCTGTACCGCACGATCTGCACAGCCTACAGCCTCACCGCCGCACCGCTGACGTCGCCGCTGGCCCTAAATGCCCAGGCCTTCCCGTCAGACTACAAGGAAATCACCAATTACATGCACCACCGGATCATCGACGAACTATATCTCGAGCCCTGGAAGGCGGAGGTCCTGAGTCGCTATGCTCCGCTCCCCGCCGTATGGGAGAAAGGTAGCATCGCCGGGGTAACAGCCGTGTGGAATACCATTCAATCCGCACAGCAGAAGGTCAATATGCGGAAAGCTCGCCAGCTGCGCACGGCAGCGGACTTGCTCGAGGCCAATCCCGATGTCTTAAAGAAAATGATCGACCCCAGCCAGACGCCGCGGAAGAATATCCCGCATATTGTGCAGCGGCTCAGGGGCGCCGAAAGGCGGGTTGCGAGGCAGTCCTTGCTGCGGCGGGATATGTTGGCCGGCATGTCGTGGTTTATGTACGGTCATTTCCCGTTGGTGCCGTTTGATCGGGCGTAGGGGTTGTTTTGCGGGGATTGGAGGCCTTGGGGGTGGATCATGGGTTGGGTGGCGACGGGGTGGATTCGGTGGTGTTGATGAGGGAGACGGAGGACTTGGGCGAGCTGGGTGTTTCGGTCAGGGTTGTCGTGGAGGGGCTGCGGTTTGTGTATGATGGTGAGGATGGGGGTCGGTTGCCGCGTATAGCTATGCAGGAGGGTGGGCCGTCGTGGTACTTTGTTCCCAGGGGTCCGGAGGATGCGTTGAATTATGCCATGGATGGTTTGGCGAGGCGGTATGAGGCTCACGATGAGAGGGAGATCGCCTGGCTGGAGGCTTTTGTTGCGGTGTATCGGCATTTTGAGGGCCAACGGTGAGATGGCTGGTTGGTCTATGGTAGGTGTGGCTTTATCTTGGCTCGTAACTCAAGACAGGGCTGGTTATCGCTCATGGGGTATTCCATTGAGTAATAATTTGGATTAATTATTGGTAGATGTGGTAAAAGAAATGAACAGAACAGGTCAATGATATAACTGCGCCACGATGGCATAGTACATGTCAAGCATGATGCTCGGCTCTGGGAGCAGGATGGTAGGAGAAATACGCCAATCTACTTCATGACGCTGGGTAGAGCAACCTCCAGCGTTTGCTCTATTACGCATGAAATCAGGCCATTGTGCCACAGGGTGTTGAAGATGGCTGGCGATCTGCACTTCCGGTGCAAACGGCCATAGTGACCCGTCCTTAAGATGACCGGAAAATTCTTGGACAAGCAACGTCCCCCCAACGCTTTCCCACCAAGATAAGACATTTAATATCGGAGAGACCCGATCGTAGTGGGGAAGCTTCTCCACTGGATCAGTTAGGTAGGGTCCGGCGATAACACGTGATCGTATCGTCCAATGGCTGCTTATTGGGAGAGCCTCAAGACAGCTCCGTGCACATCTCTCCTCACTCTAGGCTGCTTCCTTCGGTAGATAGGTTTTGATTAGTGGAAGGCCAGCAGCATCTGACTCATTAAGGCCCATATAGGCGACCGGCAGAACGCTTGGCCTCTGATTTGTCCACCGTCCAGGCAACTAGACAGCTAGGCAGACAGCTCCTGCCTGTTACCGACACCATGACTCAGGCATCGTACAACAGGAGCAGGGATGTCTGACACACCAGCTGAGGTCGTGCTGTTTGCTTCGAATTGTGTACTTAAGTGCCAGGTGTCCTGCTCTTTCACCATGGTTATCCCAGAGAGCACGTTTATCCAGCACTTGACAATACCGGACTGATTTGCCCTGGGAACATTCTCAGCCAAATGTACATGTTGTACGAGACAGACCCAGAATCCAGCGATAGCGATAGCGAAATGTCGTCGTCCTCAGAAGAGTATGCAGGCGAGGGAGAGACTCCGACGACCTCAGGTTAGTAAGTCTTCAACAACACGAGGAGAGCGAGACTAACACCCACCAAGACCAGAACTCGGAGCCCGTACACTACGCCCCGGCTGGGTCCATCTGCGAGGTCCGTAACCTCTACGAGACGAAGCCGGACAAAAAGGGTCGCACAACGTGGACGAAGGAGTACCCTGACGACCTCACCGTCCCGGCCGAGAATACAGAATCTGGTCAGTACGCACTCCTGGTGCGGAATATCAAGTGCTATGACGGCCGTAAACCCCTCCAAATTCACTCCATTGTCGTTCAGAATGACCTGCTCAAGAAATTCCTGGAGAAAGTCTTCAAGGGTTACCCTGGCCTGACCATGACGCTGAAACGGGTGGAGTTCCAGACGCCCTTCATGCCATTTGTCCACCGGTGGGAGGAATTCTCGAAGGCACGGGATGAAGTCGAAGACTTGGCGACAAAGTCTGTGGTCGACCTTCTCTACCGAATTCTGGAGGAAGAGCTTCGTGAGACCATTACCCGCAAGAAGGACCTCGTCCTCCATGGTGTGGTCACTCACGATTTACTTTGGGCAATCTTTGAACCGGGAGTCCATGTTTATTCTGTCTGTGACGACCACGAGCGTGTCTTCCAGTTGATGTCGAGCTCGATGGATTGTAATGGGCTATTCGTTCTGTCCTCCAAGTACGTTGACTATGACGGGAATGGCTTTGGATATAGAAAGGAAGGCCAATGCATCCGCCCGTTCCAAGGGACACTGCCAATTGCTGCCCTACCTGTCTTCCCCCTGAAATTTCACCCGAATGCAGACGGCGTGCGGGAGAATCTCACTGTCCGGGGGAAGGCGTGGGAGGAATACAGCGGATATCACTACAAGCAGTACGAAGGACCGGGGTTCACCAAGTTCATGGGACGAGACATCCAGCTCAACGTCAAGAGTCGGATCATTATTGACGGCGAGGCGTACAATACCTTCAACCCCAACGACTCGATCAGAGTTGATGGCTGCATCAAAACACTCAAAGATGGGAACCGGCTTCTGGCGACTCCCATGCTGCGTGGGTACTCACTGAAGGATAAAAAGTGGCTCGAATTCTATCTCGAAGGGGTAAGGGATATTGTCTGGGACTCACAGGCCTTCGACTCGTTGGTCCTTCCGGCAGAGCAGCAGCGGCTGAAAGGTCTGATTCTGGCTATCGCAAAGGCTCAGTCGAAGCAGATGGATACCTTTGACGACGTAGTGCAGGGCAAGGGTCGGGGTGTCATTCTCCAGCTGAGTGGTCCTCCTGGAGTAGGAAAGACGCTCACGGCCGAGAGTGTGGCCGAGGTCATGCGGGTTCCTCTGTACGTCTTGAGTGCGGGCGACCTCGGCACATCCGCTGGGAATGTCGAGAAGGCATTGAAAGATATCCTTCGCATGGTCCCTAAGTGGGGCGCGGTCCTTCTGCTGGACGAGGCGGATGTGTTTATGGAGGCGCGCAATTCGACGGATCTGGAGCGAAATGAGTTGGTTTCGATCTTTTTGCGACTGTTGGAATATTATGAGGTAAGTGGCCTGATGTACTCCATCCAACGTATGAACAGTCAAGCTGATTGCCTGGGTAGGGTATTTTGTTCCTCACGACCAATCGTGCGGAAAGCATCGATCCGGCTTTTGAGTCGCGTATCCATGTGTCGGTTCGGTACCCTGACCTCGACGTCAATTCACGGCGCCAGATCTGGGCACAATTCCTGGGCGGGAATGGGAGATTCTCATCGGAGCAGCTGGACTATCTTGCCCAGGTGAAGCTCAACGGCCGGCAGATCAAGAACGTGCTGAAGACGGCGCATCTTCTGGCGCGCGAGCAGGACCAAGACATCGGGTATGATCATGTTCGGACGGTTCTGGACCTGCGAGCACCAAGTGCTGCGAACCTGATGGATGTGACCAATTGATCCCTGCAATGCAAACATGCTCATGACGCAAGATATCCTCTCTTTTAATGAACGTTTCCAACGGAAGCATATTTCTAACGGTTGCGTGTTTTGGCCCATTTTGCTTATATTGTCTGAATCCGTAGAAGAAATAATGCTTGAAATAATGATTCTATCGCTTTCTCCGTTCTTCGAAAGCAAGGTCAGGGTCGTTTGATTGCACCTGCCGTTGTCTCAATAGTAGAACTATGTAGAACTCTGCACCTCGATTGCGACGGAACCACGTAATATTGGCAACTGTGTCCTTGTTTCTGAAGTCATGGGCTGCGCAAGAGTAGCAGGCATGCCATGGGCTGGAGGCAGTCCTCAAACCATCACGCGGCTGCTATCGTGCTCGTCATGATGAATACGTCTCGTCGCTACCAATATTCCCCCTCCACTGAAGTCCCCCAGACAAAAAATTCATTTCCCTCCGTTGGCATACTGCGTCCAGGCCATATTAACGGTAGACTACTACAGGACACCAAACAAAGTGCATTCACCTTTTTTTGTCAGAGCGTTTGGAACATATAAGAGCCAGGACGATGACTAACTCAACATCCCAGAGGCATCCCTTGGATATCTATCCAAGCGACGATGTGGTGTTGGAAGTCTACACTAGCCTTCGAGCAGTCATAGAACTCATCAACGAGTACTTGGGCTCCTTTCTGACTGGCGGCGAACAATACATAGCATTCACACAGGTGTCCGACGCCGACCTGCTCGACTTCGAAAAATGGCGAGCGTGTAATTGCCCTCGTACGTTCCTAGTGCGAGTCTTCCCCGCTCACAATACCCTCGTCATCAAATTCAAATCGCCACTATGCAAGCGAGTCAGTGAAGCCATGCACCACAGGTTCTACATTCGTAAATATCAACAGCATCAGGGGCTCACTGCTGATATACTCTCTCACGTGGGCCCGACGATATACACGATGCGCAATGGACTGCAGCTCGAAGCAGAACAGGCCTATATCCCACTTGCAAACAGAAGACCCGATAGCTACCCGTCCCTTGTCTTGGAATTCGGGGATACGGCTTCCCTTGATGCGCTGCGAGTCGATGCATGTCTATGGCTGGAAAATACCTCCGGCTTCACCCATTTAGTCCTGGTAGTTGCCTTCTCTGCCGACGAGATCGTGTTCGAGTGCTGGGAGCACAGGGATGGCTTTGCGGAATGTACACACGAGGTCAGCGTGGAGTATGCAAGTGGAAGGGTTCGGCATGCCCCCTTGAGTATACCGCTCGAGCTGATCTTGGATGAAATGCCTGGTATTCCGGGTATAACGGAGGATGCCACCATTGTGTTTTCGGATGATGACCTTGTCAATTTTATGCAGGAGACGATTCACAGTGAAACAGCGTGAATAATCTTTTATGTCGCTGGTTCCTTTGGCTCCTTTTTGTTTTGTGTGCAGGTTTCTGGGAGGTTGAATCGCGCGAGGGACTGAGCATAGCTGGAATAGATTTGTTTCTGCCTTTTGATTTGGCATTTCCTCCACTGGGACGTATAACATGCAGGCCAGACGGCACAGGAGACAAGCTACTATCTACTACATAACTTGTCTCTCTGCTACTATCAAAACGATTAAATGACCTACCATAGCAACTACAGCACCCCGCGCGTTATCAAACATGTTAAATCCAGATTTACACTGCGACACTGGATACAATAACAGATCCGGTTGGGCTCTAGACCAAAGAAGTAACTCTCATCACGAAAGCGTGTCGGTGCTATCTAGAGAGATTTAACTGAAGTTATATGTCTAGGAGAGACTATCCCACGATCCTCTAGGCACTGAGACTTATCAATAACAGTATGACCTTATTTATATGCAGTAGGACCGGGTATTAAAACGAATCTACGAACAGATAGCAGCAGGTAAGAGTGGCCTCGCGAAACCTCGGATGTTGCGAATGCCACCGAAGTTCAGACCCAGTGAGAGCATCAGATCAGTCAGTGTCTCCTCCATGTCTGCCCAGAAACCCTGCATAATATTAGGCGACCCACAGTATTGGCCGGCCATGTTTAGGTAACTGATAATGAGCGAGGTGGGGTAAAAAAGGGTCAGAACGACCTTGACATGATTATACTAATTTCTGACACAGTTGCATCTGGTACCCTTATATCTGATCCCATTGGCGGTGTCGTCTAACATATCACTTGGGGCGGTTTGCGCCCGATCGTCTTGTGGATACATTATCCATTCTCAAGATGTAGCGGTCAACTGTCGACATAAAATCTCGATATGAGCCGTAAACATGTTTGACACTGTTCTTTTCTTTTACGCGTTCTCGTTTCCTTGCAACCTAGCAAATCACCATGGACTTTTCCATTCCAGCAGCATATCGTGACAAGCTGACACCCGTCGAAGTGACGGATGAGCGGACAGATGGAGAAATACTGGCTACTTTTCAAGAGTATCAACCAGTAACATCAGAGAAGAATGTCTGGGCCTATTGGCATGCGGGGGTCGAGAATATGCCCAAGTGGTGCCAGAAAAATGTCATTGACTGGGTCCGTATTCTTGGGCCGGGGTGGACAGTTCGCGTACTGGACAACGTGCCTGGCTCCCCAAACAACACTCTTTGCTATGTTCCAGACAGCCTCCTACCACCAGCGTTTGTGGACCGCACGATGGATGGACCGTTTCTCGGCCAGCATGGAGCGGACCTGACACGCTCCGCCTGCTTATATGAACACGGTGGCGCATGGATGGATGTTGGAAACATACTGATTCGACATCTTGATCGGGTCTGCTGGGATGAGCTGGAGGACCCAGACTCCCCATACCGGGTGGCTATCCCAATCATCTACGGGCTTGTTGGAGGGAACCATTTTGTGGCGGCACGCAAGAATGACCCTTTCATCTACCAATGGTTAGTGTGTCTCCTCAAACAGTCAGTCAAATCACAACAACTAATGGCCCGTCCCCAGGCACCGCCTCTTCACGCATGTCTGGGGGAACAAGAAGAATATCAAAGGATGCTCGGAGGACCCCTTGATTGCACCTATACTGCCCATGATGTTCGAGGGTGAGACCGCGGAATTCGACCCTGACTGGATTGATCCCGCTCAGGTACTCGAGTATATTACTCAGATCGTCTGCTGGACACGTCTTTTCTGCTTGGAAGAAGCCGGCGAAGGGTTCTCGGGCGTAGATTACTGGCAGAACCACATTTTCGCCTTCAGCTGTCTGGAGGAAGATTGGCGTGGAGAGTATGTCACGAGCTTTGTGGGATTTGGCGAACGCGCATTCGACGCATTACAGCTTCCACACTCAGGACCAACGGTCGACCAGTCATCGGAGAAATACAAGGAGGCGGAGAAGTTGATTTGGGAGCTTCTCGCCAGTGCCAGTATGTGGAAAGTCGCGCATGCGCCTGGCTTGGCGCGCTCCGTTTATCTGGGCGGCCTACTCGATCAGCCAGAGCACGAGGGCAAGGAGGCGCAACCGGGAACTTTTGGGGAGTTATTGCGGCAGGGGACTGTTCGTCTTCGCCAGACGCGAACAGATGTGGTGAGGATGCCCACGCTGCGGCCGAGCACAACCTTGAAGAAAGGAGTCCTGGAGCCGTAAGGCTGTCCTTCCTGTCACTATAGACGAGGCCGAGACTAAACTCAGTCACATCTTGTACGATAAATACATTCATTAGTGCCGAGGTAGACTAAAATATTATCACACCTAGTCGAGCTGCAGCCTCGAGCTTAGGCACCAATGATCAACGATAGGCATATAATAGTTGTCAACCCCTTGCTTAACTGGAGATGGTATCTCAGCCAATTCAGTCATCAATCCATTCTTCTTTGAATACTGATTACATTTCCCAAACACAGTTAGTAGCAGGCAATTCAATGGCATTCTCCTACAATGTCGATACCGTAGGTTCGTTTCCCCAGGAGCAAATCCTCGGCATTGGGAGAACCGGCTTGGTCGTCCGTCGACAGCAAACTGCCATCAAGCTACCTCTCAGATGGAGCACAAGCAGCGACGATGAAGTTGAAGCGAATATTGAGTTCCTTCAACACGAGCAATCCATATATAGGCGACTAGGAAAATGCGACCATGTTGTTCCTGCCCTAAGTTTCTCCGACATAGCCACCGCACTTCTTCTAATGGAAAATGGCAATGGTGCGTTGCGTCATGGCTCAGACCGATGGCCCAGCTACTGCCATACAACTACCCTGGCAGTAACTGTCATTGGAATTGCAGTTTACGCTTGGAGTCGGAGGCATAATCAAGTGACTGGATTCAATTCTGACACACCTTCTAAACTCTGGATACTCGGGCAATAAAAGCGTGGACACGCCTTAGGCATAACCATCGTTATGGCTGCTTCCCTTCTGATTCTATGGACCCCTACCATGTCATGGTAGCTCTATGGTTAAATATGAGTCCATCGATCTGTTCCAGCAATGCAAGTTCCACAAAGTATCGTTCTGTGATATCTTGCAGGAACGGGAAGATATATAATGCCGTGACAAAACCCAGTTGAATAGCTTTTTACTGTTAGTCAACATGAAAGACAGACTGACGGACCCTGAATACCCCTGCATAGTGTTCAACCAACGATTTGGAATGATTCGGGTATCGATTGAAACTTCGACGCGGGATTTGTCGATTGAACGTGACATTTATGTAACCCTAAGTTTGGGATGGTTTGCGGTCACGGGAGAGGGAGATTGAACTTTGAGCTTGCCCTTGGTTGATTGCCATCGTCTGTGCCCTAGTAATGTTACTTTTTCCCTTCGTAGTGCCATGTGGTGTAACGCCTGCTATCCACTAAGGGCTTGGAAGTCTTATTTCGACCCGTTAAGCAGTCTTGGCGCGCTTGGATACGATTAGGGCCCAGGAGATATTCCGCCTATCAAGGGTGGATAGCTCTGCAGCTCTTTTGTTCTTTAACTGAATTAGGGTTGACGAGACTCATGGTGCGGCACGGGCAGAGTCGTATTCTGGGAGTCCGAAGGCCGTAGCGAGACAACGATCATAGTTACGTGGATCTGGAACTGATTTCAGTCCCTGACTCGTGCTTGACCCCCCAAGTTCCTTTGTCTCTCTCCGGTGGCATCGCACGATGCTTCCCTACAAGACTTGCCTGGTCCACTGTCCCACTTGAAAGGCTTAAGCACCAGACGAAAAGGTTAAAGCTTCAAAGAGACCTTGTTTACCCCAGAATCACAACTGCGGGGAAGGTCGAATTCCCCCATGATCAGAAATACGAGACTCTACTCGTAGAGACAACTCCTTCCCGTCGAATCATAACCACGCCTCTTATTTGGTGGCGCCCGCCACGCCGTGCAACTTGTGATTCTCTCTCCTCAGGCAAGGTAAAGATCTCCCAATCACTCTACCAGGTCTGTTTCCTTAATCCCTCCTCTCCAATCATGCCCGTCAGCCGACACGCAGTGTTACATTAGGTGAAATTCACCAGTGACTCCCTGACAGCCGCCCAAAGCTCTATTCACTGCAGCCAGTCGGCATATTTAAACAGACGGCCATTCCGGTCACTGGGGACTTCTTTCACATGTTCTCTGCTTGATCCGACCTTTGGCTCCTGCGTCGCTGACCGGGTGTCAACAGTAACTGTCGCCATGAAGAAAATCTACAACGTCTACTTTCTCTGTGGCTTTGCCACTCTAGGTGAACATTACCATGTCTGTTCTGGACGCCGCAGACACAAGCTGACATTTTTGCAGGCGGTGGTTTGTTTGGTTTTGACATCTCGTCTATGAGTGGTAAGCAATGCTGGAGCCCTGTGATGGCAAACATAGGCTCACTCTGTTAAGGCGTCTTGGGAACTGCTGCGTATACCAACTATTTCCAAGTGGGTAGCGGTCAATACAAGCAGGTAAGTATTTATTTTCTCTAGATCTTAGGCCGTAGTTTGTGTGTTGACTATTACCAGGGCAGTATCACCTGTGCGATGCCTTTTGGCTCTCTCGTCGGTGCGCTGTGCTCTAGCTTTATTGCCGATCGCTACTCGCGTGTCAGGGCGATCCAGTTCTCGTCTATTCTCTGGGTTATTGGCTCTATGTAGGTGAAACTAACTCCGAGGTGGAACATAAATGAATTGCCCTAATTCCTACTAGCTTTATGTGTGCGTCGAACGGAATCGCGCTTCTAGTCGTCGGGCGTGTCATCGCCGGTGGTTGCGTCGGTATCGCGTCTGCAATGGTCCCCGTTTATCAGGCCGAGATCGCACCGAAGGAAATTCGAGGACGGGTTATATCGCTGCAGCAATGGGCTATTACATGGGGTATCTTGATTCAGTATTTCATTGTGGGTTAACTTCTCATGCTTGTCATGGCTGTCGTTCCCATACTGACAACCCTCCAGCAATACGGCGCGAGCAACGTCGACGGCGGCCCAAACAACCCGACGCAAAGTACCGCTGCTTTCCGCATTCCCTGGGGAATCCAAATCGTACCCGGCGTTATCCTCTTCTTTGGCATGTTCCTCTTCCCCAAGTCTCCCCGTTGGCTCGCTAGCAAAGACCGTTGGGAGGAAGCCCTGAATGTGCTCTCGAAGCTGCACGGCAACGGAGATGTCAACCATCCCAAGGTCCTCGCTGAATACAAAGAAATCCAAGATGCTCTGGCGCTGGAGCGGGAGCAAACCAACACTGGCTTCCAAGAGCTCATCAAACCTCGCATCTTCAAGCGTGTCATCCTGGGCATGAGCTTGCAGATGTGGTCGCAGCTGTGCGGCATGAACGTGATGATGTACTACATAGGTATGTTCGACGCATGCTGATACCAACCCAGAGAAACAGCCATTGAGCGCGAGATTAAGCTGCAGGATGCTAATCGCTCCATAGTCTATATCATGCAGAGCACCGGCACTGGATCGCCGCTGCTGACCGCGTCCATCCAATACATTCTCAACACGGCCCTGACCCTACCTGCCATCATCTACCTGGATAAGTTCGGCCGACGCCCCGCGCTTCTGATCGGATTCTTCCTCCAGGCTATTTTCCTTTACCTGGAAGGTGGGCTACAAGGAGGATTCGGGGCGCCCAACCCTGGCACCGATCCCAAGCTCGATGCTATCTCGTGGACGGTCGCCGACCACCCCGCCGTGGGGAAGGCGATCATCGCATTATCCTATCTGTTCGTGTGTTCCTTCGCGACGACCATCGGCCCGACTTCATGGACCTACCCAGCTGAGATCTATCCCGTGAAAGTCCGCGCCAAAGCAGTCTCGCTCGCGACCGCCTCAAACTGGATCTGGAACTGTCTGCTGGCGCTCTTCGTCCCACCACTGCTGTGGTCGATCAACTGGAAGATGTACATGATTGTATGTTCTTTTCGCACGACTCATTTCAGTGTCTCCATTCACTAACCTGCTCCTGTACCACAGTTCGCTGCCTTCAACACCGCCGCCTTCATCCACATGTTCCTAGCCGCCCCCGAAACGAAAGGCTACACACTCGAGGAAATGGACGATGTCTTCGACAGCGGACTCCCAGCCTGGCGCAAGCTGGAGAAGCGGAGTCGCATGGAGGACCTCGAGAGAGAGATCATCGAAGGCAATCTCAAGATTCATCCTACACACGAGACGACTACTAGCGTCTCGGCTACGCAAGTCACCCCGGAGAAGCAAGTGTAGTTTATGAACCATGCACGCTGCTTCCTTCCGTCTTGATGTGAGATGAAATTTGTTTGTCCTACGGTCTACCATGTCTTAGATTGACATTCATATACTGATGACTAGGTGGACGAAGGGATGTTTTCTGGGTTGTGATTGTGTTGGTGGTAATGTTTAGTAAGCTTGGTTTTGTGATACCAAATATGAGTGGGAATAATCCTATGCCTCGGAGTCAATTTGATTCTCTTGTAAAAGTTGGGAGTCTTCGTAGATCGGTTCCTGTCTGATCAACCGGGGTTATTTAGGGTTGGGGACTTTTGACTATGGAATGACTCTTTCTCTGGAATAGATAAACCGGTCATTTGGTTTGCTGAAGCCGGCCCCCTGGATCAAATAGCAGATACCATTGTGAGCATTAAGGAAGTTTTAATATACCGTGGGTGCTTTTATATGTCCTTGAAATGAATAAGACATGAATGTCAAAAAGTGCATTGTGGACACCGAATAAGAAATATAGCTGTCAAGCATAAGAATCACACAACCCAAGTACGGCATTGAAGCAAAACAAAATCTAATAGTTCAATTTCCAATCATCAAAAATGCCTCAATCATCTCACTCAGGCGTTTCGCAAGTTTCCCCTTCATCATACTGAAATGATTGGCCCCCGGCATCCTATCCAAGGTTATGTCTTCTTCGGGGAGGAGAGATTCCCAGCCACAGGGACCAAAGTCGGTTCGAGTTGCCACGAGGAACTTCAGTCCCTCCGGGTCGTCTGGTCTCCGCTCGAACTTGGGTTCGCAGTGTTTGTCGATTGCGTCGCAGGCCCAGATGATTTGTGTACGTGGCACGTCATCGAACACAAAGGGTGTTGCGTGGTACGAATGCAGACTGTTGACGCAAGCCTCGAAATGGGAAATGAGCCAAGGTGGCGGGTCCCGTTTGACTCCGTTCACGTCGCCCAGCAGCCCGATCGTATTGCAGTACTCGTAGTATCGGCGTGGGAGGTGGTCCAGACCCTGGGGGACCGGGCAGTCGATGAGAATCAACTCGCTGACTTGCTCACCTTGTGCTGCGAGTTGTTGTGCGATGTGGTAAGAGAAGATACCACCCACGGACCATCCACCGAGCGCATACGGTCCATGGGGCTGGCGTCGCCGGATCTCGGCTATGTACATCTCTGTGACCTCGTCAATACCGCATGTGTAGGATTCTGGGATTTTCATGAACGGGCAGTTCACGCCTACGACGGCTATGGATGGGTGGATGCGCGGAAGCCCTGCATAGGAGGAACAGGATCCAGAGCCATCCGGGAGCAGAAATAGAGTCTTGACTGTCGAGGGCAGAGCCGGGTTACCCTGCAGGAGAAGCGACGTTGCGGAGATCTTGGGTGAAGATGTTTTACTGATCTCTGGTGTGGTCTCTGTCGTGCTGGCATTGATGACTTCGTACGAGCTGGTGCCTAATGATGATCGGTCCTCGTCGCTACTGCTCTTGTCTTGGTCGACCTCTGCTTCTGCTTCGGCAAACATGGAGTTTAGGACAGCGTCGCGGCCGCTTACAGCCACCGCTCCGCTCTCAGGTGCGCCTTGTTTCCAGAATGCCTCTAACTCCTTGATGGTGGGATGATCTAGGAAGATGGATGACTCGTAGTGCAGGCCAAGTTCCTCACGGAAGCGGCTGGCACAGAGCAGGGCAAGAAGCGAGTCCACGCCTAGGTCGTCGAATGCTGCTTCGGGCGATAATTCAGCGATGGGGACACCACTCTCTTCCGATATTATCTGGAGTGCGGCATTCCAGCTATCTGAGCCGTTGCCTGTACGAGTAATTTCCATGAACTGATCGGCTGCCGAGTTCGGTCCAGCATGGCCAGCATTAAGAGTCCCCCCAGAAGGCGCACCGGCTTTGGTGTCATCGCGCATGTGAACAATATAGTCCATGAGCCTTCGCGGAACCCCTTGTGCTTTTATGCCCTTATACACGGCGACAACCTCCTTACCCTCGAAAACAACCATGTCCCCGCCATACAATCCATCAGTGTCAGGCCCGCTCATGCGGACGTGCGATCGGTACGTCTTTTTGATTGATAGCGGCTTGTAGAAGTGCAGGGATTTCCAGCCATGGTTGACGAATACTTCTTTGCTGAGATCGGCTTGGTCATTGGCGTTCATAACGAAGAGAGCCGGCTGTCCAAGATTATCGATCAGGTATGGATTTACATGGTATACCCCAGCTGTTCGAGGATTGTTGAATTTAACAGTCGCAACAGCCTCCAACCGGGCACTGTCCAGGAGAACCGAGGAAACACCCATGTACTCGGAGTCATAGGAGGCGAGTGAGGATACCAAGTTGTATCCGGTTCTACCGGTGAACTTCTGCACTCGGTCGTCAGTATTGACTCTAGCCGCCATGTCTTCCATTTCCTGCAGAATGCTCTCCGCACGCTGCTGGACCTCCGCCTGAGCGGCCTTCGCATCCGGGAACGTGATGCTGGCGATGGCGTGTCTAACAAGCTTCTTGCCTTCTGGTGTGACGCTCCAAAACTCCACCGATGCCTGGAAGCTCTCACAATCAAGCACGACATGGCATTGCAAAAGCTGGGGACCTTTCCCTTTACTCTTCGTTGCAAACGGTCGTTGCACGTCCATATGTTGCAAATCCACCAGGGCTCCAGAAAGCCGGGCCTGCTGCTTACGGAGATATTCCCCAATCACGAGCGCCATTTCAGCATACACGGATGGAGTGACGAGAGGCAGATTATTGACACGATGGCCACGAACGAACGGATCCACATCGTCGCGGAGAACATCCACCTCACCCACAACGGTGATTTTGCTGCCGTCCTTCTTCTCCTCGACGAGCTTATGGACGCAGGTAGTCGATAGCCCAGGTGGCCCCTTTAAGAATCGTGCATCCCCTTTGTACAAAGACCAGTCATTGACGTATTGTATCCAGTATTCCTTCAGGTCCCAGTTGTATGATGGGAGTCGTAGGACAGAAAGACCTGGGGTGAAGTCGCGGTGGTATTCAGACCATCTGACGTCGACACCGGACTCGTACAAAGTAGACAGGCTGGTGGTGATCACTTTCCAGGTGTCCTTGTTGCGCTGAAGGGTGGGAACAGTCTTCAGCGTTGAGTCGAGATTGTTCCTCAGTAATCCAGACACAATAGGATGTGCTCCTACCTCAACCCATATCGCACTGCTGATGACTCCATCTGTCTTTGCGCTTTCAAGTGCGGCGGCAAAGTTAACCGTTTCTCTACAATGACGAGCGAGATAACTCGGTCCAAATGGTTCCTTTGATGTCAGGACTTCTCCAAGAAGAGGCGAGATGACAGGAACTTTTGGCTCGTAGAATTTGACGCCTCGCGCGGCGGCTTTGAACTTCTGAAGCACGGGCTGCATCTGCGAAGAATGGAATGCAAACGGAACACGGAGTCTGGTCTTCTTAAGGTTTGAAGAAGACAGAACATCGAGTATTCGGTCGATCTGCTCATTTGTCCCACTCAAGACGGTCTCTCTTGGTGTGTTGATGCACGCAATGTCGTATTCCAGACCCTTGCACAGCGATCTCGTTTCCCCCACACCCGTACTGATAGCAAGCATGGCATGTGTGTTTGCTGAAATATCGTTCTGCAATAGTTGTGCCCGCTTCCCAGCCAGGAAAATGGTGTCTGCTTCAGACAGTACGCCAGCAATGTTCAATGCTGCATATTCACCGAGGCTATGGCCAACCACAGCACAAGGTTCTATTCCCCAAGATCGCCACAGACGCGCCATTGCAATCTGGATACACACCGTTCCGACCTGAACGACAAGTGGAGGAAGTTCGGAAATATCGCCACTTCCCGGTTCAATCAACCGTAAAAAAGAAGGGAAACCAAGGGTTTGTACAATGCCATCATATCGCTCGATGTCGCTGCGGAAGGTAGTGAAGTGCATTAGGCTTTCGCCCATGCCAATGTATTGTGATCCCTGGCCGGTGAATGCGAATGCAACACGCTGCGCGGTCCTGCTTCGGCTCTGGACCGTGGGAGATACGACCTTGTTCTCTAGTACAGCCTGGACCTCAGACAGGTCTGACCCACTTACCATGACTCTAAATGGATGATGGATGCGCCTGGCAGTCGTTGTATATGATAAACTGGGGAGTGCTGGCTTTGTAGTGGCCATGTATGATAGCAGAGATTTGATGTTAGCTGCCAACGCAGTACTCGACTTGGCACTCACAGCTACCACATGTGTGGAGCGAGGATCGACCTCTTTGCTTTTAGGCTCAAAGACTGGCGCATCTTCGATCAAGACAGAGCTATTACCTCCGGCAGCGGAGAAGTTGTTGATCATAATTCGGCGAACACCACCTTCCGGTCTTTCCCACGGAACAGGCGTCGTAGCTATGTGTACATTGCGCTCAGTGAGATCCGTCGGGAAGCCACTGTTGATCTTGGTATAGTCAATATGTAGTCATGCGAAAAGGACGAAACCCATCTCACCTTCGTCTTGATTCCGCAATGAGGCGGTATCTCGTTCCTTTCCAGCATCATGAGCGACTTGATCATAGCAATAGGACCAGAGACAGACTCCCCATGGCCAACATTAGCTTTTGCAGAGCCCAAGAACAGCCTCTCAACATCAGCACGCGGCCTTTCTGTCTCAGGCGCAAAGATGGAAAGAACGGATTTCATCTCCCTGGCATCACCTACACAAATGGATAACTTAGTAAAGCCACGTCAACTTCCAGCAAAAGGAAACAGCAGTACTCACCAGCCTGAGTCCCAGTGCCGTGCATCTCAACATATCCCACGCTATAAGGCTCAACGCCAGCCGAAGTGAGCACCTTCTCGAAGATAGCCTTCTGCGCCCCAATATGTGGCCGAGTAATACTCTCCGCCTCAGCAGAATGATTGGTGTACGCCCCAAGAATCACGGCGACGATGGGGTCATTGTCTACCTTTGCATCCTCCAGCCGTTTGATGACCATTGTGCATACTCCCTCTCCGCGGCAATATCCATCGGCATCGTCGTCGAAGGTCTTGCAGTTTCCTGTTCGGGAGAGGAAGTGCCCACGGTCAAGGCCGGCAGTGATATCTGGAGTGAGTTAGTATTAGGCGATGTGGTAATATAAGACATTGTGCCTACCAGGGTTGGTAAGAACGTTCGTTCCTCCGCAGATGGCTGTGTCGATGTCACCTTTGAGCAGCGAGTTGCAGGCAAGGTGGAGGGCGGCTAGCCCCGAGGAGCAGGCTGTGTCAACGCTGTAGCTTGGACCGCTGAATTTGTAGAAGAAGTTTTGGCGTCCTGGGATGAAGGCTCGGCATGATCCAGGAATGTAGCTAGTGGAAATTCTGTTAGAAGGACGTTCCACGGTTGTGAACCAAATAGGCAATAGCAAGACGAGCATAGAAACATGAACAATGAAGGACAGCATGACTAACGGAAGGGATAGGCGACAAAGCGCAACTAAGGTCAAAAGAAAATAAAAAGAAATACAACGTACTAGGTATCGACATCCTGCGAGCTATTGGTCTCACCCCAGTCGTTGCTCGTGGTGCCATAGAAAACTCCAATGCGATCAGACTGACTGGATGGTGTGGAGTCCGGCACGAATCCAGCAAATTCCATTGCCTCGTACGCGGTCATAAGCGCAAGACGCTGCGCAGGATCAACTTGTGGTGCTTCTCTAGGACTTAGAGCAAAAAACTTGGCATCAAAGAGTCCGGGTTCTTTCAGCCAGCATCCGTACGGCGTGCCCATGGTATTCTTTCTTTTGAGACTCGGATCCACATGCGTCCTAACATCCCAGCGATTACTGGGTGTTATGCTGGCGACATCACGGCCTTCGTGAAGTAGTTGCCAGAACTCTTCGTTGTTGTTGGCATCAGGAAACCGGCCAGAGTATCCGATAATGGCTAGTTTAGAATGGCCTAGATGTCCGGTTGTAGACGTTCGATCATCTTGCACAGCAACACTGGAGTTCATGCAGGGGTCTACGATTATATCCGGCACGCCTTGCTTTCGGAGTGCGGCAGCGAAGCTTTGCCCAACGAGTGTGGCGATGGGAAGGATCGTGCAGCTTGGTATGGGAGACTCTGATAGCAAGGCCTCGCCTAGCGAAGAGACGATGAGGTCCAATCGTAGCGGCTCTCGGAGAATTTCATTCAGGGCGTGACCGGTTAATGCGCCGTATGTGTCAACCCTGATGCTTTGTCCAGTTGTGGAGGATAAAACATTGAATTGACACTCGTATGATGCAAATTCTGGGGCACTAGCCTTTCGGAGGATATTGTCTATATCGTTTTGTCCGTAAAGGTGAGGAGCGTGGTACGGGGCATATATAGGAATCGTAAGAGACCGGCTCTTTGGGAAGCAGCCTGAAGTAAGAAGATCATCAAGTGCGCTTGGTGGACCACTCAGTGTAACTCCTGTATTGGCATATGTACTGATGTATGGGGCCGATGTAGCGGGAAGGCCCTATCCCTAGTATCAGTACAAGATGTAGATATGTAAGGGTCAACTTATGTACCTTCTCCTCACTATACCTTTGTAAGATTGAGGCAGCTGTGTCACCATCTAAGCCAGGAGTCAGAGCACTCCACGCCACGGGTGACCCTGTCTGCGGCTCCAGTCTGTCACGCACATCGGCAACAAATAAACCCGCGCGAAACGCTATAAGTACTGTGTGTGTCGCTAGAGGGAGGAGGTCCGTAATGCTCTCGCAACACCCCACAGCTGCTGCACTGAGGAGACCAGTACAAAGACCTACGATGCAAGTTTCATGCATCGAGGGATACCTTCGACCGGGAGAGGTGTAGTGCCTATTGTTCTCACTAGTCAGTCCAGGACACTCTACTGTTCAGTCGTGCAGTAAGTAAGCCTACCGGATGAAGCATGCCAGTTGATAGGTACACGCTAAACCCTTTTCAAGTCCAGGATGGGGACAAGTTGAGCGCTGGACTCTAGCGAGAAGCTCCTCAAATGTCGTAAAGCGGATGAATCGTTGACGCTGCGAGAGTGGAAGCAGACCAATTTCCTCTCGAAGGCCGGCTGTAACTCTTTCGAAGAAGGAGGTCAAAAGAGGATTGTCTTTAATGGTGGCCAGGGTTCTGAGACCCGCGACCGAGTCACAAGTCAAGTCCCCAAAGAGAACAATATGTTTGCGCTTCTCGGCCATGGTTCTGACAAAAACACTAGATGTTGACAGGTAAGCTCCTGGCTTTGAGGGCTACCAAGATTCTTTACAAGCAGCAGATACTACTGGGGCTATGTATCTTTATATGTCTAACATGAAGCCTATGTCACCGGCTCTCGTCCGGTCAGGATGTCTGTCCACAATAGGTCTGTCATCCAGAAGACTGCCAGGCTGACCCATTTGGAAGACCGAGACAACTATACCGAAAGGGTTAGCCTCAGCGTTGCAGTCATGATGACTGTAAGGTTGGCTTGATACGGGTATCGCATCTTATGCGTGCATCTGTTCACGGACATTAGGGCACCTCGCCATATCTTACTGCGAGTCTGACGTATCACAAGAGGCACGATACCGAAGGTGGATCCGTGAATCTGCTTCTCATAACATGAATTACCGGCAGCTGCCGCTCTTTTTCGGATACCTCGGGATGTAAGCAAGCCTTTACGGTCCTCGGGCTATCGCCACAGATACCTATCCCTGATCTTATGAGTTCAGGCTCCTTTGGGGAAAGGATCACATCATCCATATTATCCCGTGTTGGATGATGATTACAGCTTACCGGTAGCTGGAATCCTTCCGATCTGCTCGGGGAGCACGTATGTATCCTCGAAGTTTATCAATGCTATATATGTGCAGAGGTGGAATAGATGTCTTACTGTGGTTCAAAGCACTTAGTCAGATCATTGGCAGATATCCCACGGCTGCCTGCATTTTACGATGACTACACTGCGCCGCCTTCTCTACCTTGTGATGAAGAGAATGCACAAGGCCCAATGTTAGCGAAAATGGCCTCCGCTAACAGGTGAATATTCGCAGATGTTTTTACCTATCTGATCAAGATAATCTGTATTGAGCCTTGCACTATGCTATACGCCTTTTGAGGGCTTATCAGGCAAATCCATGGGAATCACAATTGACTACATATCCACGCTCAATAACACAAAAACGCAAATAGCTTTCTGTCTCATCCCTTAGAGCTGTGGCGAATGGCATTCAGCAATTATATCATTATTGATCATATGATAATACCTAGCATTATGACTGACCTCAAGCGGAAGCAAAACCCACAATCTATCGAGTGTCTCCCCAAGTTAACCAGCTATACGACCCCCGCTCTTAAAGCCACAAGACAGATCATGGCGCATTCCTTCCTGACCTTAGTCCACCTGAATAGTGAAGCAGTTGTAATCTAGCGTCGGTCTCAGACCCTCGCGCGAGGTCATCCGCATGGCAATATCACTGAAGTCAAGAACAGGGTTGCCGCTGCTTGAGTGCTGGACACGGGTCTGCTGGATGCAGGCACCAGACATTTCAGAGCTGCAACGTGACACTTGAGGCTGAGAGGTGATCGCAAAGAGTTTGGAGATTGCACGACCCTCTTTTGTCGATAGATGTCGTCTGACCCTCTGGTGTGGAGTAGTAATTTTGGGGGTTCCCCGGGGCAGTGGTAGGTGTGCCTTGGACACAGGCGCATCACGCCCACTATATCGAGTGACCCCCGTATACTTATGCAATACGACATATTGGTGGGTCTTGACGTACCTCTGCTGCCTAAGTTCACTGTCATTTAATGTTGTGCCTAGTCTGTACCTCCTTCACAGTCGCCATCGGCAGACCCAATTTCCGCCGCTCAAGAGATTGAGAGGGAAAATGCATTAAACGACATGGAAATAATGAACGCTACTAATAAATATCTGCAATTGGGGCCTGTATACTTTAGTCAAACTAGTGGCCTTGATCCGTTCATGTTACGTTCTCGGTGACCGACGGTAGAGTGACGCTTCCTATCGCCACCATGTTTTATGACATATGCCCTGTATCTGGCTCGCAATCTGTAAGGCAAAATCAAGTGGTCACACTATAGAAGTGATTTCGGTTCTATTCATAGGACTCAACAGTTCCTCAAAGTAATATGTAGTACGTGTAGTGGACCTTTGCTATAGACATTTGGCTTCCGCAGAATACCGCAGTTACACTCAACTACATCTTGGGTAAGGCATACATAGAGTCAATTAAATGGCTCGCAGTAAGTAAAGACTTATTCATCAGAAATGAACCACTCAGGCATCGCTCAGACTCAGGACAAGTGGCTTTGCATTCCAAATGATCACGTTGATGTAGCCTTTGCCTCCTGTTTCACACAGTGACTTGGTACCCTGAACATTGAATACGAGAAATATTGGACGGTATCACCAGACACCAGCATGTATTATTCCAAATACTCTCCGTTGCTTGTACCATATTTTTCTAATCAAAGTCAGGATAACCGTTTTGGCATTATGGACATGAAATACTACTCGAGCAAAGCTGGAATGTCTTGTCTCTCCTATTAAGCAACAGCCATCGACAGCCCAGATTCTCCGAGGCGACGTGATGTTAACATGCTGATTGTTACAGTACTTCGTCGGTAGGTGAGGTTGAACATCTCAGATGTTCTCCCAGATCACACGGTATGCTGTACGTCAGGGAAGGCTCCTGGAAGGGCTCCTGGTCCATGATGAGCTAGGAAAGACCCATCCAATGCCACGTTGTAAATAGCCCATCAGCACCCGCTGGCATTCTAATTGCGCGTCATGGAGTAACCAGAGTGCATGAAACGGTCTACCTTAGCTTCTAGTGCTACAAGGTCCATCATGGGCGTCTAGGCGAATTTATAATCCACCTGTGTTGTCCAGTGTCCAAATACTCATGTCTACCCAGTCGAAGGAGACCGTACATTTACTTTACATGTGCGGCTGACCCTGTGGGCCAGAATGTCTGATCATCTCACCCAGTGCACTCTTTGTCCAGCTAATATTTCTTCTTCCATCAGCTCACAATGCACTATTCTTAGTAGTGTTGCAGTGTTGCATTAGTAGAATGCTAGGTAACACTGTTATTATTATCGATAGCGATAACTGATTTTCGTTTCTTAGTTCCTAGGACATGTTATGTTGATGCCTACTGAGCGACTTGCATTGTGACGGGGTGTCCCGACACCTATGATATTGGGGCTCGTATCACGTTCCCTGCGAAGGTTGAACTCTGATAAGGCAGTTGACCCTACCAATGAACCCCTATCTGGGATCGATATCACAGCTCGCCACGTTTGGCCAAGTCCAGATGAGTCTTGTTATAAATCCCTAGCATACAAAAAGGTAAGACAGATCCTGTCAGCCTACGGCCGCAAACCAAACTTAGGGCGATTGGAAGCCATCCAGCCAATAGAGCCTCGGCTGGTGAAGCTTTAAGGGCCCCAGTTAGCTAGGGACAGCCATGTCTGTAGCACCTATTGCTGAACCATCATAGCGGGTGAGATCTATTGTAACACCTTGGCGTCTCAGGCATAGTTCTTACCAGCTTCGGGAAATGTTCCCTAAGTGGGCGCTCGCACAACACGAGCTTTCCAAAGTTTATCCTTGTTCGTTGCCTAGTCCCGTAGCAAAGGGATTGGTATGTTTATGTGTTGAAAATGTGAACAGAGGCTTCTATGGGCTAGTGCTCTGCGCGTATATAGAGGTATTCGTAATTTGTAGTCTCGTGTGCATCAGATACCACCCCTCGCTATTCTTCAGGAGCATTTATTTACGGGACATCGTTGTGAGATATGAGTTTGTAGCCTTTCACATCTCCATGTATGCATATGTTGAGTACATGATTCTGACATATCATACAGCGTCTCAGAATCGAGATGTCCAGCAAAGGACCAATCGACCAGCAACGCACAGATAAAGCGCAGGCGCCTAGGAGACTTCGGTCTACATGCGACCGTTGTACAATTCTCAAAGTACGGTGCGATAAAAAGAAACCCCGTTGTGAACGATGTGAATCCGTGCAGCAACATTGTGTTTACGGCCCGTATCGGTGGAAAGGACGGTCGGCAACAAGCCAAGCTGAACTATCGAGTTCTTATATACGAACTGGAAGACGAGTACCTTTCAAAGCAATGGAAGGCTTTGACCAATCAACGCCTCAAGATATACAAGTGGCCGAACATCTGATGTCTGGAGGTCCAGTGAACTCATCGGACTTTTGTTTATTCGCAGGCGTGGAACCCGTCTCATTTGACTTCCAGTGTGAGCTCGACGGTATGTATATTGGGACAGGCGATGATTACTGTAAGGGAATATCAGCTAGTCCAGGTCCATTTGATTACTTTGGCACAACAATAAATAGCCTACCGGGACAACCGGAGATCAAGTCTTTACCTTTCGTCGGAGAACGTGAATCGTATCCCCCACTGGAGGGGGGTTTGTCAGAGTCTTACTTTTCACCTCCAGATTCCTGCACGTCAAGAAACCTATGTCCATGCGCTAGTCTACTATTCGATGTTTTGCAAGAAATGTACCGTGCTGAGGCCACATGTCGATTGGAAAGGGGCTCTGGCTTGCCATCAAATGACCACATCCTGAAGATCAACCGCACGGCAGCTCAAACCCTTGATCAGCTTCTATCTCGGGACTGTACCGACTGCCTCGAAGACACCAGCATTCTTTTCCTGATTGTAACCACGATGTCCAAGGCCTTGTCGTGGTACCGAGCGGTGTTCGATCGCATCGATAAGCACTCACCCGCCAAGAGCCCTGTTAACCTCATGGAACCTTCACCTGTTACACCCATATATTTCGGTGACTTCGAGCTTGATATTGTTGCCGAGCAGCGTATCACAGCTCAGGTCTTGTTCTATGAGCTTGGGTATATTAGCAAAGTTCTGTGCTTGATACAAGAGAGTGCGCTTGGAAGAATGCACAATGGGCGAGAACCGATAAGCACTCTTTTTGGGGCTATTTCTCACTTTCTATCATCAACATTGAACGATCTAACATATAAGGTGGACGAACTTTGCGCCTCTAAATTGGCGCCCACCGATGGTGCATATGCCGCTAGGCAGTGTTGAGATATTTGGCTTTCTAGTGCGGTCCACATTTCCTACTCTTACTGTTCCTGCCTCCGATGTACCTAGGTAGGCAAACATTTTAACGTCTATTCTGGCAAAATAGAGGCTTAGCCGGCTCAAGCTCAACCAAATACCCTAGCTCCAAGGATTGTGTTACCAAGGAAGGCTCCACGTTGCCTTTGATCATGTTCTGTTCCATGATAATACATCCACTGTACCTCTACAGGGTTTCACTCTAGAGGTCTGCAATTGGACTCGAATGTAACCCAAGAAGGTGCTCTTCCAGACAGGGCTACCGAGCTGTTTAAATCTTTTGCCACTGACAGCCGCCAAAACAGCACATTTTAATCTGAATCGGCGTATGACGTAAAGAGATTTGTGCAATCGGGCTTACCATTAACATTGCAACCGTACAGTTTATTTATAGGCACTGTAGGCTTAACAAGCTCGCTGAGTTGTTGTCAACTTGATCCATTGCAGCACGTTACATATCAGTATATAAATGAAGGTTTGAAATATGTTTCGGCAAATAGCGAGACCTTAATCCTAGCATACCAAACGAAAGCCACAAGATTGATGTCCTTTCACCCCTTTATTTTCCGTATGAATCTTCCTGTATAGTGGATATTATGGGGTGGGTTGCCCTAGGGCCGCGATGAACTGGTTACTTTGTGAATACGACCTAGTAATCTCCTGTAGCCATACCAACCATAGCCTCGTTGCAAATGCAAGAAATACAAGCCAAACCAGTCTTGAGCTCGCCCACCGAAGTTAATCTCGCGCACTGTTCTCCGACATCAATCCTCTCTTTCCGCTGCCTATCAGCAATCTCTTCAATTTCATTGTGAATGTTCAAGTGCGATACTGGGCGCATCGCCTCGAGTTTCCAGTCTCTATTGTATCAATCGAGGGTCTGTATGGTATCCCCCTGGGTCTCGGATTCTCAAACAGTCTAGATGACAGCCGAACCCGCCTCCCAACTTGCTATTCGTGGAAGGGTGACCCTAGTCCTATATTGCAATCTGAGCCCTTGTCCCACAAACGTCAGCTTATCTATTATAGTCTCTCATCTTATTTTACGCCATTGTATAACGAGTCTGGCCTAATTATGTGGATTCGCGAAAGCTCCACACTATTAAAGCGGTCCTTATGAGCCGATCGCTTGTGATAGCCGAATCTGTCATGGGATTTTGGGCTACCTTTGTCCCTGTTTCTTTTAATGGTCGACTTCCAGCTCAAATACAATGGGTTTTAATGTGCTCATTATCAATGCTGGCCTAGCGGGCTCTGTGCTTGTAAACTGTTTACTAAACAATGGAATCCAGCTCACCAAATATGAACGCGACAAACCAGAGTTATGGCGGACATGCTATCTCTTACGGCTAGGTGAGGACTCAGATAAGGGCTTCTGAGCCCATCTATCCAGGTATCATGTACTTACTATGCACGGGAGGCTTTCATAGACTAATGGCTCTCTATCCACTGCGGTTTATTCTTACCGGTTTCGCCCTCTACTAGACCTGGGTCGCTTTCTGGGTTATACTAAAGATGTAATGCCTTGGCCCTATGTGATGAGATGGTGAAACCCGTGAACGAGGAAGGTAGAGTCAAGTTTGGGAAGGCTTTCCGTCATTAGAAGATTGTCCATGAAGATGGCAACGAGCAGATGGTGGTTACTTCACTGATGGCACTTGCGACCGATGCGATCTGCTGATTGGAGCCTATCGGAGGACCTCAAGAGGGCCAACCTTGGTTGTGCTTGCTCAGTAATAACATACATGTCATGCTACCAAACAGGTAGGGCAGTTTGGCCCACGTGCTACTTTTTGGAGGTACTACTCGACCGGGCCGAGATCTTGCCTGAGCTCATCCACTTCAATCATCACGACATCAATGGGGAGACTCTGTCGACTGATGATATCAGTAAGGCGTGCAGTCGCTACGAGAAGAGGATGCTTCCTTGCGGCTTTCACTGGGTATAACAAAGCGGATGCACTGTTGCTGACCCTATACTCTCTGAGATTCTCAATGGCACACCTACACTGATCCGTCTTAACGGCGTGCCTGGATATGTAGTTTCAATGTTTGCGAACGTTGCAATGCTGGTTGCGGTTCTCGATGTCCTTCTTCACAAAGTTGTTCTGGCCTGAGCACCGGGGCTTGAGATGGTAAAACACAGCTTTTGTTGAGCGATCTATCGACTCATGGATTTCGGTAATTCCTATAAAGTTAGTCAGTATACCAGTTTCTATCTCCCTCCTTTCGGCCGTTGTTTTATTTTTATAATTATCTTTTTATTGTTCCGTCTTCTGTGTTGTTCAGTAATTGTCCCATAGAGAAAGTATATATATATTCGAAGGTTCTCTTCCCTACACAACCATATCTTATATTCCTACTCCCAACGGACTCTACTACTCCTTTTGATTAATCCTGACAACCGAAATATGTTCACCCCCAGTCCATAAGTCTCGGTAGAAGAATCATCGCTGGACATCCATACTCCTGCCAAAGTCCACTAGCACCACAATCAACAATAATAAAGCTAAGAATAAAGGGAGCTGACTAACTATGCAGCACTATGCACTCCCGCCAAGACATGATCGCTCCACCACTTAATCTCCGTTAATATAAAAAAAAGTCTAAGCAGCCGGAAAAACTCGCCACAGGTCACAAATTACGTCAGTTTAGTTGACTAGTACGAGAGGAAAACAAGAATAGAAGCGAAACAGGACATCCCAGTAACGCTGTACCTACCCCGAGAAAATATTACCCGATCGCCATGCAACGTAGACAACGGCCTTCTGCCCTATGGAATTCATGGAATGAAGCTCGGAAAGTAAGCTGGCGTCATTGTCGTTCAGTCGATTCCATAATGGATACAAGGGAAATTATAGAGGATATGTGTTCTAATAGAAGAGCCACAGGTAGATAAGAGAGTAGAGCGAATACTATATATCTGGTAGCCCTAATATGAATGTGTCTGCCTGGCTGTGACCATAACGAACGTCCATGCGGCTAAAAAGGTATTAGAGATGTACATGTGGTGATATACCGATCGATCGGTCGAATGTAAGACTTAAGCACGCGCTACCAACCGTCTAACTAGAAAATGTGTTATCGACACATACTGGCAGTCGTCATCGTGGCAGAGATTGACTTCCGTGTGTCTCGAATGATAGGATCTGGAGCCGGACCCACCATGCTTTCGCTGTCAGACTATAATTAAGTTCTACCAGAAAGACCGTGTTAACTGTCATTATTGCGTCAATCCGCAGCGGATATCTAAACCTGTGGGATCTATTGAGTATAGCAGTACAGAGAGCGATGGATTAATTTGCGTGTTGTACTATGCACCGCGTAAGACTACGGCCCTAATGAATTAGATATGGATGCTCCGTAGTCTATCCTCCTACATCAGTACATGGTATATCGCAAAGATCCTCACAAAACCTCAAGAAAAACCCCATCCATCTCTGACAAAAAACACACAATAGTAGATACCCACGCCAGCATCAATGTCTCTAACCCTCCCGGCCCCGGATGAGATCATACCCATCCCTGCACGCCTCCAATCGGAGAATTTAGAAGCACACTCCAACTGCCGAGCCGTTGATATCATGTCGATCACTGCTAACAGTACTACTGGTACTGCGTAACTCCCCCGAGAGATGTGGATTGGCCGATCGTGCACTCGTTGCATGACCGGATTGACGTATGGATGCTGATGACGTGAGGTGGGTTTCAGCCCGTGTGGTTGTGTCTAGACCCATGGGTCGGGTTTGTCTGGCTCAACAGGTACTGGTTCTATTTACTGCGACTGAGGTTGAGTAGGTAGGTGGCAGTTTTAATCCTATAGTTCGGTCAATGGCTATTACCGTTGAATCAGTCTATGAATTGCACGAAGATACTGTGTAATGTGTACTGCGTAGGAGGCTGTGGATCTAGATGGTCTATTGGCAGTCATATCAGGTCTATTTCAATATACTTTACTGGGGTGTTAGACCATCCACCCTTCCAGGTCTATTCTTTGATATTCTTAGCCTTCTTGATCGCTCTTACTGACGTAATTATAAGCTGTGGCGAGGCTTCGGGCCACACCAGGATTACACTTTGTAGGGCTACAAAGTTAGTATACGATGCCGGAGAGCGATGTTTCTTTGTTCTTTTTTGTTTTTTTTTGGATCCTTTGTGGGTATTTTCTCTAGTAGATGTTGTATTCAACTATTTGGGTTGGGGAGAATATACTAGGGGTTTGTAAAGATATAATGAAGTTCTGATATGCTGCCTTGCTACATACATCCCTTCCAGACCCGGTCTACCATCCTTCAACCATTATGTCAAGGAAACTCGTCAAGAATCTATGCACTGTACACCGATCGTCCAGCACTACTATGCTGTAGCCCCAACATGACGTACATGGATCTCCGGCGCGGTGGACATGACGTATGTGGATCTGGGATATCTTGTATTGGGATCTTGGATCGCGACGGTGAAGGTATTTAATAGCGCAAGGGTTCAGTATCTGGCGTGTAGTATCGGCTATTCTTTCATGTATTATTATCACGTTCCAGACAGATTGACGAAATTTAACGATTATATTATTTACTCCTTAATCTAATTATCTTATTGAACTTCCCAAAATAGGACAGAAACTCACATCGCCTTTCTCTCCGCTGAAGACCCCTTTCAGTCTACGACCACCCTCATATACTGTTCCCGAATCAAAAATGTCATCTCCCACAATGCAGAGAGCCACTGGCACGCCTCGAAAGCTACGAGCCGGATCGGGCTCGAGCGCCGGACCTGTCGCCGAGCAGAGTCCCTCGAAGAGAACCCCCCAGAAGCTCCAGGTCCGGAGCCGCAAGCCGATCGAAGAAGACGTACCCGAAGAGCCGGCCACTCCGTCACCGAAACCACGCAAGACAATGCAGGGTGAGCAGCGAGATGTGCCGGAAGAAACACAATCACAGGCGTCCGGGTCTGTCGGGGGACTGGCGGGTGGCCTGTCCGGTCAGGTAAAGGACACTGCTGGGGCGTTGGCGAGGACCGGTCAGCAGACAGTGGCGACCACTACCGGGGTTGATTTGTCCTTCTTGAAGGGGCTCGAGGTTAGCGAGTGGGGCCAGGTGCTGGGCGATGATGGAAACCCGGTTGGAAGGATCGTGGAGGGCGAGCCCCAGGATTTGGTCGGATACGCTGTTGGCGATAATGGCGAGATCCTGGATGACGATGGCGACTTGATTGGTCGTGTCGAGGCGCTTCCGGAGGCGATCGAGGAGAATACAGGACAGGCGACGAAGGCGATCGCTGGTCTTGCTGAGTTGAATGGAATTCCGGTCTCCGAGGGGGGCTTTATCAAGGACGAGGCTGGGGAGATAGTCGGCAAGGTTGTGGAAGGGGATGCTCAGGATCTTGTCGGTCATGTGCCTAACGAGAAAGGGGAGATCCTTGACGGCGAAGGTGACCTTGTCGGACGTGTCGAGCCTGTATCAAAGCCCACAAGTGCCAGTAGTGCTACCGGATCCCGAAGGTCGGGTTCTCAGGGCACGAAGAGTGTTGGCAAGAGTGTCAGCGAGGAAGGAACAGGGGAGTTGGACAAAACCGCTTCCGAAACGAAGGAGATGGAAAGCACGGCGGAAGAGAAGGCCGAAGACGCCCAAGAGCAGCTGCCTCCCCTCTCTACGCTTGAAGGCTTAAAATGCAACAAGTTAGGCAAGATCATCAACCCATCGACTGGAAAGCCAGTCGGTGAGCTGGTGGAGGGCGACCCGAAGAAGCTGACTCGGCTTGGTGCGACACTCGATGACCAGGGCCAATTCTGGGATAACCGCGGGAATGTGATCGGTCGAGCCCAAACGCTTCCCCAGCAGGAATATAGTGAAGAACCCCCCTTTGCCGGCTTAGACGGCCTCCATGTTGTTGAGGACGGATGGGTGGAAGACAACAAGGGCAAGCGTGTGGGCAAGATCGTTGATGGTGAACCTAAGAAGGTCCTCGGTCGCCCGGTTGATGAGGACGGAGAAGTCACTGACCAGCATGGAAATGTCATCGCGAAGGCCGAATACTATGAGCAGCCGGATGAGCCAGAGCCTGAGGAGCCGGAGGTGGTCGACCTATCGAGACTGGATGGACTGACCTGCAACAAGCTGGGCTATGTTATGGGACCGAATGGAGTTCCAATTGCCCGTGTTGTCGAAGGAAACCCTAAAGAGCTGGCCGGTAAAGAAATTGACGATGGCCAGATCTGGGACGGTCGCAAGCCCATTGGACGCGTGGAGCTCATTCCTGAAAATGAGCGCGAGAAGAAGCCTGAAGGCCCATTCGCTGGCCTAGAGAACCTGGTTGTGAACAAGGAAGGATTTGTCCAGGACACCGATGGTAATATTGTTGGCCAGGTGACCGAAGGTGACCTAAAGAACTTGCGCGGGCGCTCTGTGGATGAGGACGGAGACATTATCGACAAGTTTGGTAATGTGAAAGGACATGCCGAACCATACGAGCCTCCAGAAGAGGAGGTTGTTGAAGCAGACTTATCAATCCTCGAAGGTAAGATCGTCAACAAGGCCGGCAATGTCGTGGACGCCCAAGGAAACGTCTTTGGCCGGATCACCTCAGGGGACAAGCGACTTGCTGGACGGAAAGTCGATGGCACAGGCCAAATCTGGGGTGACGATGGCAAGGTCATCGGTAAAGCCGAGCTTGTGCCTGGTGCTGAGCAAGAGAAGCCGGAAGGCGCCTTCTTCGGCTTTGACGACGCGGAAGTTGGCAAGGACGGCGTAGTCACTTCCGGTGGTAAGATCATTGGCCGTGTCATTGAAGGTGACGCCAAGCGACTCCAGGGACGCAAGGTCGACGAAGACGGAGATATCTTGGACAAGAATGGAAACACGATCGGTCGAGCAGAGCGTTGGGAGCCGGAGGAAAAGCAACGAAGCGTTAACCCTATGGCAGGTCGCAAGGTTACCCGCGAAGGTGAAGTCCGAGACGTCGACGGGAATCTGATCGGAAAGCTGACCTCGGGCAACTTGGCCACGCTCGTTGGCAAGGAGATTGATGATAATGGCTTCGTCGTGGACAACGATGGCAACAAGCTGGGCGAGTGTACTCTGCTCGAGAACTTACCCGAGGAGGAGGAAGATGTCGTCGAGGAGGAGCCAGGCCCATCGCCAGAAGAGCTCGAGGAGCAAAAGAAGGCTGAAGAGGATAAACAGCTGGCGAAGAAGATGAGTGCCATTATCGGACAAACGTTGGATCGTGTTCGGCCGATCTGCAAGATGATTACAGAGGTATGCTTAGTGGTGATTCAGGTGGCGCAGAAGAGAGTTGCTAACACATGCACTAGCACATCGAGAGAGCTGAGCGTACTCCCAAAGAAGAATTGGATGAAGAACGGCTGGTAAAAGATGTGAAGCCGTTGCTGGAAGAGGGTGGTCGAATCCTCCAAGAATGCAACGGCGCCATCCGGGCTCTTGATCCAGATGGTCGTATTGCAGCGACAGCGAAGGCTCGCGCTGCCTCCCACGAAGCGTCTCCCGAAGAGTATGCTCTTGCCGATCAGATCAAAGAAATGGCAGATACCGTCGTTAGTTGCATTGAGAATGGGAAGAAGAAGATCGCCGATATGCCTCATGCAAAGAGGCAGTTGAACCCCCTCTGGGCCCTTCTCAGCGAGCCTTTGTTCCAGATCATCGCCGCTGTGGGCTTACTTCTGACCGGCGTGCTTGGGCTTGTTGGCCGCTTGCTTGAGGGTCTCGGTCTGGGGCCTCTTGTGCATCGCTTGCTCGGTGGCTTGGGTCTTGACAAGCTGCTTGATAGTCTGGGGTTAACTTCCATCACTGACGCTCTTGGCATAACTGGCAAGAAGAAATAGCGGTTTCCGGAAATTGTATATTCTTGTGCTGTTTGGCGGCGATATTTCAAGATGTGTATTAATGTACGGTTTTAAGAAACAACAGAATGAATATTTTAATGATCTCATATTCGGCCGTAACTAGTGGGAATGATGAGGGTACCCAAGCTTCAATTTCACGTACTGCTCTATTACCACCGGATCCATGTCTTAGAGCATGTTGACGGAGAATCACAGGCGTCCTCCGCTCAACAACCTTGGGGTCTGTGATTTTGGTGTTGATAGAACGTGGCTGTATGACATGCTCACTACCTCAACTACATCTACTAATGGTTTCGCCGTAAATCCCCACTCGCTCGACACCACCAGTATAGGGGCTCTTCTCACCTATACCCCAGCGGAAGGTGCTAACACAGACGGAGAATGCCACGACACAGGTAAATGCGCGCAAGATGGTATCCATCACTCTTTGACAGGCTAGTGTGCTACCGCAGATCGCCACGTTGGCATTCCGTCGTATTCTAGAGACCTTGGTTTCTTGATGGAAATTGGGCGAGAGAGCCATCATTGAGAGTAATGTCTTCATCAACTAGATGTTGTATATTGTAGATCATTGCGGGGTGCATGATATAATTTCCCAATATGTGCGTACCATAGACCCAATAAGTCCACTTCAATCCATATAGACACAGTATCAGATCGAGGGAGGTGAGTTTTATTTAACTGAGAACTACGTTATAGGCATGTTCAACGTCCCTAACGGTGCCCCTTTTGCTTCTTTCCCTTCCTCTTTCCTTCCTAACAGTACCATCCCAATCGAATGTAGCGCTCTCTGTGCTGTGTATATCTCTTACAATAGGCCGGACCATTGAACCCCTGTTAGTGACTATAACTGGAATTTAAATTCATGGGTTTGGTAAAGGTATCTCGCGGGTAAATTGTAAAATATCGAATCGAGGGAATGGATAGCCAAAGGCCATGTTGCCACAACAGCAACATTACCTGCGGGATACCTCTCGCAGGCCCTAGAACCGATGTAAGGACCGCAAGCCATACAACACCGTAGGATGGCTACGCTCGACCACTACCGTACGAGATATATTAGGAAACCTATAAATAGATTTAGGTAACTACTCGGTTGTAATCGATTCAGTGTCCTGGCTTTCCGCATATGTGGCATCTTCCTTGGGAGGGCTGTTTCCTTTCGCGGTAGTATAGTATCAATCTGTAGTGTCTTCTCGTGAATTCAACCGGGTGCTTATTGTTCACTTGTGGTTATTGTATGTAGTGAAGTCTGCGCGGGGTTGGTTGTCTAAGGAATAACTTGGATTCTATATATCTATTCTTCTCTCTCTCAGTCATGAAGCTCTCCATCTCTCTCACAAAGCCCTTTCTTCTCTGTCTATCGTCTTATACGGCCGTCGCACCTTCCCTGCGAAGTAGCTGCATTGTCGTCTGGTCTCTTTGTCATTAGTACAAGCTATCTTCCTTCCTCGCAGTATCCCATCACCTGCGTACTTATCTGTGAGATGGTTCGTCTTGTGGTTATAAATTTTTAAAATTCCTTGGTTTCGGAGATATTGACTTCGGTATGTATCTGTGTTATACTATGCGGCGGTCTTCACAAGTCTCTTCACAATCTTGTTTACCTCGCGTCTCTGAATATCTCGTGGTGGTGCTGTTTTTCATCTCGCTGATTTATATGTTTTTCGCAGATATCTTTAATATTGATCTCTATTTTTTCTATTACACCCGGTAAGAGTACCAGCCTGAGTCTCCGGGTCTCTGGCGATTCTCTATCGGAGTTAGATTCTATCTTAAACCTCTGCGGTCGCACCCTATTGAAAAAGTGCTTCATCCCAACCAGAGATTGCCAGAAAGCACTTTTACAAAAGAATCTAAACACTCGCAAGAACGGCAACAATGGTCACCTACCTTACAACCACTATTGTTGTGTTCCTAGCAGTCCTACAGAGCTGCCAGGCCCTACCTATCGATATGACAAAGACCATATCGCACTCTACCGTTCTTGGAGCTGGCCTAGGAATCGGGCTACTTCCTCTGTTACCATTCCTCTCCTGGGGAGGCATTGTTCTCCGTCATATAATCAGACAATGGAAATTCGACCGAGCATGGGCGCAATGACGCCATCGGATAGCCAAGACTACATCACTACCCGTGGTCCTCGGGGCCGGTCTTGGGATCGTACTTATCGTTTGGGAAGGACTTGTCCTCTATCATTATATTGGTTTCAGCGGGCCAGGGTACAATACTACTATCAGAAACCACTTCTACCGATACCCGGCTTGAAAGGGGTTCTCCCAAGTCCACTTCAGCTTCGAATTCTTCTGTTGATCAACAATCACACTACAAACAACTTTCTCTCGAATTCTGCTGAAAAAAGTGTCTACAGCTTGTTCTTCACCTGAGATCTTCCAAAGAGATTTAAACCAATCAAATTCTTTTCTCCAAAGTGTTGAGATACGCCATACTATGACCTCTTATACTATGACAACCATCATTCTTATCCTGGCAGCCCCGGAAGAGGGCTGCCAGGCCCTTCCCAGACATGGTTACATGTCTACCTCTCCTTCTGATATTCTCGCGGCCGCCCTTGGTATAGGGCTGGTACTTTCAGTTTCTCTCGCTATCTAGGGAGGACTTCTCCTCTGTCGTCATATTCAACGGCGGAGATTCCAGCACCAACGGGCGCAATGGCGTCACCAAATGGTGCTCGATATCCGCGCTCAGATAGCCAGTAAACGCTTTGGCCAATAATGATATTTCTCTGAACATTCAAAATGACGAACACTGCTACAACTATTATCATCCTCTTCCTGGCAATCCTATACGAGGACTGTCACACCCTTCCACTAGATATGGCCAAGCCCATATCATTGTCTACTGTATTCGGGGCTGCTCTCGGTATAGGGCTTATTTTGATAGTCCTTGTCGTTATTTAGCAGGGGCTAATCCTCCGTCGAAATATAAGAAGATGGAGATTTAAGCAGGCTCGGGAGCAATGGCGGCACCAGATGGGCATTGACTCTCAGGTGAGGAGGAGGGCGGAGGGTAGGGGAGAGAGATGGGGGGAATACCTAGTACAGTTGTTTGCTTTTTAACTTTTTTGGCCCACTTCTAGTTCCTTTTTGTCTTTGTTTTCTTTTCTTATTCTTTCTAGTTGTTCATGTCTTGTCGTTTCGTTTCTTTTGTCCAAGGACATCCGAGCACAAATGGCCACCAAACACTTCATAAACCAACACCTTCCGCTACATACTCAAAAGAAGGAATAAAATGATCGGTTATAGTATTATACTGTACCTAATAGCTCAGAAGCAGAACTGATTGGTCCTGCCTATGAGTGTGGTTAAGGCTACATCGCCCTCTGCGGCCCTCCTTCAGGGCTACCAGGCCCTACCAACTAAAGTCGTTACGACCACATTAAGCCCTACGGTCCTCAATGCCGGCCTTTCAGGCGGACTGGTACATCAAGGGTGCTACAAGGTTTCGGGGTCCGGCGAAAGGAATTCCTGTGGGATGATTGAAAGAAGACATGATAAAACCTCATCATCGAAGAATAGTCATAGTCTACTTCGACCGACACGGTTCGGCCAGATAGCAGTATACCGATTCGTCAGTAACCGGAGCGAAGGTACGGGGATCAACAAGGAAAGGAAGTACACAACATAATAAAGTATATCTATTTCCGGTGTTGGGTACAATGTTCCAGGAGAGGCTGGAAGAGATCGTATTCAAAGCTATCCGAGGAGCTATCAGCACTTATATAGAAAATCATCAAGTAAGGTACTGGTTGACTTATCGCGAAATAAAACAATGGACATCCAAACAAATTTACGCAGCGGAAAGATATGAGCGACGGGAGAGATTTATATCGATTATAAGTGAGAAATGAAGCGAGGAGCTCAAGGGGAAATTATCGGGATTAATTATCACCGCGGTCAAAACATTGCAGGATACGAATACTACGGAACAAGGGGATACGGCATATCTAATGGCAGACCGCTTGATTACTAAACTAGTTGATCTAACCGATAAATCGAAGAAGGATACTATGAAATTCAGAAAGGAATATATCTAGCAGCGGGTGGTCCCTGTGGTCTGAACCGAGGGGTTGTGTCAGGAAAGGAAAGAGAAAAGGGGGAGCAGTCTTACAAAATGGCTCAATCAATTAGTACTTAACTATGATCAACCAGTTTTCGCACTGCGCCGGTCAATTCTGGTAGGATACTATTTTTCGTACATTTTTATATCGGTCCGATCTGGCCGATTTCCTTACAGTAGCGATGGACAGACATCCGACCCCAAATGGCCGCCGAAGAAGCGTGGCTACGTCCAGGTCAAAATGGCTATAGTAGCATGTCCTCCTATATCGTGAGTAACTATCGTATACTCCTTGCTTGCGAGTCTATATTAACTTGGGCTAGTTTCTAGAACAGTTATTCTATCGCGGGGTCCTAGCCTTGCTTGGGCCACTTTCTCGTGACGCCTGAGATTAGCCTCCCCAAGGACTGGTTTCTAGTGCCACTCTAATCTAAATCTAACAAATCTGACTGAATTATTCTGTCTGCACTTTAGCACCGGGCCTACTGGGCCAGATATACTAAAATCGGCGCGGGTTAGGGGGGCTCCTAGATATTGAACACGAACCCGACGCAAAACCAACTCTGAGCCAAATTTCGATGGATATGAAGAGTTGTGAACCACCACCCCCAGTGACCGTTGCTATCTTCAACATGGGGTTAATGGCCTTGCTATCCTCTATCAATATCTCGGTAACATAGTTCAATTTGCTCGTGTAAACGACCAAGATCCCTACTAGTTCTGCCTATATGTAATCTAAGCACAGTGCGGCGGAGTCACTTCCATGCATTTGACATTGACGGAAGAGTTCAACTCTTAGATATAAGCAATGCGAAGAAAAGAATATCTGAAACAAAGTCTATTATCTAATAGTTATAAATGCTCCGCTTTGCGGAGCCTTGGGTATCTATCTATCTGTCTGTCTGTCTATCTATCTATCTATCAAGTCGTGAACAAAAAAAAGAAAAAGAAAAAGAAAAGAAAAGAAGAAAACAACAAGCGAAACAAACAAAAAAGGTTATGAACAAGAAAGAACAGAAAGCAACAACATTGCAAAGAAAAAGTTAGAAAAAGACAAGTCCAGAAGTTATCTCCATCCATCCCTCTCTTCTATCCCCTCAGCCGGGCATTGCACTGTCCCACAGAAGGGGACCCCAACCTGCCCACCGTGCAATGCCCGACTGGGTCCTCCACCCTCTCCCCAACACAAAACAAAAACTCGGGCAAACGTAGCCTAGAAGCCATCCTCTTCTGGGATGGTGTGTAGGCTGGTTGCCGGACTCGCAGGAGGCGGGCTGTCTCTGACGACACTATAAACCTCTATTAGTAGGCTTGTTCTTCCTCCCGTAATCGTAGGTCATCTTACCAGCTTTCTGGCTGTGTCACAGTCTGGCCAACTGCGAACCTCGGGATTTTGGCTATGCTTGCTTCTTCTGCAGCCATCTGGGCTCGTATATCAATGGCCATCTTGTGGCGCCATTGCGCCCGTTGGCGCTCAAATCTCCGCCGTCGAATATGACGACGGAGGAGAAGTCCTCCCCAGATGGCAAGACAAACTATAAATACCAGCCCTATACTAAGGGCGGCCGCGAGAATGGTAGAAGATGAGGTAGATGTGGTTGTGTATATCGGAAGGGCCTGACAGCCCTGGAAGAGGACTGCCAGGTAGAGTATAATCGTAGTAGTAGAGGCTGTCATAGCGTTCATTGTTCTGAGTGTTTGGAGGACAAGGTTCGGTTGTCAAAGTATTCTTGGAAGGTGTCTGATAGATACCAAGTTGTAGCTGTTTGATGTAGCTTCAGTGAGAATAGTTCGTATTGTGAGTCTTGGTAAAAGGGAAGAATTCGCAGCTGAAGCGGACTTGGGAGAATCTATGCCGGTGGCAAAAGTGTCATAATAGCATCACCAGTGGCAGTGCATTCGGTACCAAATACTAAACCATGAGTCCCCCGCCATTTCTATGCCTGTATACCTAAGGCTATTACATCGAACCTCATTATATTCTATATCTACAGTTAGGGCTTCTGCTGATACATGTTTCCATTGCTGTGATTCGCGGAATATAGTTGTCCACGGCGCACGTACGGCAACTGCTACCCTGTGGTCCGTCGCTCTGCTCCTTCCCTTTCATTTCCTATACTGACACTATACAGAGGTGGTTCGTATTGGTATTTTCACCGTCTCCCAATGCATCGGCAACAGGATTCCTGTCTCGTCCTTCCTGGATGCACATGTTGGTTCAGGATGTATACATTTTAGTTTTGCCTATATCGACTTCCAAGCACAGGGGCTTCTTCGTCATGGTTGAAGCGCGTTCTGGCAGTACTGTCCACTCCTCCTGCAGGTCTGCTCAACAAACCCTGATTGTCTGGGAACTTCACAGGTTTTCGCAACCCACCGTCAGAACTAACCCATAGTCTCAACTTCAGCCTACTGAACCCGGATTCAAATGCGGCAATCTAGACGTTGACATTTGGAAATAGGAACGCATTGCGGTGGCATACTGAGCTACTACGTTACTCATATACTACGTTACTCATATTTGCTAACAGGACTAGTATTATGAAACACAGTTACATAGTCGAACCCCACCCCCCTAGCCAGCGCAGCCACAGCCACAGGCGTGTACCGCTCTGTTTTGACGTTTTCCAGAGCTTTGCGACCTGCAAGGTATATTGGTACCGCAATACGCACATTCTCGCCGCTTACCGTTCGAATGAAATTGGGATCCAGGATCTCCCGCGACTTGTCTAGAGCCAAGGAGTTAAGCCCATAGTCCTCAATGATGGCTCGCTCACTGATCGCGATAGTCTCATAGTCCTAAGGCTCGGCCTTCCGCGAATGAGGTTGGAACCGACCCACATCTGTGGCAACGGGACGGCCCGGTCCACTAGGCAGCCGCTGCCAAGCACCTGATCTGGCAGAGCATAAGATAAGATTGAGTAGCTAAATCAGGTTGGTGTCACTACTACAAAGGATCCTAGATCTTGAGACACATCCTCCTGCAGTGCCAGCTGTATGCCAGTCTGAGAATGGTCTTAGTCGGTCGCATCGCGTGAATCAGGGCACTACAAGGAAAGATAGCAAACTACAATTTAGTTGCCGCAGGCAAGATACTACATTGCTATGTTTGTCTACAAACCAGCCTCCTGGGCTAGTGCCGCGACGCAAGGCTGAACCATGGCTGGGAGCCGACTGCTACGGGAGTAAAGGAGGAAAGCAATGGCTGATCAGGTGAATAAAATTTCGATTAACCGATTCATTGATTGCCTCAGCGTTCCACACCTTGAGCGCCAACAACGTTCGCCGCAACTGATCTCAAATATGTCTGATTCTCTTTGTGCCGAGGAAAACATCTTTCCTTCTCTCTTCCGATAGACCCTTCGTCGTGATAGCCCTACAAACGCGTCACACAGCAGTCCTTGAGCCATCTAGCTTCTGTTCACCGGGCATTTTAGTCTCGATAACTTGCAAAGGTCCACAGATGGCCAGTATTGGTGTATGTCAGTACCTACAGTTTGAAAGATAGCAGAACGAGATGAGGGACAAAGGGCTACACGGCAGGTGCACGGAACTCCATGGAGCACACTCGTCCATCGGGATACGCAAGGGCAAGTGTATTTTCTTTGGCGACGGAAGAGGAAAATTGCTGATGGTCGAAAGTGAGCCACAATACCTTTTCAGCTGCAAAAGTCACCCAGCCATCCTCCACAGATAGCAGGGAACTTGGTTCGGCTAGCTGAATATCCGGTGTCAAGACAACTGGGCGTGAATCACCCTCCAGCGTGCGCAGCTGCCGACCGGTTTCGGTTTCCCAAAGCTTGATAGTATTGTCATATGAGCCGGAGGCAATTATTTGGCTATCCGGTGAAAGCGCTACTGCCCGAACTGGACCAGAATGGCCCTCTAGGGTCCGCAGTTGCTGACCGGTTTTAGTGTCCCAGAGTTTAATGGTGCTATCATAGGAGCCAGAGGCAACTATACGACTATCTGGCAAGAAGGCGACCGATCGGACTAACCCGGAATGGCCCTCCAGGGTGTGGAGCTGCTGGCCTGTTCTAGTCTCCCAGAGTTTGATTGTGTTATCGTAGGAGCCGGAGGCGATCGTGTAGCCATTCGGCGAGAAAACCACTGAGGCAACTAGGTTAGAATGACCCTCCAGTGTGCGCAGCTGCTGACCGGTCTTGGTGTCCCAGAGCTTAATGGTATTATCATAGGAACCAGAGGCCACTATCTGACCATCTGGCGAGAAGGCCACTGATTGAACCCAGTCGGAGTGGCCCTCTAATGTACGTAGTTTCTGACCGGTCTTGGTGTCCCAGAGCTGGATAGTACTATCATCGGAGCCGGAGGCAATCATCTGGCTATCTGGTGAGAAAGCCACGGACACAACAGAGTCGGAATGACCATCGAGAGTGCGCAGCTGTTGGCAGCTCTTGATATCCCAGAGCTTAACGGTCCGATCATATGAGCCCGAGGCGACTATCTGACTGTCATGTGAAAATACTACTGACACAACTGAGTCAGAATGGCCGTCCAGGATGTGCAGCTGCTGACCAGTTTTGGGATCCCAGAGCTTGATAGTATTATCCTTAGAGCCGGACGCGACCATCCTGCCATCTGGCGAAAATGTCACCGACACAATGCAATTAGAATGGTCCGAGGGTTTGACGATATTATCTTTGGATCCGGAGCTGATCATCTGGTCGTTCAATGGGAAGGCCTCTGAGTGAATTCTGTCAGAATGGCCCTTCAGGGCCTGTAGCTCTGCGCTGCTTGAACCCTCAACTTGTGGCAGAATATACACCCATCTTTGGCTCTCTTCAAATACCTTTTTGATAATACTACATGTTGGCCAGAACGCAAGCCCTGAGCAATATAACTGGAGTGGAAAGTCGTTGCAGATATAAATAACTTTTAATACAAACAGCTTCGCATCCTGCAAGAATAACGAAAGCTCAGAATGTCGGTCGGTCTATATTCTTCAATTAGCTATTCCCCCATAACACGTTATATAGACCTACCTGTGCTGCTAGCCGTAGTGTGTTTATTATATTGACCACCTCCGATATTAACCCCATCAAACTCATGGCCTCCAACCAGTGAAGAAAGTGTCGTTTTAGAAATGCAAACACTGCCGTGTGATGTACCTGGTCTTTGCCCTGCTTGATATGGTATGCCCAGTAGCGGCAGGAATATTGCAACTCTGCTGGGAGACACTTGTTAATAATTTGACAGTCAATCTTTGCTCTCTGAGTTCCATAACTTGGTAGACCGCAGATGTTGTGTTTGAGACTAGAGTTCATAGTGGAAAGGCAATACAATGCTATCTTCTGGTGTGATTCCTTCTCGTTGACATGGAAAATACTAGTTGTGTTAAGAAGAAATTCCTGGAAGGATAAATGCAGGGTGCGGACTGGGGTTCCACAGCTGCTCGGCACTCTAAGTACGGAGTGAAACGCGGCTAACCGAGAGCGAATTCTCCTTTCGGGGGTATTAACAAGCCCTGCGAGAGCCTTAACGGACAGGGGGGCTGCAAGAAGAATGATCACGCCCAATACTTCTTGTATCTCTTGTGTAAAGTTGGTCGCCTGCATCTCCGTGTGCAGTTTGTTCAGGATCGGCAGATATATTCTTTCCATCTGCGAGCCAGATGTAGATGCCGAATCATTGAGAACTGCATCAAGGCGGTCTTCTGGTACCTGGTATTTCTCCCCAATAAAGCGACACATGGTAGCTGCGAAGCTAAAGAGCGGAACTGATCTAGATACTAGAATCTCCATGATATCCTCGCCTGGCCAGCCAGGGGACAACGAATGCTCCATCTGTATTTTTCTTAGTCGATCTTGGAGAAATAGCCGTATGTCACGTTCAATCACTGTAGTGGGAAGCTCATGAAGCACCAAGTCCTGATGTTCCAAAACTTGCTGAAAGCCAAGCCGGATGGGAAGCTCGGGTCTGCTTGTCAAGAAGATCCGTACACGTAGAGATTCAGATTGGTGTACCTGTGGTAAGAGATCTAGAAGGAGCTTTATGTCCTCTTCTTCGCACTCATCTAACGCGTCAATCATAACAACTGTAGATGTAGGCTCGTCTAACCTCAGATTCACTAGTGGCTGGAGGAGAAGCTTGTCAAACTGTTCGGGAAGCGCTTTTGAGGAAATATGTGGATCGCTCTGAATCGCTGCCATGATACCTGGAGCTAGCTGACGGGTGCTGGTGATCAATTGCTTTGCAACCGTTGATATTAGTCTTTTCGCATTGCCACGTTCTGCTTCACCCTTCTTAAAGAAGAAACTTGCGCCTAGTAGCCCCTTCTCTTTAAATGACTGCGCAACCGTACGGGCAATGGTGGACTTCCCCGTCCCTGCCATACCATTCAACCAAAATATACATTTGCCGTCGGGCGAGCGACCCATTCTGTAATCTGGCGACGAATCTCAGTTCGGGTCTCTGGAAGACATTTGTCTTCATGTTGACTATCGTAGGAGTCATAAAACGCTCCTTCTGCAATTGGTAGGCTGAAACGCTGGATGAGCGTTTGAACAGACTCTATCATTTTATCACATTGGCTGATAAGAAGCTCCGCTTGTTCATTATGGCGCAAGTGCTGATCCATCTGAACCCATTGGTGCAGATAATGCTCTTCTTCTTTGACCGAGGATTGGAGGTCGGCGAGGCGTTGCTTGGTGATTCCGGTGACTGTGTCCTGTATCCACCTTCCCATACTGGGCTGTTGAGCACTTAACACCTCTGCTGCATAATGGAGAATGGCCTTATAAACCCCAATGATAGCGCGTGCTACTTCGGCATTCTTCCATGCGTCGTTGTGGTATATGCCTTTCTCGATATAGGCACACCGGGCAAGAACATTTGCCAAATATTCTGTAGAATCAAACAAGGTATCGCGCAGGTCAAAGCGGTTTTTAGTCATCTATGGGTTTGGATTCTCCTCTGATTAGGTTTGCTGGCTAATACTCCAGAGTTCACGACAGCTTACAGTCAAACCAAGCGAGACAACGGCCCAAGCGCTTGCTGCATATTGAGTCGGATCATAGGCTACCACGGCGCTAACAACGTCCTTGAAGGATAATGCCGCGTCAATTATGTTGCGTGAGAGTTGTCGAAGATCAATATCTTCCCCCGTCGACCTCCGGATCTTTAAGCTCCCATTTTGGTATTCTTCATATTGCTGTTTAGTTCTGTGGATGACACCCTCGATTATAGCCTCCGTTGGGGAACGTCCGTTCAGATTGCTTCTTATTTCGCTGGGAATCAATTCGCATGTTGACAAAGTCAGCTGTTCCTTCCGGTCTAGCTGATCATACGCAGATTGCCATAAATCTTGAGGGTGGGGATGATCCTGGGCCTGGTTTCCGCTATGCTGACGGATTGCGATTGCGGGAGATGGTGAAGGCACAGACGGCGCTTTGGGTCTGAGACGGGACTTCAAATCCTTTCCCCACGTTTTGAGACGCATCCTGTTAGGGGATCCTACGTCAACGTTTCCTGGAGACAGGGTTGTGGAGGATATTCGATGCGGCTGAGAGGTTTTGTTGCGAGACTGGGGTCATTCCCCTTGGTGCGGGGTCAAAATGTGCATGGTGCCTGATTCTTAACCTCTTCCAATCTACTGGTATGCGGTCTTCGTATAACTGAAGAGTCGACTAACCGTATACGGATAAGTGAGGGTCTGGACTCCAGAAAGCACATCCATTCATTCATTCATTCATTTCAGTTCCGTCGGCAACTCCACCCACTTTTAGCCCGGTTGACGTGGTTCTCTGCGCAAATGTTGCAATCCTGACCCCCGCAGGTCATTGAATGATGCGAACGATCACGGATATGGAGCCGATCCCAGCGACTGCATTCGCTATCTGCAGTACTTAATAACTGAGAATTGCAGATTATCCCCCAAAAAATGAAATACCATACCCAGCGCTATCGACTCAGTCAACCCAGTCCCGACCGTGATGGAGTGGAGAGGCAGCCGGAGCAGCGGTGGCCGTCTGCGTATCCGCCTCCAGCCTGCAACCGCTGCCGCCAGTACAAGAAGAAATGTAGCAAAACCTTACCGTCCTGCAGATCGTGTACGGATGCTGGACGGAAATGCTCGTATTTCACGTCAGATAGAATCGCTGCGTCGTCACCGGAGGTCCTCCATGCGCGAATACAATGGCTCACGCAGTACATTGAAGACAACATACCTGGAGCGACTGGGGAGCGGAACATACCTCTGATATCGCAGGAAGAGTCAAAAGTTAGTGATGAGGGTGAAAGGGGGATAAACTCCCCAGGAAACCTGGTGCAGACCCAACCTAATAACCAAGTCCAGAAGGCAAGCCCGTCCCTTGACAATGAGCACGACAATGCAGAACAGAAGAAAAGGGCTTCGGTGATGCTTTGGAAGGGGACAGACAGCGAAACACCACGGTCACTGGCATGTCTTGAGGCTTACTTTCACCATGTTCATCGGGCATATCCTTTCGTCGATAAAGCGCGGATTATGCAAGTGCAGAGTGCGAATTCGAATGTGGTGTTGATACAGAATGATGCTGACTCAACGGTGGGTTGCATTCTATGACAATGTCATCGTCCTAAGGCATATGGCAGACGACTGGAAAGGCTCAACTAATGAGACTGTCCAGATGCTCTACCTCATTCACGCTATCGGGCGGACGACTCTTGAGCGATCAGGAAAGATTAGTCCGCTTACTGGGAAAGAGGTTAAACTCCCGTATCCAGTCATTCTTCAATATTGCATGGAGAATGAGAGCATGGATTCGGTTCAAATACTTCTATTACTGGTGTTGTATTCGCTTTTTGATCCCCATGGCCCTTCTCCATGGATGATTGTTGGAATCCTGACCCGGCAAGCCATGGCACAGGGTCTGACTCTAGAGCGCACAACGAACGCCGATCAAGCGTTGCCATCAGACGAGCCGTCGCATCGACTGTTTTGGAGCATTTACGTACTGGATCGCATGGTCGCATCCTCCGTCGGCCAGGCTCCCGGGCTGTTTGTGCCGGACATTCATGTCCCACTGCCAGCCGTGACGGTTACTGAGTTTGCCTCAGCACAGCGAGCAGAGATTTCGAGTATGTTGCTGGTGACGCGACATGTGATCCAGCTACGTCGTCTCGAGAGCAAAATTACGGATGCGATCTTTCTGCGTCCTCGGGCAGATGTCCGTTCCTTGACTCCTTCCGATCGCACCGCTATTCTGAGCGAGCTACATTATGCTGTGGATAACTGGTACAGTGACGGCTGCCTCATTTCTCGTCCCGAAGTGAGTAATGTTAGGATCCATGACACCATGGCCTGGCTTAACGCACGTTACTACCAACTACTGATGTTGATATATTATCCGACCCCATTCAATCAGCCACCACGTCCAGGCTCTCATGAGCACCTCCTGAACATTGTTCAGAAGTATATCCACTACAGTCATATATTGCTGGAACTGGGACAACTGCCGCTTAACTACATAACGCTGACCCGATGCGTCCCTGCATGCCTCGTCCTCCTCTACTGCTTTGGTCATACAGCGACCACAGTGTTTTCAGCCAAGCAGGAGATCCAAAGCTGCGTAGCGATTCTTCAGAGCTTTTCCAGCGGCTGGGAGCATGCCATAGCCCTGTCACGAATTATGACAGACTTTTCTTCCGTGGTCTCTATGTACGAAAGCCGATCTGCCAGCTGTCTTGTGACATTACAGGCACCAACCGTTTTGCAACATACCGAGCAACCATCACTTTACCCACGCGTGGTTTCACTTAGAGCAGAGTTAATTGAAATAGGTGGACACATCATGGGAAAGGCCAACTGTTATCAATTCGTAGAAGGCTGGGATGTGCAGGCAATCAGCTCAGGCTCTTCAGCAGACTGGTCATCGTCAACCGATGCTGCCGTGACGAGGGATATTGCAGCTTTGTCCTCACCATTGGCTGGGGAAATCGGATGGGACTTCTTATAAAGCAGTCATTAACATGTCCTGCACAAATGCGGCGGGCTTTCCACACTCGTTGGCCGTAACCTGAGGGCTGTAGAATGTGAGGCACGTCACCAAGGCTCTTCCTGTCACATCAAATGCTTACGAAGGTGCCCAATGACCTCCGATATTTTCTCGATCTTAATTGGGTGGTTTCTGAACTGTATATCCCCAATTCGAGCATTCGCAACCAGGGACACAATTTCCCACGCTTGTCTAGGTGGGCAAATTTAATCTCAATCTGTTCTCGACTGTGACGTATCTACGGCAAACAATAACGCGATAAACGATCATTCGACGGAAATCCAACCAGGAAGGTCGCAACTGAGCCCTGGGCATCGGCCCTTCGTCTCACCAATCACTGTCTAGTATCGTAAGCCACATTGGCTCGTGTGTTAGCCCAACCTGTTCTGGTTCCACCCGAGACTTGGACAGGTATGCTTCTGAACCTACCCAAACAGGAACCGAGAAGGTTTCGGGCGAAACCATGTATCCCAGTACATTGGACTCGATCTGGTCCGGCAGAGTCCAGGTTCTTCTGCCAGGAAGAGCTGATCCTCTTTCCTAACATGGCGAGGCTATGACCAAGTAATATCCACTTATCAGGTTTTCATGCCAGGGTACCAGCTACACTCCCAGTACGGTAGGAATGACAAACTGATGAGTGGGTTATATATATATATACATGTATTATATTTCACAACTTACTCGTTGCCAACTGAACTTTCCTCAACACAATCAACATGGCCAGCATAGTTGGGAATCGCCTACTTCCTCACCTGGTAGACAGCAACGCTGAAGCCGACCCTACTGGCACCTTCGGTCAGATCCTACGAGATAATAACATCCCAAATCAATGGATACCCCTATCCAAAAGGCAATTGGCCCAAGCAGTAGACCATGCTGCGTGGTGGTTCAAGAACACAGTCGCCGAGAAATGCGACACAACGACGATTGCTTATATGGGGCCAAATGATATCCGCTACATGATATGTGCTATTGCTCTTGCCAAAGCGGACTATAAGGTTAGTAACTCGTCAACCATGAAAGGTATAACACGGTGACAGACATAGACATTCCTCCCATCCACACGGAACTCGGCCGAAGCAAATGCGCATCTCTTCCGTGCCGTTGGGTGTAAATGTCTTCTATGGGGCGGCCAATCTCAGTCAGCACAAGGGCAAACCGTTATACCGGAATTACAAGTCTGGCAATTTCCGTCCCTTGACGAGCTCTTGAATAGTAGTGTTTCACATTACCCATACCATAAAACATACCATGACGCTGAAAATGAAACCTTTGTGATCTTGCACTCCTCCGGAACAACTGGTAGGCATATAACCACTCGTTTATGTATATATTAACAAATCTTAATAAAAGCTCAGGACACCCGAAGCCCATCCCATTGACTCATGGATATTTCTCCTTTATGGACAGGGGCGCACCGCCTGGTACACCCGAAGACTGTGTGTGTGGATGGTGGAATTGCCTACAACGCGGAGAGCCGATGTTCCAAATGAATCCGATCTTTCATCTAATCGGATTTACTCTGGTCGTAGATGCAATCTTCCACGGCCAACAGATCATTCATTACTCCTCCAAGCCCGACGTCGATTCCGTGCTCGATGCACTATCGACACTCTGTCCACGAGCCGCTGTTATTCCACCGTCCATCCTGCAAGATATGAGCACTACAGCACGGGGGCTTAACACGATTTCAAAGATTGAATATATGTTTTTTGCTGGAGGGCCGCTCTCCACCGAGGCTGGTGATGCAATCAGTAAATATTGCAAGCTTATCCCTCTCATCGGATCAACAGAGTTGGGACACATCCCACCTACCAAGTCGAAGACATCCCCCGGTGATTGGAAGTATTACGAATGGCCCAGCTACCCCGATATGCATATGGAACCACATGATGAGGGATTATTCGAGATGGTCGTTCGCCGTTTGCCGCAAAGCCGCCTACTTCATGGTGTCTTTCATGTGTTCCCCGAACTTCAGGAATGGAGGACAAAGGATCTTTTCTCAAAGCATCCCACGAAAGATGGGTGGTGGCATTTTGAAAGCCGAACAGACGATATAATTGTCCTCGGGAACGGGGAGAAGGTGAACCCAATTCAGATGGAAGCGGTAGTCGAACGTCATAACCTCGTGCACAAGGCTATGATTGCTGGTCAGGGTATGGCCGAATGCGTGCTTCTGGTGGAGCCGGACTGGGGCAAGCTGGATCACCAGGGCCAGGGCGGCAGTTTCATCAACGAGATCTGGGATAGCGTTGAGTCCGCGAATAAGCAGGGACCGAGTTATGCATACATCGAGAAGGATAGAGTTGTAATTGCGAACCGTGAGAAGCCGTTCCAGCTCAACGCCAAAGGGTCACTGAGACGTCCATTGGTCTGCAAAGACTATCAATCTGATATATCGGCGCTGGGGAGTGTCGGCAATTTAGGTCCGGAGCGCCGTTCAAATGATGCCCTGCTGGGAGATGATATGGTGAGTTTGATACGGCATATAGTCTCTTCTGTTTCCTCGCATCAAGAACTTGCAGATGACACAGACTTCTTTGCTGCTGGGTTGGACTCTCTGCAGGTGATTCGAATGGCTCGGAGCATAACTCGGAGCATCGGGATGGGTTCAGAAGGGAGTCATGGGATACGCATTGATCCCCAGATAATTTACAGATATTCCACTATCAAGAGCCTGGCCTCATATCTGTCAGATGCCATGGAAGGGAACGTCAGTAGCGGTGGATCAGTGGAGGAAGCTGAAGACGTCCAAGCGACGATGAAACATCTCATCAACAAATACACCAATTCACTTCCAAATGAGGTGCGCAAATCAGTCCAGGTGTCCTCACGGTCCAATGTTATACTCACAGGATCTACTGGCTCACTTGGGAGCTATCTTTTGAACGCACTGTTATCGGAACCTTCGATTAACAAGGTTTACTGCCTGAACAGATCTTCCGATGCGTTCGAAAGACAGAGATCTTCATTCCACGACAGGCACCTAAACGTGAAAGCGCTACTGTCTCCCAAAGCAGAATTCCTCACGGCAGACCTTGGGGGTAAAAGTCTAGGATTATCGCAGAGCAAATACAACGAGCTCCTGAATACAACCGACGCCATCATACACAACGCCTGGAAAGTGGACTTCAATTTATCCGTTTACTCGTTTGAGCAGGACCACATACGTGGCACGCGGAACCTGCTGGACCTAAGCATCTCCAGTCGAAAAAGAGTGCATATGTATCTTGTATCATCAATTGCTACTACCTCCGGCTGGGAGCCATCAAAGGGAAAAGTCCCGGAGGACATTCTGCCGGATACAGTCGACCCTCCGTTACGAGGATATGGCCAATCAAAATACGTAGCTGAAAATATCTGTTTGGCTGCATCCTCGCGTTCCGGTGTTCCGGTAACTATCCTGCGAGTTGGGCAGATTGCAGGACCCACGACAAAGTTTGGTGGCTGCTGGAATCGATATGAGTGGTTTCCTGCTCTGGTCTTTACTTCACGATCAATGGGCTTTATACCTGACTCGTTGGGTATGCCGGTGGAGTGGATACCTGTTGTAAGTCGTCAATCTCCTATCGTTGACCTGCATTTACTAACCGCTGCAGAATACACTGGCCCAAATCATCCTAGAGATCATCCAGTGTGGTAACGAGAGTAAGCACGATGTTCCTACAAAGGTCATAAACCTAGTCAACCCGAATAGAACAGCCTGGGCTACGCTGTTACCCACAATTCAGAGCCGCATTGGGGCAAATCCGGTGAGTCTACAAAGCTGGGTTAGGTCACTTGGCGATGATGCTGGCAATGTTGAGGACCGACCATCCTACAAGCTTCTAAGCTTCTACGAGCGACTAGCCTGCGAAGATAACCCTGGTAGCTTCCCACAATTTGTCACGGACAATGCCAGTGCAGTGAGCCTCACATTTCGAGCTCTCGGTCCCATTAATTCTAGTTTGGTGCGGACATGGCTTGACCAGTGGGCACTATGATCACACATTGTAACTATCCCAAGGAGATGCAATCAAATCAACGAAGCGTTAAACAAAAGGAAAAACAAAGGAAATGCCATCTAAAAAGAAAGTCAAGTAAAGAGCGAAGAAAAACCCGTGTAAAACTTATACCATGTCCCAGCATCACCAGAGCTCATTTATACTCCATCCCCGGCGTCATCTGATAGCCCAACTCTGCTCTCGTCCGCAGCTCCGCCTCCTTCTCCTCTTGGATGAGAGCACAACACGAACAACAAAACGTCACACAGCAATCCCCACAACAGCTACCCTTAATCCCAAAGCGTTCGCGCATCTCACCGCGTCTAATAGTCTGGATGATCCAGTGGGAGTAAATGAAGGCGAGACCTGTGAAAATCGTGCACTTTTTACTCACTCGTCAGCAAGGTGTTTCTTTCTTTCTTTCCTTCTGGTTGAAGATTATTAGCGAGACTTACGTCTGAATTACAGTATCTAAAGCTACCCAAACTGGCATCGTGGTTCCTAGCTTGGGTTTTCCCGAATGTCAAACACGGGAGACACCAGCTCATCAGGCCTGAGAAGTATTAAGATTGCATGTGTTAGTTGAGTGATGCTCTATTGTGAGCGAGGATTGCAGCGTCAGCCTTACACAGTGAACCCGGGTCACAGCAATCGAAGAGGGAATAGTTCCAGCCGCTGTTCTGGGTGATATCGCGGGCTTGGCCTGGGTTGGCCTGGGTGTATGTCGGGGGGCCATGCGGCCAGGAGCGGTAGATTTTGTCGGTTGCTTGGGTCATTTTGGATGGAATCAGGCGGCTGGATTAGAGGGACAGGTATAGGCGAGTGTGATGGACGGATTATGACTTTCAGATAAGGGGTGTGCGGTTGAAGAAGATTGATATTCTTCACGGAAGCAGGAAGGAGTGTAGAAGGTCGGGTTCTTAGCTTCCAGAAGAAGAGAAAATTCTGGATGTGTCCCGTTTTCCAGCCAGGTACCACGGAGGTTAAATATTAACAGAAGGATTGAAAATCTCTATCATTTCATCCACTTCCCTCCTTTTTGGGAATCATAGTCTTCCGTTTTACACCGTGGAAAAGTGCCATAAGGCTATGTTAGATCCCCACTTAGTAGGTACCCAAAAAGGAAGTCCGCATTCGTATCGCACCAAATGTGGGTCTGTGGCCAATAGGCTCGCAGCAAATTGAAGACTGTTGACCCCCAGGTGGATCCTTTTCAGGGAACCTAATTTTTATAGTACCTTAGTACCTTAGTACCTTAGTATCCATAGAACAGGGTGCTGCGCCATGAGGATCTACAGTGGCATGGTTCAATGCAGGACTGAAACTGGATACCATGTAGGTGTATCGTGGCGAGGTTAAACCACTGGCGTGTACTCGCATCGTTCTTGTCTTACCTCGAGGGAAGTGTCGTTTCGGAAATGGATGAACTAGAAGGATTTCAGGCTTCTGTGGGACTACTGAATAAGCATTTGCTTCGGAGCTTGGGCTACAAAAAGAAGGTTACCTGCCTCGGGGTGGGACTACATGGTTTTTAAAGCTCTGGTCAAGTTAGACCTTATCTACATGATTATTGTAAAACGACTTTAACTCGGTATAGACATAGATAGAAAGTTCGAGCAGGTTATTGCAACTGTAATTCGATCTAAATAATGTTTTTAACATCTTGCCATACATTTACATCTTTCATTTAGAAAGATTAATCTTAGACTGACTTGGGGTCTAATTTAGTTACAACGTCTAAGATACTGAGTGCTCCCTGAAGCATTGTGTTCTGAGGCCATGTGATTCTGACTCCGACTGCCTCGGGTGGACCAAATCTTAAGGCAGTTGAAGCTATCACTCCGGATCTATCAATACGGAACACTAGATCATAAGGTGGGAATAACGTACAGGGAATAACGGACACTACCCAATGAGTCGTTTTCCGTCAGTGGTAACCGCCCAGATCCTTTTAGTGCTAAGACCCAGAAATACTAAAGAAAACGAAGATGAAAGGAATCATTCACATAAGGGGGAGAATCAAAGAAAGACCTATCTAATCTCGCCACTAATCCCCAGCCTATACGGTAGGATCATTACCAGAGTCCAATGTAAACTAATTATATTGCTACGATCGAACACTCGTTTCCCCCAGTCACTGGAAAAAGACGTCTAGTGGTGGATCGAGCGGAGGCTGTTGTTTCGCAATAGTCCTGACACATCCCAAGCTAAGGCCCCAGCTGCACTATCCGGGTCTCTATTATCATAGGTGTTGCTCCGATTTGAAAGGTGGTGACTTATGCAGGGCACTGGGACGGAGGGGGGGGGGGAAGCATCCGTTCAGGTCATTAGGCGTAGGACCCTTATAGTCACACACATCCGCTAGGTGGTATTGCTCGTGTAGGCACTGCCGATGGAGTGATAGGGCAGCTTTGGTGTATCGGCACCAAGTTTAGCTATTAGTAATAGATACGTGCATGATAGGTCTCACATTTTTAACAGGGCGTGTATGGTCCTTGTAGAGGTAGATGCGTTCCACCATTGGTATTCGGCAACGTAGGCAATCCCGGGGCTCTGGTGATCGTAGAACGTGCGAGTGAAGTCTAGGCATGGCACATTGCGAGTGGCCTCCAGATGACTTATCCCATGTATGAGATGTGCTATGCTTGTACATGTATTTGACAGACACAACCTGTGTCACAGGGCCAATGCCTTCTAGACTTTGACTGTCACGCAGTGCATGGGCCATTGCATGTATTGTTGGTGGTAGACGTCGAGGTTACGGTGAATGCCAGTGAGAATGTGCGTAGGCCAGTTTTCAAGGAACCAATTCCAGGTGAGCTCATTCAACAAAACGACGAAATACGAAAATATCACCAATGCGGGCTGATCTCGCTGCTGAACTGCAAACATGAAAACATCCGGTAGTCTGTAGAGCCATCCGAAGAGACATGGCCATAAAAGTGCAGTCGTTATGGGCGAAAAGGGGCTATAGAGAGCATCGTAGCACTGGTGAAGCCGTTCAAATACCATATAATAATTTGAATAACGCGGGTCTTGCGTACCAAGTTCGGATTCTATAAGATGTCGCAACTGGTCCATCCAATAGCCATACTCGGAAGCGATAGTGGAACTTCTGACGCAGCCTATTGTCCCTGCGTTCGATTCTGACCCGGAACCCGATTCCCCTTCATCACCCTTTAAAACTACATCTGGTGAAAACAGCTTGCTGCTTATCTCCAATACTGTCCGGACACCCATGAATAAGGATAGCAAGCCCGGCTGACCATCATCTCGGAATGCCATGTACTCCCCTGGTCGAGGCCCCATGGCAAGTGAGGAGATGAAGATGTGCACAGCGGCGGTATAAATTGCATGGCAGTTCTCTTTGTTTAGCCGTGGTACTTCAACTGCCACTTCTCGAATGGCAATGTTATAATGGCGTTCAGCTACCACATGATAATCTTTTCTCTGTATGGCAGATTGTTGCTGCTGCATAATCTCTGGCCGCCGTGCTAACTGAAAGCCCGAGCAAGCAAGCAGGAGGCGTAGCACATACGGGAAAGAGAAACCCAGGCGAGTAAGTTGAGAGTGGTAAAGTCTCGTTGCACTTTGATAGTCTGAAGCGCCATAGTCCGTTGGACTTACGAAGTTATGGAACAGCTCCATATCGACGATGCTAAACTCAAATGGTCGACATGGCAATGCTGGAAGAATTCGGCCAGATGAGGAAAATTGTAGTAGTTGCGTTACCAATGACTTGCGAGTTCTATGTGCACGCTTTGGTGTCTTGAAGTTGGATTGATACGACGAAATGAACGTGTGACGCTTAGCTGCCACCTTCTTAGGCGCCTTCACTACCGGCTGCGAATTGGCGTTGGAACTCGCTTCCTCGAGCTGATAGTCACACACGACTGAATGGCGCAGACAGCCATTGCAGGCTGGTCTCACTTCATCACACTGAGTACAATAGACCGTCAGTCTGCGGACATAATAGTTAGATAATAATTACTGAGAGTATAGTACCTACTTTGATCCTGCGGCGTTTACAATTAGCACATCCAAGACGAGATTTCCGATGTGATCTACGAGAGCCATTGGCAATCCCGCGGAGAGACATGATATATGTGACCTAGTACCCCTTGCATAAGAGGATATTTATCGATAAATCGGGTTGAAAAGGGAAATTGCAGTCGTGGCTGAGAATCGTCGCCAATACTTCGGAGAAATTCTTGACGCCTCATTCAGGGGCTCAGTCAGCATTTTCCCCGGTCTGATTGGTCTTGGCTCAGGAATGCCCCATTGTAGCCCTTGTGACAACCACGGAAAAAAGAGATAGAGATAATATCTAACATATCCTTCGTCAGGGGCTTTCAAACTCTCAATCATGGGAGCACTCCCAGTTAGATATATGTAGGGGAGAAGGCAGCCCTGGGAATATTGGTCCTTCTAGCATTTGCTGCCATAGTATTGCATCCCAGTAGTCATCCACCCTGTCGCCCATATCATCTGTGGCAGTTTGGTCGAATCTAAAATCGGTCACCATGTGATCAAGGTGCTGTGTAGGGAAGGCGAATTCTCTTCCTCGTTCGTTCGAATCCGAACTAGCAGAAGCCGGAGGGTAGTGTGTATTCTCGTTGTCAACTGTAGAGTGGGTCATCGTTGCGATCGGACATTTTCGCACTCTCTGCTCTGTCCCTCCCAGATCTTGATGCTTTTCCAGCCATGATATCATGCTTCCTATGACCCTCTTGCTATTCGCCCACACATCGTTCCCACGTGAGAGTTCTCCATGCTTTTCGATTGCCGCCAGCGCGACTCCGTGAATTCTTTGCCCCAACCCAGTTGTCCTTTCCCACCCAAGGTCGGACAACAAAAGGACCTTTGAAAGTACTAACAACGCATACCAGAGATAGGTATAGAAGGATAGAGGGAGGTGGATTGCAATTTCAGGTAAGGTCTCAAGAAAGGAGGAAATGAAGCTCTCTGCTGATGAAATGAGGTCGTCAAGCTGGTCCATTTCATCGAGAAGGAACGCGCCATTCCTGTGGTAGACTATTTGTCCAAGAACGATAACTGGTTTGACGTTCATTTCGAATACATAAGCGCCTTTGTTTACATGCGATTAGTAACTGACAACGAACCCTCTTAAGGTTGAATATATAGTGAAACAAGTAACTCACAGGTGTTGCTTCCTTGCTCTCTATCCTCATATTTGATACCTTGAAATAAACCAAATTCGTTGTTAAGTTCCTGGATTCTAGCCTCTAATCTCCTTTCTCCATTTGAGGGTGAATGTGTATGCCTGTGGAAATTGCCACTGAATACCTCTGCGCTCTTTTGTGCTAGCAGTCGCACCTCTATATATCTTTTCAGAAGTTGATCAGATGGGAATTCAGGATTCTTCATCAAGTCATCACAGCATTGATTAATCCAATTGGTATGTTTCATGAACAACTGCTGTCGAAAGAGCGACGACCTTGTTGCAATGTCAGCGGGTTCGAGTAAACAATAGAATGAGTCCTTACACCGAGCACAAATAGAAGGTACCCAGGAGGGCCCTCTTCCCAGCGGCCGAATGGCCCTCGCTCAGCTGATGCGCGCTAGTAGGCCTTCCTAAGCCGGCTGCAATGTTCCGCATGGTGAAATTCGGTTCACGATCAAGCCCAAGGTCAGCAGCCATTGTGACGGTGAGTTGAAGGAACAGATACATGTGCGGCAGCATTGACTCCCAGTGATAGTGGTACCACGCTGTATAGACAAGGAGACCTAACAGGAGATCTATGTTCCGTTCATTATTCATAATGATACGAGTACTGACAGTTCGCTTGACTTCATAGTCCAAAGTCTTCTGTAAGGCCGGTTGGCCTTCCGTACTGACAACCATGATAACCAGGAATAGGAAAGGATATTCTCGGCGGATACTGATTGCATTCATGGAGTCTGGAATTATGACAAACGGAAACTGTGGCATTTTGACCGTGCGAAACTTGTCCAAGAGTCGATTACACTGAGCCAAGGTAAGGATGCCAATAGTCAGCAAGTCGCCGGGCTCGCCCAAGTCAAGGCGCGGAGAGGTGGACGTTGTGTGTTCAATTGACGAATTATATTGGCGTAGAGCCTGTGGCACTACCTCGTCTCCAGACCTGCCATGTCCACAAGTCCTCTCGTCCTGTGGCTTCAGTCAGACAACGCTACATACTTCCCAATGGCAAGGAATCAACTTCCCCTTTGCGCTAGCTGATTGCGAAGCTCATTGACCTGGTCTTGAAGTTCATCAATCCGGCTTTTTCTACCTGGATTGTTCAGCAGGGTACCGGGGAAAACACAGGGACGGCCCAATCGAGAGCACCGTTGACACTCTTTATCATTGTCTTGTATAGAGCATTTGACTTTCAACTCAATACATCGGAAGCACGCATGACGCCTTGACGATTGCCGTCGATTCATATTGAACTAGGATATAACTTCTCATGGAAGGAAGAGCGATCGCAGATGTCGTTGAGGATCGGAGAGTCGGAATCGGAACCAGAGTCGGCGTCGGGGTCGGCGTCGGGGTCGGACACGTGCCAGATGAGTTGCATGTCAGTCGACATTTGTACCATTAGGGTTAGTATCCTATTGCTATTACTTAGTATCTATGTTCAAAGTGGTTTGAATGGTAAGTTCCCGGCGAACAGTGAAGTACGTTAATTGATGTACTTGATCAGTACAGGATTCGGGCGAAGCTCGGCTCTAAATATATATCCGTATATCCTATCCTAGCAAAGTGTCCACGATTAATCTCAGAACCTCTGAGACAGGTCATTGCGCCACTCCGCAAACTAGAGATTTACCAAACTATGCTTGTCCTTATTTTGTGTTTCCGAATACCCATGGTACTGCAAAGGACATCAGGCATCTTAGAAGTTGGCTACGTTCTAAAGGAGAGCGACCGAGGACCGAGCAGTTAAGGGAATGTCACCTTAACTGAAGACCAAAAGCAAAGACAACTCCTGGATACCCTTCAAGAACTATGATCTTGTTCCTGAGCACTCCGTAGTAGACCCTGAATTTATTCAGCCCCTTATCAGGTAGTATCCATTACCCTACGTGAATAGGCATTGCTGTCGTTAATATATTTAGAACACTAGCTAAAAGTGACTTGGGTCTCCACAATTGGCAGCTTAGCCAACCACATACAAAGGAGCCTGAACCACCACGCTGGGTGAAAGAAGTAAAAGCTTGGCTAAAAGTAAAGGAAAAGTGAATGTCGATCGCAATCATATCGCTACTGAGTGGTCCGACTGCCGGCGCTCTTTGGTCAGTAATGTCTCATTCCCCCACCAGCCCATTCGAACACCAGTTCAAGACGGGATTGATGTCTTGTGGCCCTAAATAATCCATTCCGGAACAATTATCCCTTTACATGTAGCAGTTCACCAATTCTGGACAAGGCCTTCCATGGGTTGGACCAGCGAATAAGTACATGTCTTACCATCCGTCCTTGATTCCAGGATGAAAATGTACATATGCTTCGCCCTGTGCTACTCCGTAGGTTGATGCAACACAAGTGAACAGTAGAAACAAATAGAGCTATTGACGCATGGTATCCATGAGGTCAAGAGATATGTTGCATGTTAAATAACACAACCTAGGGCTTCTAAGCAATCCGACAGTTCGTGCGTGATATACTCAATTCTGTTGGAGAATTTGGGCCGACAGTGATTGAAAGAGGGGTTTGCGCATATATTATGAGTCTTCGCTTCGGCTCAGTCAGTTTATCCAGACGCCACTAAGACGATAAAGTGACTCGTAGGTTAATGCTAATATTGTCCGGCCATCGGGGTGCATGTTTAGCGAGTGATTTAAACTTTCAATAGGTGCCGACATTGCGATGACGGGCTAAGCGGTATGTATGTACATACGCCGACAAGTTCAAGCCCCGGAAATTGTCGGAGAATATTACGCCGAGACCTCTGGAAAAAAAAAAAAAGAAAAAAAAAAGAAGGTAATGAGGTCTCACATGTATATCTGAGCGTGTTGGGACCTTTCATACTGAAGCATTGCAGTTGGTAAGCGGGCTTTGCGCTGAGAGAGGATGCGAGACAAAGAAACATCAAAGAGAGAGAGACAAAGCAGTGAAAGAAATACGCATGCTGGTCTGGGGTCTTGCGCCACTAGCTATTCTAACCTCTTGGAGCCCGTAAAGAGAGCTCTAATAATATGAGACTGTATAGCCACCCATGCCACCATTGGTGTCTGCCACTGGCTCGGCCGAAGATGTGCTTCCAGGAGTAGCGCGGGACTAGGCCCTAAGCGAGTCCAATACCCACACCCAGCTGAAAGCCGTGCTGGCCAAGAAAATGGCTCAAGAGGATTGGCCATGAGACGGTGGAGTGCCGAACCTAGTGCTGCGGCCTGTTCCTATCCTCCTACGGCATAGTTAGCAGTCTACTCCCGACAGAGGTAAGTGCTACAAGCTATCCACCCAAGTGCCGTTCCTGGCTCCGGAGGTGGGCCACGGAATGTCACTGAAATCTGACACCCAGGGAATAATGAGGATTAATGAACAGGCCCACCCAGTCTCTATATAAGGATCGACTGCCTCCCCCTCCCGAGAGGCTTTCCTACATCCAAGCTACTTACTCACACTGTCCTTGCGTCAAGCCGAAAAAGCATAACCTTCAAGGTATTTGCACAGCTTTTGATTGACGCAGATCATTCCAGGTGACTAATGACCTACAGTCCTTCAAATCACATTTAATCTACCGGTCAAGATGCGTCTCGCCTATCTCATTCTCTCTGTCTTTGTCGCTACCGTGGCTGCGGTGCCGAACCAATGCACCCCCAACGGTCTGCCATGCGACTCGCAAACTCCCTGCTGCTCGAAGCTCTGCGTCATCAAGGGTGACATCGGCAGCCCCAACGAGAATGGTACCTGCATGTGAGGGTTGGAAAGTTCAGTGAATTTGGCCTTGTAACCACTAGATACAACCAAGGCTGAGGATGGAGGGGCTGCATAGTGTTCTTGATTTGTCCAAAGATACCACAATCACGAAGAAATGTTGAAACCAGCCAACTACCCGATTACTCGTAATTTGCTTTTTCGCTTTTCTGGTAGCCATCTTGTTTCGGGTGCCATTCGACACCATCGTATCGGTTTGGAGTTGTAGAATACCAGGGGAGGCCTCCTGCCTGCACAGTCACGAGAAGTGTGCAGATACTTACCTCGTCGAGTGTCCGCGCTCTGTAGGGGGAAGTTTTGATAAGATCGACAAACTCATGGAGGATCCGCAGTTCCGCACAGTCGATCTTTCTCTCGCGATCTTAACGGTCCAGGACGAGTAGATCGTTTACTCTTTGAGGTTAATGATATGCGACGTCCGATTCTGGGTCCGGCCGGGAAGGTATCCAAAAACCCAAAGTTGAATTCTTAATTGTTTACAGCCGGGGAGGCGGTTGACGTACAATGTCAAATCTCTTCATGGATGCCCCCCCTGATATCGGGCCCAAAAGGGGAAACTATCCTTTGGACCCGTGACCCCTGAACTATTCCCGATTAGGAACATCCACTTTTTCAGGCTGTCAGGCAGCCAAGTCTGATCTCTTTCGAGGTTAGCGTTCTCGCCTGAGGCATAAAGGCCGGCGCGCTAACCTAAAGGTTCAGGATCAAGTGGGCTGTCATGTCCACTGTACTTCAACCAAGAAGATGTTCCACGATATCTTTATATAAAGGAAATGGGACATGAAGTGTAGTAATAAGACTACACGCATGTCAATACATCTCTTGGGTAAAGTTGTATTGGGACAGGGCGAATTGCGATATTCAGGAAGCGTTAAACACCTTGAACTTTCGATGTATCAAAATGCGCAAATCGGTTCAGTGTGAATTCATACACCAATCACGACGAACTGTAAATCCAAGGGCTTCACCATTATACACAACTTCCATATAATTTGCCTCTGTCCGAGCTGAGTCAAGGCTTCCTGACCAGCTAAGCTTCACCCCCATACCCAGGTAAACAAGCAAGCAGCTCATCTCTCTCTGCGTACAGCAATCTCTCATTAGCCTCACCAACCCAATAGATATAAATAGGACAAACCCACCAGCCTTATCATTGAACATGATGGAGATATCGTCATGCTCCAGTGGATAATCCAGCTCATCTAGACACACAAATCCCGGCAGGTGTGGTTTAATTTCCGGTAGAGCAAACTTGGCATCCTTGATGACAAGACCCCAAAGATCATTTTTGTTGATCGGCTGAAAGTCCTCGGTGCATCTGACTTCGAAGTTCATGCAGTTTCCATGTGGCGATTGGTAAAAGAATGCAATCAACTGGAACTTACCTTTTTGCTGCACAAGCTGTACCCGCGTAATGTTAGCTTCCCAATGGTTGCGGATGGCGAATAGCTTCCGTGGGCGGTTTATGATGAATCTCTTTGCTACGCTTTTTTATTGTTCCATTGTCAGTGGAGTACTTTGAGGTTGGGGAGGGCAAAACTTACCGGTCGAAGCGCACTTTGTAGCCCGTTATTGCTTGTTGGAACTTGTGGAGGTCTAGATTGGGGTAGTTTCGGTGAGTCACTTGCATGATGAAGAAATAACATCAGCTGGACGAACCTTCGATGGAATTGAACTCTATTCGCCGTAGGGTGAATTTTGCTTGTATGGCCGTTATCACTTTGGTCAAGTTCTCCATCAACTTGTCGCTCTGGGTATCTTGTCTGATGCAAATGGTCATGTCGCTTTGTGGAGACCGCAGGATATTCAACACTTTGTTGTCGAGGACGCAAAGACCGATCCTGAGATGTGAGGGTGCTACAGTGGTATTAGCGTGAATCAACCAGGGTCTGTAAATGGAAAGACGAACCTAGGTTGATTCGGTCTGTAATCGACCCCCAGCTAGTCTCTATAATGACCCTCAACGTCTCAGACCAAACAGTGTTGCCATACGGGCTTCGACCAACTCCATCCTTTTCCTCGATCACACACGCCATGCTTTCTCCGACCTCGAGGTGTCGGATACTTTGCATATCGAAGTCACGATCAGGAGGTTCTGATAACGCAAGGGAGCGTATAGGAAACTTCTCTGACTTGGCCTCATGATCTTGAGGACTAGCGCTCGATAGTAGCGCATGCAACAGGCTGCGCGCGTGGCGGTCATAGCAGGTCAGTGAAATAGAGAGTCTATGGGATCCCTCTCGGAGCTGCAGCAGCAGGCCGGGGAATCCATTATCGTCTTCGTAAATACCATACAACAACGGGGTGTTGTTAGAGAAGTGGTGAGACGCTTTGCTGATCGTCTTAGCCTGTGGCGGAGTAGTGACGAAAAGACGAAATCCACAATGCACCCTGCGTTCGATTGTTCCTTCCTTGACCCTTTCGAACCTCTCAAACAGTCGAACTTGACATTGTGCCACAGGCCTTGAGGGGAAGCTGCTAGGCCTATCGTGACTTACGTAGTGACAGAACCCCACGGTATCCTCGAAAACGAGCGTTTCGAGGTCTCCCGCAACTAGGAGAGACTCGGTCTGCATGATCTGCTGCGCAATCTGCCATACCATCTTAAAGCTCTGCTCGGTGAGCTGCACCTGAGCGATGTACTGCGGGTCAAGCATGATTTGTAGCACCGAACGAGTTGCATCCCAATAGACATCATGCCATGATATGTTCCTTTTCCGGCTTGAGTGGATCTCAATGTAAACAGCTGCTGTTTGGCTGGCGAGAACAGCAACGATCTCCCAATTCGATTGGAAGCGGATAAACGAGAGCACACACTCAAAGGAAGGCGATGGGCGATCGGCTTCCTCAGTGAGCAACATCAGACTGACAAACTCGCTTCCGTAAGAAAATAATGTATCGGTATCGCCGAAGGCTAAAGGGGGAATAGTATCGGCCGGCTGAGATCGATCGAAACAAAGGATCTCGCGTTCTTTTGGGCTGCGTGACGGGTACATAATCCACAGGCTTCTGTCGACATCGATCTCAGTTACCTGGTCATGTTTCGTCTCAAGCAGGGTGGAGATAGTGTAGGTAAGTCCTTCAAGGTATCGCTGGGCACACCTGTATTGGTCTATCAGTGTAAGGCAAAGGCCAGTACCGGCTAGCGATTCACCACAACCTAATTCAGGTATGATGCAGTGACATATCCACCAGGCTTTGGCCAGATTGACGGCTCCCTGAATAGACATCCGCGATGCTTCCGCATCTCTGTTGACTACAGGCATTGCGCCCTTGTGGTAATCCACCGCCTCCATTTGTTCATTTCCCTTAAGCGCCCACCATGTCGCAGCCCTGACCCAGTCTTCTGCCGGTATATCTTTGAATGATTTTAGAGTGTTCACGAAAGGCCCGAATATGTCCTCGAGCTGTTTCTTCAGGGTCGTTGTCTCTCCCACTTCGCTAGCTTGTAAAACTCTTTGGGGAGAAAATTGGTCTGTTAGGCGTTGCATCATCAAGCTATCGCGCGTGTCCATACAGGGTATACCAGCACTGCGACCGGGAGGGGGCTTCGGAATGGTATAGGGGGTCATTGAGGGCTCGTCGAATGACTCGAGGAGGGATGTGACCTTAGGGAGCTCCTTGGGTTTCGGACTGGGATGATGAACTGCACCAGATGTTAGCTATGCTTAGGCTTTGACAAACCCATATGAAAACCTAATCTCGCAAGTTACTTACACTGCACGGGGGATTCACTCCCTTGTAGTGTCAGAGGTTGGTTAGTTGAAGAATAAGCAGGATGCCGGTCGGGAGCAGCAGCATCTCTGTCTTTTTTCGCGGTAAGAAAGTCTCTGATTTCCTCCGCCGTGTTCTCCTCGATGTCTTCGCTGTTTATCGAATCGTACGTCTGCTTCAACCACCTCATCTTTTGAATTTGCCAACGTATGATACGCCCGCTTCGAAAGACTAATTGGGGTTGCGGTATGACGGTGACTTTATATCCAAGACAACGCCTATGCCAGGCTATCCGCAAAACCGCTAGATGCCAGCTAATCCCACCCCATGTCTTATTATGAAGCGACTTACTTCATAGGCTCTAATCTAATGGCACGCCCCAGAAGAACCCCCGGTATCTCGAGCCGAAGTCTTCAATCAGGATGTGGGTATCCCATTTTAGAAAGCGTTTCCACGCTGATTTAAGACAGCGGCGAGCTGAGCACCCACTTCGCATGCACCTATTTTAGCTTCGGGTCGGTTAGGGCGTCGGATGGGGAAGGCTGGAGAACTCGGAAAAGGCTGTCCATGGGCTATGGAATAATCGTCACAAGGATATTATTTCTCTCCAGCATACCCTTCGCACTGAGGTAACGATGGCAAATGCGAATCAATTGGCTTTATATGGTTTCATGAATCAACAAAATGGTTCTGCGGAGGTGAGAACGGCCTTAAACTGTTGGAGCGCTCTGTATGAACTACCATCATAGCGAGCATACTCGACGTTATTCTTACTTGTATATATTTGATCATATATCGAATTCTCTGGTGTGGCTGACCTTCAGGAATTGGGAGCAAGCGGGAATCACCGAGCAAACTAACACCAAGATTGGTGTTCGATTCTGGATCTATTCCCACATGGTTGGGACTCCGCATATAAGACATCGTGTTTGGACGAAATACGGAACGCATTTTCCGTCGAAAGCTATAGCATAATCGTTATGTTTCAGCTATCTTCGCTTATTCTTACAACTATCATTGGTCTTTGGAGAAGCATATATGCTCGACAACCGATACACAAGTAGTAGGCTCAAGCTGGGCTATGCCTGTATTTGATATTTTGTAGCAAGTGCCCATTCAAATACAAACAATGCATGGGTATTGCTAGCCCACACCAACCATTTTACCATGACAGAGTATATGGAACGCCATACCGCACGGCGTGTTACTGATCGTGCAATATGGCACTTGAAATCTTCTCTGTCTTAGGTGCGCTAAGGTATGGGCCCCGAGTTGCCCGGTGAAACCCAACCAAGGAGAACTCAAGGGAAAGCATTCATTTCTAGATGCTCAAATTTGTCTGATATACGGGGGATGCCCCCCTTTAGGAGAAGATACGTATGATACACTGAGTCTTACCCAAAATGTTTATCTTTATTTTATGATATGGTTTGATGCCACTGTAACATGTTCCAGCTATATCCTTTGGGGTTTCAGGTGCGTATTATCACAGACTGCAGAACCACATCCACACTCATGCAATGTCATATCACGTTGCCATTGTATCATCGTAGAAAGTCTGCGGAACTATAGTGGCACGTTTATCGGGAGAAACCGTTCGACATCAAGATTGGCTATATGGATTCAGATATGGAGCACCATGCCATGTGTTCACCGCGCGCTTTGAGCAACGAAACCATGGGGCTATCTGGACTCTAATTTTCTAGTGCCTCTCTGAAACGCCAGGTCTTGCTAGCAGATTAGTTAAACCCACCAATCTTACCTTTTCTCAGCCGTGTGGCGACCTGCACATGGCTAGGTTCGCTACAATTGCCATATATAGACCCTAGTGCTATAATCATGGATGTAATACCCAGGCTCTTGAATGGCTAACAAGCACCCAAAGTGCTCGAAAGTATCGTTTAGACGTGAGTGCTGTATGTAGTATGCATTACACCCATTCTAGCATTTTTACCCAGCTTCCTATAATTCTGTGACTATATTACTATAACCTGCTAAGCCACCCTGCCACAGTTCGAACCCGTGCAATTGAGGAGTAAGGTGAGACACTCCCTGACTTAGCACACACTTGTATAGATCGCGAGGAGCTCAAAGCCAGCCAGCCATTCTTACCTGTCACGGATCACCAAGCGAGATGCTTAGCGTAGGGGTTACCCCGGCTCAGCCCTAGAAAGTAAGACACAATGCTCGAAAATGAAACATGCTGAGAAGCGTCCCGGTAGCGATTCGATTCTGCATTGATCGGTTGAAGCTATGCTAAAAATATCTCAGTGTCGACCCACACCCACCTATCACTGAACGAGCAGGTTTGGGTGTTGTCGCGGGGGATCCACTGTTTCGACGCGGATAAAGGGGTCCAGAACGTCCATGATCCACAGTTATATCGCTCTTCGTCTGGTAACATTTTGAGACACACCAGGTTAAACGAATGGCTTCTATTGGCGGAAATCTACACTAATACACAGCAGAAGAGATAACTTCGGCCACATTATCTTCTGCTTGAGGGGAAGATTGGTTTTACTATATGTTTCTCTTACTTCCCGGACTGTAGGATACCTTTGGGCAGTGCGGCCAGCCATTTCACATATGCTGTATGGCTAGCTATAGTAGGCGAGTAAGCTCATGTAAGCTATATTATGAGAATAAACGTCTCAGCACTTGTATAATCATAAGGGCCTATCCCCCATGCCGATATAGCTCAGTGTTGTGACGTTTTCGACTCTCGCCCCGATCATCTTCAAACCAAGGCGAACTATTTGAAAGGTTTATGCCGCATCATTTCAATTCTCCTCGGAGGTCCCAGGCAACGTCCACCGTTTGAAGAACTTCATAATAATTGGCGTCGCATCCAGATACGTCCCATTGGGGTTGTCACTATTCGGCTTCACACTTGGCCAGTCATGTCCCAGCCCATGAACCCGGTAATGAGTAACAATCCCAAGGTCATCACCACTCCCATACTGGTATTTCTGTACATTACCATTGTACAACTCCGTAGTCTTGTTATGCAGCCCGTACCCCAGTCGCTTCGACCATTCACGAACGAAGTGCGGGATCGAAGGAAGACATTCGCCGTGCCGGCCACCTCCTCCGTAGGGAATTGTCTTATCCGCCGTACCATGAAATTCAAGTATGGGGATAGAGGCGCGACCAGGAGAACACTTGATTGGCACCGTAGTCGGGCGACAGTCTTCTTCAGAGACATCCTGATAATAAGCGCCCGCGACGGGAGCAAAGGCAGCAATTCGGGTAGATGCCGTTGGATCACAGGCTAGCAGGTTTGTAAATCCGCCGCCGTTGGATTTGCCTGCCGCATATACACGAGTAGAATCAATACAGTACTTTTCCTGAAAGTTGTCGAGCATTTCCATGGTGAATGCTACGTCGTCGACATCTTTGGAGCGTGGGTCTCCTTGCCATTCTTTCTGTATGTATGTATGTATGTTAGTATAATTATCCCACTGATAATGGGTATTAGAGTGATAATTACGTACGTTCAGCCCCTGCGGATAGACAGCAATGGCATCTGGATTCCAATCTTCATTACTGAATTGCGACAGCTTCTCCTGGCTTTCGGCTGTTCTAATACGCCCGTGAAATGAGAATATGAGCGGAGCAGGTTTGTTCGCGTCGTAGTTAGAAGGAATGTGGATGCGATAGAATCGCCGAGTGCCATCTGATGTGGTGAAACTGACCCCGTAGCTGGATCCGCCGGGGCTCTGGTTTGGGGGTAAGGGCTGTCCACAACCTGATGAGCTGGCAGCACTGGTTAGCCCAGCAGCAGCATAGAGAAAAATTACTGAGAGAAGCTTCATTGTTTTTAGTGGGGGGGAATCATGCGCTAATCCTTCACGGCAGATCCAAGGTTGACGATGTATTCTTCGGTTTTCTTCGGATGCGCTCCTTGCTTATGTAGATCCTTTGCCCATTCTGGATATATGGGTCTCGGTACAACGCAACTAGGAGTTCGTGCTTGGCAAATGGCCCCCCTCGCATTCACGGCAATGAGTGCATCTTCTATAATCATTCGAAACAGGAAATGCCATATTTTGGCATGGGCTTCATGTAGCGGCACTTCATGCCTGGCTTGAATTTGCCATATATAAAGGATTTGACGAACTCGCCGTGAGGCTACTGGACAATGGTGCCAATCCCCACTGGCATTATAGAATTAGAAGAGAGGTACACGGGCGTCCCATATTGACAACACTCCCCCGTAGTGAAACGGCGGTTTTTCTGGCTACCCGTCATCGCCGAATGAATATCTTGAAGAAAATGGATTTGACGAAGCGTACCATTTACGGGCCCTACAATTATGCAAGAATGACACTACTCTCTGCCGCTATTTTGAGCGAAGATCCCGAGATAGTGCAGGAGATCATTGAGCACGGTCATGGAGTGAACGACAAGGTAGATACAGACTACAACGCTATACACTTGGCAGCACGCCGTGCAGATTCCAGAATTGTAGAAAGATTGCTACAGCTAAAGGCGGATGTGCATCATCTGGGCTTCATGCGTGACGAAATTACACCGCTTGGAAGTGCATTAGCGCAGGGTTTTCCGTGCCCCGGATATTTGAGCGAGAGAGAACCATCAAGTTACTGTTAGAGGGAGGTGCAAATGTAGAAGGTGACCCTGGGCCCAGGCATCTTAATGTCGCGGCCGCGCAAGGGTATGTGGCTGCAATTGAGCTTCTGATCAATCACGGTGCTATAGTGAACGGCAGCCGGTATGAAAACACTACAACTCCACTCCACTTTGCAGTGAGCCACAATCATTTGGATTGCGTCTGCGTCTTGATTGAAGCTGGGGCATCAGTCAACGCCAAGAACGAACGAGGTGACACACCACTTCACCACGCAGCTGGCCCCTGCACTGAGTATTATAGTCAGATGTGGCTATACAAGGGGCTCCTTCAGTTCGCTGCAAAGAGCCAAAGGCCAGCCTGTACGGAGATTCTACTTCAAGCAGGGGCCTCAGTGGATGCACAAAACAGTAACGGCGAAACGCCACTCCACAGGGCAGCTCAACATGGATGGTTAAAATGTGTGGAGGCTTTAACTGATGCCGGGGCTGCGCTGGATGCGGAAGACACGCACAACGAGACACCTCTCCAAAAGGCAGTGATATTCGCGCACATAGATTGCGTGGAATGTTGATTGAAAGGGGAGCTTCGGTTGGACCGATGGCGGATGGCCGGAGGCTGATCGATCTAACGACAGAGACAGAGGAAGGATATGAGATACGCGAGCTTCTCGAAAGGTATCGCACCTCCCACAATTGATGGAGTAGAAGGAACAGAGGAGCCCGGTAAGCTACATGACGATATCTTGGATTCTGTGGTTTCTAGTGAACCAGCCAGAAGTGAAGATTGATCATAACGGACTATACCACAGCCACATAAACAGATATAAAAAGCCACTTTGTCGCATTAGAGATGAAACACAAGCTCTGACGGGATGTAGATATTAGACTGTATAGCAAACTCACAACCCTTCACCCCAGGAAAATGAATTAAGATCATATCTCCCGACATGCTTGCATTCCTAGTTTTCTGTTCACCTATTCTCCCGTCGTCGGTTAAGTTGGGCGGTGGTGGAAACTGGACAAGTCCATCCAGATACTCGTCCCCATTGGAGCCTCTACTGACTGTGGTGAAGAAGCCTGACTGAAGAGCTAGTCGATTCAAAATATGTGTATGAGCAAATGTGATTGATTGAAGAATATATCTAGGCAGAGCAAACAATGTGTCATACATTGGGGCTGTTATCTGGGCGGGCGGGAATGCTCGGGCGAAATTCATGTATCATCTACCATCGGATATCATCGGCGAACAGGTACGTACCGCTCCCCGCAGCCCTAGTAACCAGTCCGCCCCGAGTCGAGTGTGTAGCCGATGCTTATTGATAGCCAATGCTTATTACGAGATCCTTTGCAGAGGGTAATCTCATAGGGCAAAACCGGTAAAAAGTCCGTTTTAGGCCTTGGTCTTAGGCTTCCGAACCATACAATACAGCTACAAAATTAGCATAACCCACAAGCAAAACAGACCAACTCACCTTGCAAGCATCGTTCCCATCCACACAATCAATCTCGGTGACTAAGTTAAAGCCCAGTTTCTCGTAAATAATGGTATTCGGAACTCCCTTCGAGCTCTCTAGATAACATGGCATGCCATCACGATCCGCCTGCTGCGTGACAACCTCCACCAGCTTCCGGCCCAGCCCCATCCCGCGCATCTCCGAGCTCACAGCCAAGACATTACAGAAGTAATACCCGCGCGGGTCGGTCCAGACTACGTCGTGGGTTTTCCGCTGCATCTCCTTCCACATGTTGTACCGGTGGAGGTTGAGGCCACCTCGTCCGCCAAAGCGGACGTTGAAGAGGAACTGGCGGAAGGAAAGGAGCCAGTCCTGGGCCCAGACGGACCAGGGGACGGGCTTGGAGGCTGGCTGGGGGGAGAACCACCAGCTGACGCCGACGACCGAGCAAGGATGCTTGTCGCTGATCGGGACCTTGGCGACGTACATCGGGGTGTTGCAGTTCAGACCATATTGAAAATGGGCGGCGAGGGAGGCGGCGTTCCGGTGGATATTGTACTATTCATCAAATGCGTTTAGGGTCTATACACGGCTTTTCTTTTCTTTTCTTTTTCTCTATGGATGGGCTTCGGGAGAAACACAGATAGATCGGTAATTCGAAACTTACTTCTGAAGAATCGAATAACCAGTGGAAATACGGATCATCGGCAAACGCCGTTTGCACGCATTCTACGGCCTCAGGGATGTCCTCTTTGGTCATGGGGACGATCTGGAGAGCCATATTGGAGGTCTTGGTCTCTGTTCTAGCAGCTGAGATTCAATTCCTACTGTGTCTGCGAATGGGCTGGGATAACGCGATGGTATAAGAGTGCGAATGGCGGCGAAGGGGGAACAAGGACAGCGCCATCTAAGGTCGACGAGCCTCGCAGGAGAGAAGGACGGACTGTACGACGATAGGAGGACGGATACGAGCCGGAGGGGAGATGCAATACAGATGAGCAGCTGGTGGCAGGCTTGAGACTGTTGGATTTTCTATCCCTTGACTGCTGAGCATGAGCAGTAGTCTTATAAGTGCTATCACACAGCCTTTAGCCCTTCCTGGCAGTTCGACGCGGATGCTGCGACTGTACATACAAATCCCACCCTGGCCAATCAACGCCCCCGGTGAAGATCATCTGGCCAAGCCGCTAGGCGAGATTAGGCAGGTTCTGCCGTTATCGGCCGTCAGCTGATCCCTTATCATGCACCCTGTGGCTGCCTCAGGCCGATTGGCGACGAGGTAGTGGACATCGACGCCCGCGGAACGTCATCAAGCCTGTGTTACGGCGGTCCCCTGAGGGTCTCGCATCATTAGCACGAACACCGCCTGGCCGGTGCCACCGTACTCTGCATAATCGATCACAATTCTCTCCATTTCATGCCACCCGTACTTGCGGTAGAGCGGGTATCCCTCGATGGTGGCCTCGAGATAGATGCGCGCGTTGCGGGCATCAGCGTGTTGAGTCCCCCACTGTAGTAGTTTGCTGCCGATCCCTTTGCCTTGGTGCTCGGGGGAAATGGCTAGTATATCCAGGACTATCGTTTCGGGGGTCATTAGTAAGACCATGACAGACAAGCTTCACGTAATGTGGGGAATGTTCTCCAGGCAGCCAAGAAAGGGAATTGAAACACAAGGCGACAAATGGCAGAAACCCACGTACTCATATCATCCTTCCTAACGTGAGTGGCCCTTTTCTCTTTCATCCGCCTAAAAGCTGCTTCCCAGATATCTTCCCTCATCTCCTTTGGTCTTAGACTTGCTGCATTCGCCACCATCGCTCTGCCCTCCTCAGATAACTCGACTTGATTTTCCTCCCAGGGAACCGTCCAGCGGGCATACCCCACTATCCGATCGACACTGGTATCCACCGCAGAGAAGACATGAATCTCAGGGGACGCGAGCTTCTCAAGACAGCGAGCCTGTTTCATCGGTATACAGATCTCGGGCTCGATCCCCGGCAGAGCATTTAGCCACATTTGTTGATGTCTAAAACTGGCTATATTGATACCGCCAAGGGCGGCAGCCTCAGACTCGGTAGCGTAGTGGATGTCAATATTGTTCGCCATAGTGGGATCGATTCAGCTGTACCATAAAACCTAAGAATTAGCTTGGTGAGAGATCACGGCATGTTTACGTTAGGGGCTAAAGGGCTGTTGATAAGAACGGCGCCAAGGGGGCCGGGCACCCGTTTAAGTAATAATGAACCTCGGCCGTGAGTCACTACGACAATTTAGCCGGTTCGCTAGTAGCGGACAGAGAAATCACTCACTGTCTAAGCGTTACATCGTGCTGTTGGACTATCGTTGTCAGTCTATTTACCATCACGTGTATTGTAGGCCCTAAATGAACCTGCCACAGTAAATGAGAACCAATGTCGCTCGTAAATTCCCGATATTTTCCATCGCAGTCGTAGTCTATATACAGCAATCAATAGTATTTTAACGATTAGGCCCACTTGCCCAGCACGCCCATCAGGACCATACCGGCTATCAAGGCCACGCCTCCCACCAACACTCTAGTCATGGGCGCATCCAGCATCTCGCCGCCTTCAATCACCCAGTCTCTCGCCCACATATCCACAACACCCACCCACACCAGAATACCAGCCGACAAAGCGTCCAGTGTTCCGAGTGCGATCAGGGTGCTTCGCTCGTTGCCATTGAACGAGTGCAGCACGCCCATTCCGATCGCCATTCCGATCGGCGTAATCAGTGCAAAGGTCCCCGCCATCACGGCTTTACTGGGGAAGATACGACCCGGAAGCATCGCAATCCGTGCTCCGAGCGCCAGACCCTCGAAGACTGGTGGAACACAATAACCACCAGCAAGGTCTTGTAAAAGGAGTCGCCCGCGACAACCAGCGTCAGACCGATCAGGATACTGTGGAAGATCACACCCGCCTCCATGACCATCACCGACAGTTTTGTGTTAGCATTATCACCGCCGTGGCTGTGACTTAGCTGGGTGAGCTGCATCGTCCGTGGTGCGGTGTTTTCCTTGGGAGTTGCGGACTCATTGTTCGACGGTGTGTCCTCGCAGCATTCCGCGGCCGATTTATGTCCGCGGGCTGCGATGAATCGATGGCCGATGTATTCGGTTAGGAAGGAAAGGAAGATACCGGCCATCACGACGGCAGATGTGGTGGCTTCGTATTCGAGCTCGCCGAGACATTCGTTCGTGAACATGAGGTTGGCATGGGTGTATAGCTAAACATGATTAGCGTGGTTCAGAAAGCTCTCAGAATGCCAGCCTCACATGAACGAACGCGGTGGACAGAATCACACCAGTACCAAATTGCTTGATGACAGTTGAGGCCACAGTATTGATTGTGGGAAAGGGAAGCTTCGCCATTAACATCGGAAGGAAGACACCAAGGGCACTTGTAACAAGCACCACAAACAATGTTCCAATCCGCAATGGCATGTTATAATCGCGACTCTGGACACCGCAGGATCTCTCGCTCGAACCTTCCGACTCGCCTGCGCCGACGCAGTGCCTAGTTCTGTTAGCTTTTGTTGTTATAACCATGTCTTATGGCTTTGCGAAACACATACTCAACACCAGCATGGAAATGACAGTTTAGTTCGCCGCTGGACTCGCCGCTAGACTCGCTACTACTGTCGCTTTCGCTTCCGGTTTCCCCCTCTTCCAGGATCTGGACATCGTTTCCGTCTGCATCCAAGCAGTACCTATGGTGTGTGAGATACAATCAAACCCGGTCTCGCGGGGCATACTCACTGTGAGCTGCCGTGGGAGTGGCAACCGGTATACTGCGCGGGCAGCTCCCCAGTTGGGGTCCCGGTCAACGACACCTGCACTTCGTTTCCTTCGCCATTAATGCAGTAGACGTCGTCACCGTGGTTATGACACCCCGTCACTGCAGATGACTGTGCCGACGAAGTCGTCGTAGCAGACACAGACGTGGCCGTCGCCTGTGCATGTGTGGTGATAGGGGTCTCTTCGCCATCAGCCCCATAACAGTACTCCACGCTGCCATGTGAGTGACATCCCGAGTAAGACTGGGCATGCACCACGCTGGCGGCGAGAGACGCCACAAACAACCCCCGAAGTATATTGACCATGATCTCTGTATCACAATTTCAACGTCAACTGCAGAGAGGATAATGAGCCGAGAAATCAGTTCTTGATCAACTACTATTTATCCCTCCGTTCTCACAAGGTGTCGCCCTATGCAATGACTCGCTTAGTAGGCAGTAATTTCGACTACTGGCAAAACCGCGCCAAAGTCGGATTTCTCCGACATGACGGCGTGCTACTAATATTGCCTTCTGACAGAGATTTACTCGTCCGCCGAGAAGCCTCGCGGGCTAACCCCCAAGGTATCTGTGCCAAGCACGACTGTCTCCCATGCCAAGAAGCTTCCAATGATTATACCCGCCTTTATATTGAATCATATTGGACAATCCGAGACAAGACCGTCCAGAATAAAGGCGGCTTGTTTCCCCCAAGGTCCTCTACCAAGACCTTGGCATGGGCCGCCGCCCCTTCCATGCCCACGATGTCTTGGCATCGTGGTTCATGCTGATATCCGATCACGACATGTTGTATGTGCAGGTTGAGTAAACACGTGGGATGATGCATCCTGTGCATGTCAGGAGATGCTTGACAGATTCCTCCTAGTATTCCCTACAGACGTCTGCCATCGTACGATGCTTCGCTGTACTTCCAGTCATGATTCCATAATCACAATACGAAGCCTTGCCTTCACCTACAATGATCTTTCAGAATGATATCAAGCTCAGCCGCAAGGTCCTGCTTGGCACAAGATATGGAAATTAGGATACTCCTCCACAATCGCTTCCAGATGTACCGAAAACTCTGAATACGATCCGTCAAAGTACTTGGCAACAGCCACGACAAGAAGAGACAAGCACTCCGGATCCAGAAACCGCAGTATAAAAGCCCATCTACAACCCTGGTCATGTAGAACCATAGACTCAAAAGCTTCTCAAGTACCTATCCAGCCATAGCCAAAATGGTAGCCCTCATCCCCTTCCTCCTCTTATCCACCGTTGCGGCCATCCCGGCCCCCATCACCCTCGCCACTCGCGAGCAAAACTCCACCCCCCATGCCCCTGCCCCCTGGGATGCCGGTGCAACAACCCAATACCCAATCCACCAAAGCTGTAATGCGACCCAGCGTCGACAGATTGAAGCCGGCCTCAACGAGACCATCGTCCTAGCCGACCACGCCAAAGCTCACATCCTCCGTTGGGGCAACGAGAGCACCATCTACCGCAAATACTTCGGCAACAGACCCTCCTTCGAAGCCATCGGTGCTTACGACATCGTCAGCAACGCCGACAAGGGCAGTGTACTATTCCGATGTGATAACCCCGATGGCAACTGTGATAATGAAGGTTCGTCCTCCCTCCCTACCTCCCATCTGACCGGGTCCACCAAACCGGTCTCCCATGTCCCATCCATTATACTAACACGACGAATAAAACAGGCTGGGCAGGCCACTGGCGTGGCGAAAACGGCACCGCTGAAACCGTCATCTGCGATCTAAGCTACGAGACCCGCCGCTCGCTGACCTCCATGTGTTCCCTCGGATACACGATTGCCGGGTCCGAGACCAACACCTTCTGGGCGGCGGATCTGCTGCACAGACTCTTCCATATGCCTCCTATTGGACAGAACTGGGTTGAGCATTTTGCCGACGGGTACGGCGAGGTGATTGAGCTTGGGGCTGGAAACAAGACCACCGCGACTCGCGACTCGGAGACGTTGCAGTATTTTGCGCTTGAGGCTTATGCGTACGATATTGCTGCGCCGGGCGTTGGGTGTGTGGGTGAGTATGACGACAGTGAAGAGGCTGCGGATGATTCTGCGGATGATCTGCCTGACGTGAGTTTAATTCTTGTCTTTCTTGTTGGGGGTGTTGGCTGATGTGCTGTAGAACTGTCACACCCATGAGGGTGGCGAGATCCACTGTACTTAGGTATGGTGGTTGTAGGCTCAGATGTTGTGCTCTTGGAGTATTGAGCACGACGCACATGAATTGGATGCGTCCGATACAGATGCTGCTAGAAGGGGTAATGGTTGTTTGAGGGATATTAATATCTGCTACCATGTATATTCACTAAGTCATTCTTTACGAGTTATGAGTCCGGAAAAACTTTCAGATAGAATATGATGCTTTCCGATGCCAGTATGATGCTCCCGCTCCCATGAACGGATTCTTATATACACAAATAGACAAATTTGTTAGTCCGTATACACTGTAACATCCATCTCGTCTCTGTCACAGCAAGCTTGGATAACTCTGTCATAGTCGGCTCGCTCAACGTATATTCCCCAAAGACTTTCCTTGCCTTGCCACTCAATCCCTAGCAGCGCAGGGCAAATCTTCGAATTGCATGATGTCTAGAGCTGCTGTTACGTTGTCCATAGCTTCCTATAGCCTTCTCAATCCCTTCACAGAAGCATGAAATTCCAACATCTGTTGTACTGTATCCTCCTCCGATTCATCGTCCTGCGAACCCACCGCAATATATAATCATGCATCCGAGTTTGCCGTCAACTAAAATCCTGTCAAAATATATAAATATTCACACTCGGTATACCTACCTTGACAATGGGCCACAACAATCAACACCACTTAACTTGGCCGATTATCCCCTATAGCAATTATTTTCCTGGGACAGCTGTACCGTTAGGTGGGTTCACAATGCTCTCCCCTTCCTAGTGACTAGGAAGCGATAGCCTGGAGGCAATTATCGCGATCCACGTCTCATTGTCACTGCAGGGGTGACCCCGTTTCGCAGATGCATCTACACTGATTTGTTACCCAGTCACTCCACCTGGTGGAAAAAGTCGGAGGAGCAGGCAAAGACGACAGGGGAATACATCTTGTTGTCAGCATTTCCGGGGTCCTGGCAGTGCTGATCCACTTACCCCTGTTGGCCCCCTTCCGAGTCGTCCTCTTGACTACTTAATGGGTCAGTGTGGACATAGAGATTCTTCGAGATACATGAGTAAGATGTGTAACCAGATAATGCTAAGCTTTTCTGGACAGTCACGCCTTTAAGCCCATAGTGACGACAACCCGGGGGCGGACCGGATGAAGGGAATTAACTCAATATTCCCTACGTATCCCTTGACAGACACTGCCTAGTTTTCGTGTACTAATGCAGCTAATAGAAAAGGAAAGACATCGGTTGACACTAAGATGTGCATCCTGGATGCTCGTACCCCACTCAAACGGCGATGTGAGTGGGTTCCACTTCCGAGGTCGTCGAGATGGTAAAGACAACTGCATCTAGATTATTCGGGATACACTTCAAATGTTGCCGTCATCTCCCTCTCCCTTTGTGCCGGTATTACTGGTGAGGCACGAACTTGGCGGAGTCGTCAAGGCGCTAGTTTTCGGGCTTTGATTTGTGATCGCTAATGCATCAACCCATACTGCATACTAGTCTATAAGATCGACATTAATGTTCGCGCCACAGTGATATTGGAAGGCAAGCCGAGCTCCGGGCTTGTAAGCACCTGAAAGCTACCTGTGTTTGCCCGATTACAGCCTATTGCAGCGTCAATATGTATGTGCTTGGTTGTGTCGTGGCCCATGCACATTGTTCCTTTTGTGGGACTTGTACCCCTCAGTAGATGTATGCGCCTGTTGCAATCCATCACAGACATGGCAGGACAGCTTCATGGACTGCGAAATTTCAAGTTCGCTCGATAGTAACATGGCAGGTCCTGAATGAGGGTTAAGTACGCAATTCTTGCAACCATCATAGCTGTAGGTTTCTCTGCTAACAGGTCTGGGTCATAGTATAGTACTTCAGGCCTATATCCCACTGAAAATGGCACTACAATATCACAAGTAACGATGGTTTCGTTCTCTACGCACTGCGGACATGCGTGCCAGTCTCGACGAATGTTGCTGCCATGGTTTGAATGCTTCCTGGCCAGAGTGCAGATGGCCTTGGGGCTATCATCATTGGTTACTCTCATCCCAATGGTACCATACGGACAGGGAGATGCATAATCCCCTCTCAGGAGGACAAGGTTCTCCCAAATTGACTCAAGGATATCTTTCTGTCCGACATGGCCCCAGTCACCAGAATCGAAACTTCCCTCCCCCACCTCCACCGTTAGACATTCTACCAACAAATGTGGGCAGTTAAGACCAGACTGAAAGATATAAAAGGGCCTCAAACTCCCCTTAAAAGTCAACCAAAACAAGAAACACTTCTCATCCTCATTACCCCGTCTCTCCAAGACTCCCTCCCAATCCAGCCAATACACAAGACTTACCATCTCCTTTTCGGCTCTCTGCAAAATGAAGCTCCTGACCAGTATCCTCACTCTCACAGCCCTCGCTGGCGTATCCGCCGTGCCCATGTCCAACAGCGCCGCCACAAACACCGTCACCAGTGGCGAATTCACCTACAACGGCGAAGGAGTCGTACGTATACTTTCCCTATGAATGTAGGAGCTAATCTCACTTGACATCTTCAGGACTTCTCCCTTCAGTGCAGCGGTGGCATTACCCCACCCCATGCGGATTGTGATCCTGGGAAATGCCAATGCCAGGGGAACTATGGCTGCTGGTCTTGCAAAGGTGGACGCATGCAGTGCCAGCCGGGACCTGGCTCTGGGACTTGCTGGACTTGATTTAGGGATTGCATCTCGCTAGATATGCATTCTCTATGACTATTACATACGTTGCTGGATGCGAGAGGAGAAATGTGGGGAATGTTAAAACGATGGTTTTATATGGAATTGTCACTCCAGAACAGTGTGAGATTTGATTTGGATTCATCTTGGAGAAAGATGTGCGTAGCGTGGTATATGATTGTATGAGATAGGCATTATACATACATGGTCCTATTAGGCTAGTAAGTGAAAGGTTCTAGAATCGTAGGTTGGTTTTGGTGTAATCAGCGAGTAAGATATTAAAACCAAGGGTAATGGACGGAGGCAAAGAAGCTGTAGATACAAGTGATAGAGAACTGTTAATAGGTACTGGGTCTAGAGTATTCTCTCACTCTAATCAGTATAGACCGTCTGACCTGTATATGGAACTGTTAAGGAAAGTCTGAAGTCGTATTCACCTTAATGAAATGATGTGTTGTCCTCCATTACAGAATAATAAGGCCCGATCTTCCTAGCGTTGTATATTATTCTTGTATACCCAGGGAATGGGGGAATGGAAAGAGGCATATCACTCTTCATTGGATAATCGCTGATTGTTCCATGGCTGACCTCAATGTAGTCAGTATCTCCGAACTGTGAAGAACGCACTGAATCCCCTTTCCAGTGACGTGACAATGGATCCAAACTCCCTGATAAGCAATTTCTTGAAAAGATTCCTCTTCTTATAGCTTCTAAAGGTATTTCACCTCTTCCACCAGCTCATAACTTGGAAAGAGCTAACTAAGGGCCTTGACAGTGGTTGATTTCTAGTTTCTATACGGTGGTATATATTCTCTTGCATTGCCATCCCTATGTATTTTTATATCACAAGAAGGCATGTGTAGACTGAAACAGTTTCTATGCGTACTGAATATGATTTGAGGAGGGTTCTCTCTCTCAAGAATCAATAGGGAGGTTAAAATTCCCGATTCCGTAAACTCCACAGGAGAAATAGCAAAAGGCCTACTAGTATGATTTTTGACTCGTCTGTCAATATCCAAACTCATGCGTGACAGGAACTACATCCATAAATAGGACATCGCGTATGGCATCAATAGTTTCAGTAAGGCGCTGCTGTGACACACGTAGGTAGAATTACTAATTTCCCTAAACGTACTGGGTGATACTAGTTGCATAGTGCATATGGGTACGGCTTAGTGCAACCCGACATTCAGGGTTTAGGACTATGCTTTACCAGAACTGATATCTAATGGTAGCAGATCCGCCAGTTGCCATTTGTCCGCCCTATGCAGCCCCGGTGGGTAGAACAGCCCAAAAAGTAGCAAAACAGATCAGCCTCGCGTCGCAAGTATACTGTCCAGGTCGTAGGTCACCAACCAATCGCCAGCGGGCTCATACTCAGGCAGCTTGAGCTCCGGGTTGTGCCTGTTCATTCCCCTCGCAAACGACACCTTGGCATAAGGCGGGTCAAACACGAAAGTCGTTTCGCCGGTCACCGAGTTTTTGATTTCCGCCGTAGCTAAAACCTCGTCTATGGCGACGTATTCCTCCGGGCTCGGCACAGTTGCCTTCTCAATATGTTTCTTTATATTCTCTGCAGTCTCAGGATCGAACCGGGTGTCGATGAAGTATAACTTGTCTGGACCGGCCGCTGCCACATATGGAGTATCCGGCGCCACAACCTGGAGACCATCTCCTGTGTCGATCACCTTTGGTACGTAGCTGCCCCGATATTCCTCTTGGAAGGCTGGCGAGCCCTCGCATGGTCGGAACGGGTTCAGAAGCATGGTGATTGATAGTAGAGAGAGCATGAGAGTATACAGAAAGTTGGCGATGTATTCTGCTTCATGTTTTAGTGTGCGCTTCTACGTATGTTGCTTCTCTTAAATAACCTGTCGAGGACTTGGAGGCTAGAGGCATATAGGATAGAGAATTAATGGCGGCTTACCACGCGCTAAGAGTTGGGATCAATTTGGCCTTCGAAAATATGAGTAACTATTGGCCACCGCATTGCTACCTCTGCGGACCCTTGCATACAGAGCCTTGCAGGCTGACCTCGCGATTGGCCATCACATCGCTATCACAATTCTACCGTTGCTTGTCAATGTTGCTGCCTGTACCAGTAGTAGTTCGTGCTCGTGGTGATTGATGATTCGTGCAGCAGCCTGGTCTATCCACTTCCAGGGGTCCCAGCCGCGAAGGGTCAGAAATTAGTCCAACAGATTCAGAGAAATCCTGATACTGGATGAGCTCCACCACGTGAAATATTCGTTCACTAAATCAGCTTTCCAACACTGCATAATCTTTATATCCTTAAATCTTCCTAACCAAAGGTATTCTCGATCGACGTGCCATGGCGTTAGAATGAGCAGATAAGAACGCAAGTATCGAGCACTAAAATACATTCTTAGCTTGTGCTTCCCTGTCAATAGTGAACAATTACTAACCATATCCTAGTCCCTCGGCTGCGCCAACTCATTAGTGAGAACACCAGCCTTTGCCCCAGAGGATGTCCAAGGTCTCGCACGCTTTCCCGAAGCACAGTCTTCAGCAATGCGTATCAAGGATCACATCCGATGAACTACTATCGCGATGTGTCAAGTAATATAAAGGTGGAAGGACTGGCTTACAACAGAGTCAGAACGCTCTTGCATAATTGAAATAAGACGCATCTATTGCGTTAGCAGCGTCTTCAATTTAGCCCATCTAGCATAAGCCAAGCTCGGGATCCTCCCGTATCTCAAGACTTATGGCAATGCGGATGGGGGTGACATGGCACGCCACGCATCTGATTGCCTGTAGAGCCTCAAATAAGCTGACTGTCTCGCGTCTATCTATGAGATGAAGTTAGTGTTAAGCTAAGGATTTCGATCAAGGGCATGCTCATTTCACCTAGTACTATTGATGGATAAGGCACGGTTGTGTTTGTTGGGTGTAGCAGTTGACGGCTGACATACTTTGCGAATCTTGCCCCCTTATAGAGGCACTCCGAACTCCGAACGTCGGTTCGGCATTAATAACCTCAAGCTACAATCCATGTATTCTCATTAGCAAGTATCAAGGTAGGTATCTCCGAGGTGCAACTGAGTTAAGCATATATTCTCCGTTAACTCCGTGCTTTCATTCGCCTTAAGTAGCAAGACAGACTCCCTATCCCCAACCTCGATCCACGAATACTCACACAACTAATCCGGCACAATGTCATCTTCAAAGCAAACCCCACGCCTCCTACGCTTGACCATCAAACTATACAAAGGCCAAGAGCGTCAAGGAAGCGAAGGACATGATTTCGCGAGGGAGTACGTGGTCAAAGCAGCCAAACTGCATGCAAAGCATGGTATTCTCATGTACCAGCAGGTAGATAATTATGCACCCTGTAATTGCGATAGGCTCCGTGCTGATCATGGCAGTGTTACTCGCCACCCTCCTATCGCTCCTTCGTGGACGATATGAACCGCCGCAATAACCGTGGCTGGGTGATTGATGTGTGCATTCTTCTTTCTTCCCTTCGGTAATGAAGCTGACTCTGGCAGGACCACGACGTGACGATCGAGTTCTATTTTCGCAACTTTGCCGAGCTCAACAGGGTCAACAGCGACCCTGAATTCCAGGTGCTTCAGGCGTCTGAAGAGCCGTTTGTTAACCGTGTACACACTGTTGTCTCACTGTCTTGGGTGGAGAAGTATGTCGACGTGGGCAGGTTGGTGAACATATTGGATGATAAGTCCACTTATCCCTCGTATGATGAATTGCTGAATTTGTCGACTGCATTGGGAACAGGTGGTGCCTGGGTTAAGACTGATGATGGTGAAAAGAAATAGAACGAAGAATGTTATGACAGTATTGGCGGTGTGGATTTCAAAGGCGAGGTGGATGTGTGGGTGTTTCAGCAGCGTACAGCACGGTTCAGGTCATAGCTCGTCTGGTTGTACATACAACGATAACAACTCCATTCTTATCGGGTTATCGTATTTCAACCGAGTCTCTGTGCGTAGGAGGGTTTTGTCTCTTAGTAAATCTGAACCGTAAGAAATGAATACACCCAATCGGTGTATTTTGAACAGTTCACGGTTGTGTTTCGCCGGAGGTCATACGTTCAGTCATGGTAAGCTTATACACTATGCCCGCTCGCCAAGGAGATAAACGCGATGATTCGTCACTCTGTTATAGTCGATCGGACTAAAGTGCGCCCTAGCTGCAATGTGGGGGAAAACTCCAAATAGCCTAGTAGTCCCATACCCCATTTTCACTATGTGAGAGGAAGTGGGGATTGTTTTCATCTGTCCCAAAGGCGGTTGTTATAATCGCACCGAGTCATGGCGAAGAGGTCCAGTAGTTGAAACTGACGTCAGCCGATACGAGGACGTTCCATGGCGCATCACAAACCACGGTGTGCCATTGCAGGGAAACACCATGCGAATTCCAGATCAATTGGTCAACAGGTTGGTCTGGCGTAACCATTTGTCGTATTCGTGCACTCAGCAGTGTTGATACCTGATTCCTGAATGGAATGCCGTGCTCTCTACCTGATTCCCGCGCTAGACTGTTTTCGGCAGCCATCCCACCTTTACCCAAGCATGAATCATCAGCTTATTTTCTCTTCTTCTTGTTCTTCTTCTTCTTCCCCCGCACGTTCACTTTCTCAATAACCTCAATTCCTTCATAGCTTGAACGCCAAGTGGAACAATGGCATCCTCCACCTTCCCTCCTCCCCCCGTCAGTTCCATTGACTGGAACAATGTCGGCTTTAAAGTCCGTGACGGTATGCGCTACCCCTCCATCTATGTCCCGCGAAGGAAAGTGAGCTCCCCACTAACTCCAACCCTCCTACAGTAAACGGCCACGTCGAATGCCACTTCTCTCACAGCCAAGGCGGCAAATGGAGCGCTCCCAAATTCGTCACCTCGCCCTACCTGCCCATCCACGGCATGGCCCCCGGCCTCAACTACGGTCAACAAGCCTACGAAGGTCTCAAGGCCTTCCGCCGCCCGGACGGCTCCATCAGCGTCTTCCGCCCTGATCGCAACGCCGTGCGCATGCGTCACTCCGCTGAATTCATCTCCGTCCCGCCTATCCCGGAGGACCTCTTCGTGGAGAGTGTGAAGCTCGCCGTCGCGGCCAATGCGGAGTTCGTGCCGCCCCATGAAACCGGCGCTGCGATGTATGTCCGGCCATTGGTCTTCGGCTCTTCTGCGCAGCTGGGTCTCTCTCCTCCCGACGAGTATACCTTTGTGGTCTTTGTTATGCCGACCGGTGTGTATCACGGAGTACATGCCGTGGATGCCCTGATCCTGGAGGACTTTGATCGCTCTGCTCCAGAGGGCACGGGATCAGCCAAGGTGGGTGGAAACTACGCGCCGGTCCTGCGGCACAGTGGACGGGCACACAGCGAGGGATTCGGCATCACACTTCATCTGGACAGCCGCACGAGGTCCGAGATTGATGAATTCTCGACCTCGGCGTTTATCGGCGTGCGGAAGGATGCCTCGGGCGCTGTGACGCTGGTGCAGCCGGATAGTAAGAATGTAATCGACTCGGTGACGGCCTCGTCGGTGTTGGAGATTGGAGAGCGCGTGTTCGGATTTAAATCGGAGAGACGCCGCGTTCCCTATGAGGAGCTGAAGGAGTTCAAAGAGGTCATTGCTTGCGGCACGGCGGCTGCCCTCGTGCCGATCCGGAGCATTACCATGCGGTCGCGGGGCGATCGCCTTACATACGAGGCTGGCGCTGACGGGGAGAGCGGTGGAGAGGTGTGTGCTAAGCTCCTGCAGACACTAAAGGGGATCCAGGCGGGCAAGATCGAAGACCAGTTTGGATGGAACTTCTCCGTGGAGAGGCCGCCGGAGGGCTGGGTCACTGCGGGCGGCGAGAAGGAATCGGATGGCGCCAATGTGCCATAATTATCTGGCGATCGGATAGTTTTATTTAACGTTATGAGGTAATCTTCTCCACGATTCGAAACAAAGTATTGTTGGTTCCGGCTGCATTGAATAGACCTATCACAACAACGTTTCCATGCTTTTCCGCCCAGGCGGCGGGGGCCCCGATAATGGCCCAGAATGTATAGACTTCCGTAAAAGATCACGGGTTACACCCGCCATATCTAGGGATACAGGGAAGGGCTCTGGTAAAATCACAGAGGCAAAGAGGCCCATCATGGATCTTCCGAGATAAGCCGCAAAAACCGCCAAGAACCTGCTCAAAAAGCGCATCAAACGGTCAACCCCCCAGGCGCCACTACTACGTAGTAGGCCGCCCCGGCCCCAAGGGCCGAACCGGTCCCCCCCCCCGGCAGGGCGGTGTCCGCCAACCAAACACTAAAAAATCGGGAACTCTAACTCTCTCCCGTGCATCCGATTTTCCTGCTGCAAACCACCTTCACCATTCTTTCCCGGGGAGGAAGGACCCGCCCTGCGAAGTGAAGAGTCTCCGATAACACAATTCCAAGGGTCACCGACCAGAAACACCGTGGATTCGATACCCAACACCAGAAAACCCCATCACCAGTCGCCCCGGGCGTTCGATCCGTGTTAACCAACTTTTCACCTCATCGACTTGGGCGGGCCAACCTGCATCATCCAATCTCAACAACACCCATTCCGAACTCAATCCCAACCTCAACCTCACCGACACCCGGAACCGAATAAAGACAGAGAGAGAGAGAGAGACAGAGCGAGGGAGGGAGAAGAGTCAAAATGGTCTTCATCCGCCTAATCGTAAAAGTCTACCCACGCGAACAACTCTCGCGCCCATTCCCAACCCCCAATAGGAAGCCAACCGAACCCGAAACCAAGCCCGCGTCCTTCCTCCTCGCGCTCCCCAACCCAGAAGCAATCACCCTCGGCCAGCTCGCCGGCCTGATCCGGTCAAAATGGACCAAGCTCCGTCCCAATGCCGAACCCCTCGATATCAAGAAGTTGCTGGACGATAATCGCGACACGGTCGATTTGGATGTGGATATGACGGTTGCCGATGTGTGGGTGAATCAGGCGCGTGCGAGGCGCAATGAGGATGATCAGGTCGGCACGGTGAGGGTCGTGCAGAGGCCTGCGCCGTATGCGCCTGTTCGGTTTCCTTCTGTGGATCAGGATTGGGGGGTGAGTAGGGAGGAGAGGTTTACCGGGAAGTTTGAGACGATTGAGGAGGCGAGGGAGAGTGAGACTGGCAGTGAGACTGGTAGTGGGAGTGGGAGTGACGAGGACAGTGAAGAGGGGAGCGAGGAGAGTGAAAGTGAGAAGGAGAATTTGATTGATGCGCAGGCGGTCGCGGTGAATGGTGAGGACGATGCAGAAAGTGAAACTGATGAGAGTGAAGAGGAGGAAAGTGGGAGCGAGGAAGACGAGGATGAGCAGGCCAATGGGCGCGCAAATGCAGAAGAATCTGCGGATGAAGGTGAGAGTGAAGAAGAGCCGGCCCCGGACAACGACGTCCACATGGAGGATAGCCTGCCCGAAACGCGAGTGCTCAAGAGAAAGATGAGCCCCGAGGAGCTCGAGCCGAAAAAGCAACCCCGTTTGGAACAATCGAGCCAGGCGACTGAGGCCGACGGCGACAACGTCAATAGGAACCCCGTTAGCAGTCCGTTGGGGACGCGCAAGCGCGACGCTGATAGAGCGCCGTCCTTCTCTGGGCTTGGTCGACGTTTGAGCTTTACAGAGAGACCGGCCTTGTCGCATGGCCTTGGTCTGGGTATTACGAAGAGTCCTCCTCGCAAGAAACCATTCCTGATGGCTGATCTTTTTCAAGATTCTACACGATCCGAGACCGTACCGAAAGACGCAAGACTGTCGCCTACAACTGGTTCCCCAAGTAGCGCACCTGCGATCCGTCGCACCTCGGTTGACCAGCACCCCGCGACCCCAGCCAAGCTACAAACGCCGGCAGATAAGGTCAGACTGCTCCAATCGGCTCTCCGTAAAGACTCGCCCGCCGAAAGGAGCCCAGAACGCCGATCCGTGTCCTTTGCCGAAGGAGAAGACCATGCCATTCCTACCTCCGCCCGTGTTACGAGGCCAACGCTCCAGGCCACTAATAAGGAGCAGAAGCATAGGACCAACTCTAGCTCTAAGCCAGCTCCCCCAGGGCCAGAAGAACGGTCAGATGAAGAAGAGAACCAGTCGGAAGACAAGGAAGAGGAGGGAATGGAGTTCAGCAGTGGAATAAACACGGAGATAAACGAGTACGAAAGGGAACTCCAATCAAACGACCTGGATCAAAAGTCTGAATACACTCGCAAACTGAAGTTGGCAACAAAGAAATGGCAGATTATGAAGAACAACGAGAACTCAAACCGGAAAAGACAGCGAGAGAGGTACAATAACGCACATAACGATCTCAAGGTGCTGCACCGGGAGGTTGTCGAGCTCAAGGAGTTTAACCAACCACCCTCACAACGCCCCAAGTCCCAGACACCGAATGGCACTCCAGGTACAAGAAAGCTATCCCGAGATCCTGCCAGTTCGCAGAATCGAAAATCCCAAGCGCCCTGGGACGTTGAAATCGTCACACCGAGACCAAACTCCAAGAAGCTTGTTCCGAAGAGCCTTCCGTCCTCACAGATCAGTCGCAAGTCTCCAGAACGCGAACAAGCCCGAGACCAAAAACATTGGAGCGTCGAAATCCCCACGCCTAAGGCTGACAGCAGTCCAGAAAAACGGCCAGAGCCCAGGAAGCCATCCCAGGAGAGACCACCATCTCCACTCTCTGAATCCGAGTCAGAACAGTCTGACTCCGAAGAGGAGGAAAGCACCCCAAAACAGCCAGAACCCAAGAAACCATCCTCAGAAGAGAAGCCACCATCTTTACCTGCAGAGTCCGTGTCGGAAGAGGATTCGAGCTCTGAGGAAGAGGACAATGCAGCACCAAACCAGCCTGACTCCTTGATTGAATCGTCTCCCGCAGTTGAGGTATCTGTACCCAAGCCTGTACCCAAGCCTGTGCCCGAGCCGGGCTCGGACTCAGAACAACAATCCGGCTCTGCTGAAGAGGAAGAGGAAGACGACGACGAAGATGAAGACGAAGAGGAAGAGGAAGACGAAGACGAAGAGGAAGAGGCAAAGGCAGAGGAAAAGGGAGAGAAGGACAAATCCACAGAGGAAGAAAGCCAAAATGAAGACGACAACAAACCCGAAGAAAAAGAAGGGGAGATAGTCCCAGAAACAGAAGAAGAGCGCGAGCTAGAAACCACAACCCCAGCCGTACCCAACTCACCACCAACAGAAACCCCCTCCAAACCCGACCCAGCCGCCGAAGAAACCGACTCCGACACGGACGAAAGCGAATCAGATCAAGAATCCGACAAGGAAAACCAGGCTCTCCCCAAGCCAACCCCAACAACAAAAGCCGGCATCCTCCGTCGCACCAGTCTCAATCCCCCTTCATCCCAGCCGAACGCACCCTCCAGCAGCCAGCCACAACCAAGCTCCACCCAGTCAACCCCCACCGGCTCTCGACCAACCCGCAATACCCTCAAAACTCTCCTCTTCCAACAACGCGCAGAGCAGGCGCAGGCGCGCTTAAAGAAAGAGGAGGAGGCGGCGAAACGGAAGAGCCAGCCGCGTAGGGATATCTTCTCGGGCCCGTCGGATACTGAGTCCGAGGATGAGGATGATAGCGAGAGCGACAGCGAGAGTGATAGCGGCGCGGATGCCGGGGATATCTTGTCCACTGGGAGCGTAGGGAAGTTAAGGACCGCTTTGCCGCGGAAGTGAGTCTTTTTCTAGCTCCCTTTCTTTCTTGCTGTTCTTTGTGTTGTTTGTAGTCGGTTTGTTGTTGTATAATTTGTTTCTTTCTTGGATGCAGCTCGTTGTTTGTTGGGTGGTGAGTAGTGTATCTAATTGAATCTGAGCTTGTTCAGTATTTGATAATTTGGTATGAATTGATGGAATATTTCATGGTTTTTTTCTTGTTGTAGTAAAACTAAAGAGTGTTTCAAATGTTCTAGTATAACCCAAAATGTATATTGTATGATGCATAAACAGGATCAATCTATCTAGATAATAACACAACAGGAGAATTCATAAGATCATGTAAATGTCACAGATGCCAGTATATGCAATAACCAAAACCGATTATTTACTCCGGTACAGTAAAGTACCGCTTAAAGCGGTCGGTCCGTGTCAACTTCAGGTTGACGATCACAGAGTGACAGCTCATGAGTAAGCTCGGGAACCTGACGGTCCAGAAACTCAAGTATCCCTCGGGCAGGCCACCAATATGGGCCTTGAGATGCTCGGGCATGTCATTGTAGTGATGGCACTTGTTACGGAGTGCCCGGAGGAGGTCGAGCATCTTGGACCCTGTGTACTTGCGCTGCTTGCCCAGGTTATCTTTGAAGGAAGTGGGCAGCTGACGTAAGAAGTCCATCTCAGGGCCCATGACGCGTGAAGCGACGGATTCTAGACACAGGAGAGCTTCGGAGGGAGGATCACGCGGTTCGAACTCAAAATGGTCAGATACATCGCAGAGGAAGGTGAGACGGTCAGATGGATTCCAAAAGAATGGATGCGTCAAGACGGAGCTGGCGTCGGGCCTAGGAAGGATTAGTATGTTAATATTATACAGTGTGAGGCAAGTCTTACCGTTTCCGTGGATCAAGTGACAGCATCGACTGGATGAGATCGCGCGCTTCGAATGCATAGTCACCCAAGCGTTCCAGTTCATCGAGGTTGTAGTTGCCTTTAACAATGTTTGCCTCGCGCATGAACTTGCCATTTTTATCAAATGGGTGGCTGCCCCTGGTCAGGACATAATAGAACACACAACCCAGAGAAAAGATGTCAATAGCACGGGTGGCTCGTCGGTTGGTTTGGGGGTCGACAACGGCGGGCTCCGAGGACTCGGTGTGCTGAGACTCGGTGCCTTGGATTACCGAGGTCTTGTCATCATCCACCAGGAGTTCAGGGGCACGCCAGCCAGATGTTCCCGCGGCATGTGCCGTGGTGGCTCGGAAAGAGCTTTGGTTGTCTTCTAATTTCTTACACAAACCAAAATCGGAGATGAGAAGACGCAAGGACCGCGTTCCGGAACGTCCCCTAGGCATGGCTACGAGGATATTTTGTGGTTTCAAATCACGGTGGACAATCTTGAGGGAATGCAGGTACCGAACACCGCAGATTATCTGACGCAGAATATCAGGCATGTTCACATCCAGTCCACCCTGGACCAATTGTGGGTAGTCCGAAGGGCGCTCCACCACATCTTGCAGAGAAGCTGGGCATAGCTCGAGTGCTATGTAGAGAAAGCCGGTCGCCTGTTCGCGGCAGTAATAACGAATGACGTTCGCATGGTCGTCACTCTCTTGTAACAAGCCAACTTCATGAGACGCTATGTCATAAAACTCCACGAGCATACGCTTCACCGCGACATCACGTCCATCAAATGAACCTCGGTAGACGACAGTTCCATGGCTTCCATGTCCCAGAACGACATCAGTAAATACCCTCAGTCGGCCAATCTGGAGAACGCCATCCATCTCCATGATCTCGTTGGACACTGTACGGACCATCTGCACATCAGGCTCTAAACGAGACTTGGACTGGAGATTGTTCACATCGTTGACAACCCGATCAGTTTGAGAGTCGCCTTCGGAGTCCGGCTTTTTGCCCCGCTTGTGCGCCTTGCCTCCACGACGGCCACGGCGAGCTTTCTTTTTGGGCTTCTCTGCGCCATCGAGAGCTACCTCGTCCACGTCCTCGTCGCCATCTGGGCCTCGAGAAGGCTCTCGAATGCGTACTCGTGGCGTGCTATCGGGCCCGAGGACATTGCGATCTTTCTTTGGTTTCGGGGTTACATCCCCGCCCCGCTGTTGGTCTTCCGGAACACTGACATCGACTGTTACATTGGGCACTGGTCGAGCAGGACTAGAATCTCGGTTGAGTTGCGCGCCAACCACTGGAGTTGACGGTGTGGACAGGGGCGGCTGGTACGAAGAAATGATGTTCTTTAAATCCAACTTCTGTTTGGCCAGTTCCTGAATATTATGAGAGTTGAGATAGATGAAGGCCCCGAAGAACAACAATATTAAAGTCACAAAGATGTCGACGGCGTTATCCCACCCCTTTCGGATAATTGTACTATGCCGCAATGCCGGAGGAAGGGCTAGTTCTGAATGACTACGGGCTAATTCCTGGGGAGTACCATTGGAAAGCTCCGTTCTCGACGATCCAGATAGGCTAGGGATGTGACGAACAAAACGGGGGCCATTAAGCGAGTGCACACCAGCCAACGCGTCTCGCTGTTGACTGGGTGTCAAGCTCATGAGCGTTTGTCCATGACGGAAGTAATCCTTCTCGTAGCATTGTGCCATCTTGGCCCGCCCAGTGGCCAACGGGTATGTCTCCTCCGACATGGCATACCAACCCCCCGCTTCAGTGCTATCGATATACACACGGGTATCCCGATCATCCAAGGAGCCGTAATCGGGATCAGGGGGCTGCAGAGGCTGCGAGAGGAGCACCAGAGGCGTGGGTGCGTCAGGTGAATCGAGGTTGGTCGGGCGAATGATATCAAAAACCCGAGCAACTGGTGTGGAAAATCGTTGGGTATAACGCGGTCGTTCCATCCGAGAATGGTCAAAGCCCAGCACTACTCCATCGTGCATGCTATATATGTGACTCTCATCCATGGTTCGGTAGTACTGATCCTGGAGGTCTAGGTCACGATTGTTGCCCGCCCATTCCGAGTATTTCAAGGTACAGATCGGATCGCCGGTTTCGGTATTCTGAATAGCTACAGCATATTCAATCCGGCCGAGAACCAGGGTGCCGGACGGGGATTCGCAGTCATCCGAGTCCATGTCGAGTCCGTCAACTTTCCGACACTCTTGTCCCGAGGGGATTGGACCTCGAGAACTGAACACGCGCAAGATCGTACCGGTCCGGGCGTCAATTGTATAGAGGGTGGTCTCCTTTCGTGCGGTATACGTAACGGCGGGGTCCGTTCCCGAATACGGTGTCTTATCCACCAGGTCTTTCACCGTCAATCCCAACCTCTGTAATCCTGCGTCCGGTCCAGGACTGTATATAAAAAGGCTCCCATCTTGACTCGGCTCAACGATCCATATGAAGTCATCTTCGGGTTGAGCCCGGTCAAAACTGGATCGATTTGCTCGATGATAGATGCTTTCGACCATGGGACTACTCGGCACTTCCAGGGCCCAACGGGCCGTACCTGTCTTGCGGTCTCGAGCGTGAATGGACCCGTCGACGGTCGCCAGTAGGACAAAGTCCTCAACCTCCCAATCCTGCAGAGATCGCGCGTTAAGCGGCGTAGAGAGGCCAGCAGACGGACTGCTGACCTGGGCAGGAGGGGCTCGAACGGCGCGGCCGGGGCCCGCCAGAGCCATAGTTGCTAGGGCGCTCGCATCGGTGGATTTCACGTTCAATGGAGTATGCAAATCTTTTCCAACAGCATGGCCGGTCGACCCTAAGGGGACCGACAAGGTCGAAGGACGGTCATGATGTTCCGGCTGCTGCTGCGGAGCAACAAGAACAGGGAGCAGAAGGAGAACGACGCTGGCGGGGAGAGTCGATCGGGCGCCAGGCAGCCGCCACCGCATCCTGAAGGACTACAATGTGGGAACGATAGGCGTTGTGAATGTATCGACGTCGACAAGATGGTAGCCAACAGGTCATCAGTCTGTGATGGTGATGTGATGGAAAGAAGGCTGGATGGGAAAGAAAGAAAGGAAGGTAGTCGGTAGGTAGGTAGGGACGAGTGGAGGAGCGCAACGGGTGGAAAAGGCACACGACCTAATAAGGTTTAGCGTGAGCACCACCCAGTTCCAGCTTTTCGAGAATGATGGCGGCAGGTGGAGATGACGGGGGGGAAGATCGATCATTTGCTTACGGGTAAGCACGTCGGAAATTTTCAATTGAAATGACAGAAAGCGATTGAAGGTAGAAAGGAAAATAATCAAAAATCAAAAATCAACAACGGAGGGAAATCAGGAAGGAAAAGGGGTAGGAGAACGGAGTACAACAGGCGAATGTGTGTGTGTGCGTCGTCGATATTATTAGCATTTCGGCTTTGAATGAATCAAATTAATTATTGATGGAAGGCAGAAGAATTGACTGGTGCTGGCCTCAGGCGCGCCTGGGCGGCGCAAGGGCGAAGCCCCATCGGGGTTAGCGTGCGTCGATTGTGACGCACCAGTCCCGTCCATCACGCCATCTAGAACCATTCACAATTACCATACCGTACAACTGGACCACGGTACAACCCGTCTCACTTTCTTGTCCGTATGTGGTGATGTTGGTTTTTGCCTTCCTTTGTCAGACAGTCTGACATCCCGCCTTCTGTCAACCTTGATCCATGAAATCCACCACTCGTCCAAGGTTACTCCTAGGGCTTAGTATGTACTAGGTACATTCCCCACGGATGTCGGAATTTCAGCATTCCCTTGATATCCCTCTCGGAGACCCGGATTGAATTGGCCCGCCAAGGGGCGATTGACCAGTGCAACATGTCTCAATTATAATTAGTGTTTCACTCTCCTGGGCCCACCTCCTTCTGGCTGACAAAAGGGTCAACAAGAGCGTCAGTGACTCGGAAACGGTCTTTCATGAATAGATCTTGCTTCAATTAACTTGGCACTGGTAAGGCGTGGATACATACCACGTGATTATGATCGACGTAGATACTAGTCATATGCCCTGTGCCTACACGATGACCAGCTTGAAAGTAGTCAGAGTAGTGTTTCTTGGAAGATTATATGTTCCTCGGAGTTGGAGTTTATTTGTAGTACTGATACAAAGGTCTGGTCTTCGCTAGCGGAAATATCCCAAGGTTGAGCAGAGACAGAGATAGTTATATATATTTTGTGCATATGCACCGCTACATGCCAAACTTTCCTACAGTGCATAAGCCCAACAGGCTAACAAGTGGACTTCAAGCTACTATTAATATAAAAATGCTGCTCTTCTAGAAAGGGCAGAAATCGGTATATATTTATTTATAAGTCCATGTCCTTTCCCATAGACACCCTAGATCATAGCCGACGTGTCCGACAAATAGACGGTTAGGTTGATTGAAGAATGTGCAAACAAAGCAAACAGCACGGTGGCGGCGGCATTTACTACTACTTCCATCCTGGCTTCACTTACCCATTCAGGATCCGAGGATGCTGCCGCGGCCAACAGTGCGTACAATGTCACAAATTCTGCTGCTTTGGACATAAACTCCGTGATCATTATAGGAGAGGGGTGGCCGGGTCACGTTGATGACCTATACCATAGTTGCGTGCCTAGAAGTAGCAAAAGTCTCCGACGCGACACATAGGCCATGATGTGTACCATGCCAGGACAAAGCTTGAATATCGCACAATCTGTCGCGAACGTCTACCTGTGGAAGCAACGGGAAGATGGATGCTACGTGAGTGAAGGCTTGAAAACGAGAAAAGCGCTGATTGAAGCTATCAAGCAGACCGGTGATGAAGGGCTTTTCGCTTATGCAGCTCGAATCCGACAGTCTGTCAACCTGTGGCGGCGAGGAACCCTCGACTCCGCTGCCTTTTATTGATTCTCAACCTAGCCAACATGGAATGGTCTACAGACTACTTCTATGTCAAACATGCGAGGCTTGACATGGTTTCTTTTTATTCCCACACCTTGGTTTTTCGTGATACTCCACTGCCAGAAAGGTCCGTCCTTCTTTTCGGCAAGAATTCCATTCCCTCTGTATCATCCTCATGAGGCATCAAAGGTGACAAATTTGCATCGTCCATGATATTATCGCAGGTGTAGAGAAGCGACATTTTCGGGCATTGATAGTCTATAAGGGGTTCGGCCTAGTAATGATATGGGATATTGATAACCCCATTGAAGTGTGGAATCAGCTATTTGGGCTACTTTGAGGTATATCTCTTGTCGTCCTCCATAGCAGCATTTATACCCAATTTGCTGAAAATATTGAGTGAATTGTATATTTAGTAGAAGTATTGTGGCAACCAGTCCAGGCCCAGGGCTGGAGGTGAGCCAATGAGGATAAGACTGTGAGCCTTATTATATTTGTTACTGAGTATCTGCGCAAGTCGATAGGCGAGAGCCTCCCCCCGAGGTAGTAGGGGCCAATCGACTGAGGTCAACGTCGTTCCACCAGATACCCGTCAATAAAATAGTCAAGCGAGCAATGCGAGAGTTTCGAGGGGTCCCTGATATATGGAGAGTTGAGCGCAATGACACAAGTGTTTTTATCGATTCGAGGAATCGAAGCGCAGGATGTGGCAGAGCCTGATCTAACTGGGGGAGGAATAAAGTTCTACCACAGGCCTTTGGAGAGCCCTGGAGAACAACTTGAGGTAGCCTGGCGGACAAGTTCAATCTGATCCGTGGTGTCACTGCTCTGCCCTAAGATGGGAGTAATATCCACTCTCATCAAAAACGAGAACTCGTCCACAGGGCTTGAGCTCCTACTTAGCGTTTCTGAATCTCTGCATGCCCATTGGCACAAATGGTCCATTCGTCAGATACATCACGTCCATCCATGATTTTAAAACCCTGAGGGTGTGGGAGAGCTCACTGTTGAGCCGCCTACCGAGAGAGTCATATACAGATCATCCACCCCATTGCTGGAATGATGATTCCCTGCGGAGCCTTGAGAGTTGAACATTTCGTTTAATACATTTAATTTCTATATCTCACACGGGATGAACTGCTTCTTGAGGACCTCTTTTGTGCTTTCGTCCGTAGCAGCAAAGGCCCCTATTATGATGGGCCTGTGCTCTGAGCGACTGATGGCGTAGTCGATTGTTGCCCCAAGCTTGACATAGAGCTGCCGGACCCCAACCCAAGTATGGCGACAATGATGAACACCACAAGGAGGAATGTTTGCAACCGGCAGCTTGCTGGTACTAGATCAAGACTTTGGATGGAATAGATGCAGAGAGTATGGTGATATATGGAGACCGCGAGCAGATATACTTGAGAAATCCATAGAGTTTCGTTATCACTTGATTATTCCGATGCAGAATTTGGTCCACTGTTTGCATGTTTGGACTTTCCTAGGCTGTTGAGCGGAAGCATAAGCTTTCCAATATACCGTACGCTTTGCGATGGCAATTGACCCCATCGTAGTGGATGATATCATCCGATGAAGCCGAGAGACCGGTCGGTTTTATGATGGATTAACCATTCCCATGAAAGCCCCTCCTGTGTGATCGGAGAAAGACCAGTCTGCGAATATATCGAAGTCAGCAAACTCGACTAGCTTTATACCTCTGCTGGAATGCACTGGCCACTACCCATGATTATATTTCTCATGGTAGTTTGAAGTTCTCAAGGGAAGCCCAGGACCCTCTCCCATCCGATCCAAAACACCGCATCGATGCGTAAAAGGGCAAATCGAATGATATCGAGACTTTTCGCATGCAAACGAAACACTGCTCTCGCCCGATCAAGGATCTCTCTTTGCTGCCTGTATTCTTCCCCAGAACTCGTGCCTTCAGGACCACATTGCTGGTGAGCGACAACCGTGAGCAAGAATAGAAGGTTCATTATACAGGCAAATGATGTTTTCAACCCTTTCCTTGTCAGTAGACTGCCTTCTTAAGGGTTATTCATGTCACACATACAAGGTGCCCAGAATGCCTGGTAGTGTGCTGGTCGTAGGTTCGATATAATGCCCAGGGCCGCATCTGCCTCGGCTGACGCTGTCTTACGAATCTGCGATCGTGCGGTACGCCACTCTTCATTTTGCTCTAGCTCGGAGGAACGATGGTCCATATTGTTGAAGGGGCGGAGTAGTGCGCGGAGGATTAGGACCTTTACGGATTGATAGGCGATGTGGAGAGATGCTGAATCCTCTGATGCTTGTTTACACTCAGGCGTCGACTCCATGGCTAAGGACAAGGGTAGACCAGTATACCATGTTGTGAGGTCTTGCATAAGAGGACGAGCGGTAGAAATTGTCAAACGAAAGTCCTTGGAGAGAGTGGACAATGCACGTATCGAACTGCAAATAGGTCAGTTCGCGTGGCATATAGGGGTTGAGGTGCTAGGGTCCCTGAAGCCCATCTCAATGTCATCGCTTACTAAAGACTGGTTAGGGCATTATCCAGTATTGTGGTTAGCTTTGAGAACTCGAGACTATACGAATGAGAACCACAGGTACGGTCTTCCGTTTCAATGTCGCTCGGATGCAATTCAGTAATGAGCCAATCACTTCTTGAGATGTGGCTTGGCCTGCCAAAGCTAAAAGCAAACCACTTGTCTAGAGCAAATACCACCCACGATAGACGACGACGGGTACGAATCTCGTTTGATGGTAGGCTCCACATAGTAGGATCCAGATGCAGCCCGAGTGTTTGTGCCATTGAGACAGTCATACCGAGAAGCGTCCACTTGACTGTGCTGTCAAGCAATAAAGGATTCAAAGGCGGGTGTAATAGGAGTATCAGTGCTGCTTGCAAAGACTGGATTGTAGGTTGGGATAGGGCATTATTGAGCTCGCTCCAGGCGATCCTAAACAAGACTTGTGGCGACGGGGGACTGTACACGAACTCGATACATAAGTAATCATCAAACGTCGTAAAAGGTTGAGTAACCAAGTATATCGCCGCTAGTAGATGTGACGACGCAGCTCGTGGCTCTGGCAACCTATCTTCAGAAAAGATAGGAAACTGCCGGTTGACGAATCGTGAAAACCTGATGGTACGTCAGTCGCAATGAAGTGCTGGTCCGAACTCAGCCAACTCACAATTGGATCAATCGTTCCCCAATATCTGGGGCGACAATCTGTGGTAATTCGGGCAACGCTTCTCTGGCAAATGGTGCTTCCAGGCTAGTTATGGCCTTTGATTCGTGGCTCAACTCGGGCTTCGATAACAAAAACTGCACTGGCATCTCTGCATCTTGTACGGACCGTATAGCAAGCTTGGAAAATGGAAATTCTGCCTTTGCATCGAAACGATAGTGTTGTAGAACATAGGGATCCATATCACCGGTCAGACCACATAACTGAGAAGTCAACGATGGGTGGTTGTCGAGAGATGGGGGACACAGAGCAGGATTCGGCTCTATATGAGACAATCCCTGCCCCTCATAAATACTGAGCATCAGCTCATCCATGATACCATGATCTCCTCTGCCTAGATCTGAAGCATGTGGCTCTCCAAGCCCTTGTACCAAGCTAAAGTCATATAATGACTCGCCAACCCTGGAAGCATCGTCATACAGAGGGCTTTCCGTCATAGGCATGGCTGTTGAATCCGTCGGCTGTACCAAGCTTGTAAATTCCGGCGGCTCATTCGGTCGCCCATCACTAGATGCATTTTCACCATTGGAACCGTTTTGCGAAGGACAGGAAGTATTCTGTAGCGAGTGCCTCTTCTTACGGACTATGCGGTTGGTGAATTCGCAAGGTTGTCCATGGACCCTGCATAGACGGCAAGGGGGAGCTATGTCGATCTGACACGCCGATTTCCGCGAGCGACAAAGGTCGCATGCGCGTTGAGCTTTGCTCATGTACCTACGAGGCCCAATCCCTGAATATGGGTGTCTTCTAGTAAGCGTGTCATTGTCCATTTATCTAAACTAGTGACATTAAAAATCGTGATAAGAAGGAGAAGAGAGATAGCAATCAATCAACCACTTCTTGGGGACGGTGTGGTCACGGGTGTCCAGACGCTATACCGAATCTGGACGAATCTGGTCACGTGTATACGTGAGGGCCTGAGTAGGAAGGTTGGTTGGCTTCGAGTCCCTGAATGATGCCTTAATCACTTCTCTACTGCTCCTTAGACCTCATGGCCACCCTCTCTGTCCTCTGGCACAGTGCTATCGATGCATCGTTTAGAATCGGCTTGGAACTTTCAGAAGCGCATATCTACACCTGTCATCCATATGTTGTGCATTATATGCTGTCATAATCTACTCTGGGTTTGAAGCTGGCTGAGGATGTCCGAGGCCAAATCAACCGCATCCTTGGCCATTCCCATACCGGCCTGAAACCCAGTCCCTCCTGCGCCATAGTTGTGTACCACATTGTTACCCTCTGGCGTGGTTTCGAGCTCCACTCGAGCACCGCCCTGCCGCGATGGCCGCAATCCCACCGCAACATGAAGGATTTCTGTTTCTCCATTTTTGAGGATCGGTAGGAGACCTTCTGTGCGACTCAGAATAGATTCAGTCTCTACTGGCCGAGTCTGCCTCGTTTGGTCGCCAGGTTGTAGGTAGCCACCTAATATCACAGTGCCATCCGAACGGGGTCGCGGGATGATATATGTCTCGTAGTCTTTGCCATGCCGCATAACATTGACTCTAACTGATGGGGCCTTCACAAGGATAATCTGGCCACGTGTGGGATAACATTTCGAGTCGGCAACTCCCGCTAAACTGGATGCTGCGTTGCCGACGCAGTTGAAGACGATTTGCGTTCCGTGCAGGAAGGCATCCTGTAAGCTTGATACCTTCCGGCGGACAAACTTTACACCACCATACCGAGGTTGAGATAGGAGGTATTTCAAATACTCACAATGCGCAGGTGCGTTGAGTGTGACTGTAGTGAATCTTATTCCGAAGGCAGCCCCCTTAGGGAGATCGGCTGGAGGTATGATGACAAGCTATCAGTTAAAGCTCAAGGGGTTAGCACAGTTGACTGGTGACCATGTCTGTTGGTAGTAATGGTGATTTATGTCATGGGCAGCCTTACATCGTGCAGATACTCAGCCATGCTGATGATCTTATCCTGCGATGGGGCTTGATCCCAGTACTCTGTTGACGCGGTTTTGGACAGATACTTCGCTTCTTCTGCCCCGGTATCAATTAATCTCATCATGGCCAAGTAACCAGATCGGTCCCAGCGCAGTGCATTGGCATCGCTGCCCGATATGCCAGAGAAATTCGCCCCAGCCCTAAATCGCAGGAGCGTCAGGATACGTCATATCGATTGTAGATTGAAACTATGTCTGCGCACCAAGGAGAGGTATAATCGATTGATTCATCTCCTGGAAGATGTTCTGCCATGATTGTGATATGCTGTCCATAGCCACGTTTCGATAACTCTAAGGCAACGTTCAAGCCGATGATACCCGCACTGGATGGCTAATGTTAGAGAACATTGCGTGAATGGACCTCCTGTATGTTCTTACCCGAGCACCACAATATCGTTATGCGCCATCCTTGATTGACTCCTGGTGCTTGATAGTGTCAAACACAGCATGCTGGCCTATATAAACTATTGTCAGAATAGACAGTGTCATACCAAGGATATCCAGCCTTTCTCCGATTGGCGGCATTCCTGTGGAGCCTTGAGTGGAGAAAAATGGATCCTATCAGGTTGATAAGGTGAAGGCGAGATAATCGATGATTGAGTGTTGGGACTAAGGGGAAAGGAAATTATGACCAAGTGCAGCCCAGTAACTACGGGACAAGGACAAGGACAACAATGTTCATCATAGTCTAAGGACTCAGGAGAAATCGACTATGTATCTTTCCTGGTGACCACTATACATTTCCCACTCCCAACATGCGCCTCTTCGTCTTCCCGCTGGCTCACAGTGGTGGTCTCCACCGAATCCAACACTGGAACCGGTTGATTCGAAGCCCTTCCAAAGAGTACATAGAAAAGGATTCCCGCCACAAAACCTACAATAGCTAGCGATCCATACATCCAAACTAAATAGGGATCCTGTGAAACCGGGGCGAGTCCGATACAAATGGCCGCTGCGACGCCAATAGTCAACCAGAATAGAGAAGATACCAGGGAGCGCAGACTATTGGCATGGCTAGTTAGTTAATGTGCTAGCCGGATAATCGCAGGGTTACCTTACCTTTCGGGCGCATTGGTGTATGCGATCTCCAAGCCAGTCACCACAACGAAGGCCTCTGAGAAGGCGACGAGAACGTATGCAGGTGTTTGAACCCAAACGTGAATGGACTGCGCAGGGGAGATGTAGATGTAGTGTTGGAGAACACTGGCGTATACCATTGACATGGAAGCCATGAAGAACCCGGCAGTTATCTTCAACTCGGGTCGGAAATCGATCTTGAAGTGACGCAACGCTGGGTAGACCACGACTGGTCTCATGTTAGGCCGCTGCCATGTGAGTAGGCGTGGTTGCACTTACGATCGAGGAACGGAATGAAGATAATCAAGGCTATGGGGTCGAGGTTTTGTAGCAGATCGTTCGGAGTGCCGTGCAGAGCCATTTGACCAGCCTGAGAGATGAGGTTATTCCAGATCTGGACCCAACAAACGAAATAAAACGGAAAGAGGAGGAATAGCTGCTTGCCACGGTCAGAAATTGATAACTGCAGCCAATAGTGTGGGTCTTCTTTACTTTGCAGGCCCTGATGCCCTTCTTAACGCCGTCCACACTTTGATCGGTGTAGTTGGCGCTGGATGCGATGGGGTATTTCTCTATCCGACCTCGTTCGCTCAGAGAACTTGGCTTTGCGTTCTCGAAACCTCTTTCTGATATAGCCACATATACAGTTCTAGCGGTTTCGACAATTGGTGAACCTTTTGGTTTAGTCTTGACATACAATTTGCTGCTACATATAAAGACGACGGCAGCAAGGACAATCACACTGCAGTCTGATATCAGTCAAATTCTGAGGAACCACCAGTAAAATCTGTATATTCACTAACATCAAAGGTATCAGGAAGGCCAGCCAGAAGGACACCTTGGCCTCCACGTTGACAGTGATCAATGGCGATAGGGCTCCGATATTGACGGCCCAGTAGAACCTGATAATTACAGAGTTAATATTATGCGGCACTGTTGACAGAAACAAAGCGCATACCACATGAACATTCGCTCCACGGTGAGCGCAGGGTCGACGACGACACGTTCTCCTGACCTCAGTGTCTTGACGAAAGCGCTGCCTTTCTTATACTGCTCGGCACAGAACGGGGTGACATTTGCTTTGATTCCACCCGTTCCCAGTCCAATGATAACCATCGAGGCAACGAGCCCACCAAATGCTGATCCGCCATTGATAGCTGCTGGGGTCGCCGTTGCCACAAGGATAGTCAAGCCGACGATATAAATTCCAGAGGCTATAACTATGGCCTTAAACTTGCCGACGTACTGATCTATGTGGTGAGGCAGAGGATGAGTCAGTGGACAAGGGACCTTTCATGTACGCGATATAGCCTGGCCTTACCAGCTACTACAGCCCCCAGGATGGTGGAGGCATACGCCCAAAACTTGAAAAAGTTACCTAGAGCGGATGCAACTGCCTGTCCCCTACCAAGGGCACCTGGTAGCTCCGCACCAGGGACGTACGGATTTCTACCGTTATGATTAGCGATTAAGGACAGCCCGAGGTAGCGAAACAACATACTTGATGTAATTCTGCAATGGCCCGCTAAGACCAAAGTAGGTGAATCGCTCCCCAAGCTCGACAACGATGATGAGTCCGACAACCCAAGGAATACGGTCAGGCACCCGACGCAAACCTGGTTCATATGCCTGGTCTGCTTGAAGAGGTTTCGGTGTATTTGAGTGAGTCACCTTTGGCAGGATTTGATGATCCAGGATATCTGGAGTTCTTGCGCGTTCCGGCATGGCTAGCGTGATGCTGTGCATGAAAGTCTAAGCCGGGATGGTCGACACATCTTTGAATCAGTCCGGTGCTGTTCCGTTTATAGTCTCCCCACACCTCTTATCTCCGGTTCCTGATAAGGCGTTTTGCGGGGAAGCGATACGAGGTTGTGGATGCCGATCGCGACGTTCCTATCAAAGTGGATTTCGATGCCACCAATTGAAAGCGATGCCGGTGCCGGTCCACTGTGTCTACTAAATCCTCTCAGAGGATACCGGCTGATGAAGCTGCCAGTGGAAGATAATTCTGCGCGGTGACGGAAACAAAATTGAGAGAATATACCGCCACCGAGGAGACTATCCCTTTGCAACCTTTGCCAATCGACCCGAGTTCACGTCCGCACGATGGCTACTACTACGGAACAAATGATCACAATCCATACCTCTGGAGGGAGGGAAGGGAATGTGATACCGGAAAAGTACCTAGAAGGGTTAGATGTTGAATGGCAGGAGATGTGGACAAGACACGGAAGGGACATGGAAGGTGCTCACTTGGTGACTATTGAACAATTTCGGCGATGCCCTGAACGATACAGCTTTACCCACCCAACCTGGACAGGTCAGTTTTGTCCATAGTTCTATGTCGAAGGGTGTATTTAACATATCCTGACTTCTTTCCATAGGCCCCGAAGTACATCATCTTCAAGATTATCAAGTCCCCGTCTCAAATCCCGAAGGATCGATCACCTGCCGCGTATACACACCCCCTGGGCTGGGTCCATTCCCAGTACACCTTAACTTTCACGGAGGTGGCTGGGTACTTGGAGGCCTGCAGTCTGAAGCCGCCTGGTGCCGTAGTATATGCAATGAGTCATCTATCATTGTCATTGATGTGGATTATCGTCTCGCGCCAGAGCATCAATACCCTATCGCGCTGTATGACTGTTGGACCGCGGTACAATGGGCACACACCAACGCGCAAACCCTCAACATTGATCCCAACTCCATCTCAATTGGGGGACTGTCCTCGGGTGGACTAATCACAGCTGTTCTTGCCCACTTCGCGCGCGACTGCTCTCCCCCTCTCGAACTGAAACTTCAATTGATGGTGGTGCCCGCGACAGATATGCGGTACGTACCGCTGTCTATAACTGATGCCGAGCCCCTTACCCCAGACAGTTGTCCGTACCCCAGTGCAATATACTGCTCCGATCTACCGTGGTCCCCACTCGCCCGAGAGTCTTGGTTCCTGAATTACTACATTGGCACGGACGAAGAGGTGCGATCAGAGATCCTCTCAGATTGGCGAATGACTCCTGTTCTCTCGCCATCTATGAAGGGACTAGCCCCGGCACACATCGTCACGGCCGAGTTTGATGTAGAAAGGGATGAAGCTGAGCACTATGGGCAGTTGCTTCGTGAGGCAGGAAATCGAGTAACCATGAAAAGGTATGCGGGTGTGCCACATGCGTTCGCTCATTACAACCATCCCACTCGGGGTCTGAGCAAGAGCCAAGAGTACATCAGAGATACGTCGAAGCTTCTTTCCGAGGTACACGGTACCGGCAACGGCAACGAGGCGCCATAGGTTGCGGGAGAATACTGGCAGCCATTGTACATTGAGGAGTACACACACACATTGCGCTCTGCCGCTACATATACTTCCCAACTACCTCCCGCACAAGGACGGGCCTCACATTCGCCGGTTTTGTCTCAAGGAAGGTTGGCCAACTGTGATGCGATGCACACGGTGTAGGCTATGACGAAGCCATGGTCATGATTCCTATGATTGTTAGAGTGGACTTTTATTCGCTAGTGCAGATGGTACTGACCATGAAAGACATCGTGACATGTATGATAGATTGGTTCTTAGACACCATCTAGTTGAATACTAGAAGTAGTACTTGCGTTGATTGAGCATAATGATGAGACTACTCGTACCCAATCCACAAAGCCTAGTCTTCAGACCTATGCCTCACCCCCGACCCACGCTGGGGTTGGGGGCTGACTTCTGACCCCCGGAAAAGGAATCAAAGGGGTGAATGATACTGCCCAAATTCCTGGCCTGGTCGTCGGAGATAATATCCCGACCCTTGTTTGTGAGATCTACTCCGCTGGTTGGTAGTTTATCTTTAGCGCGAGAATGCGGCGCTTCCCCGATAGCTGAGCCTCCCCCAGAATGCAAGGGCCGCAGCGATCGCCTCGCTTGCAAAGATATCGTATCCCTTGCAGGCCTGAGATCTTTAATCGAGCCCATGTGGCATACCCGATTCGCTTGGAATACAGGAATGTCGGCAAATGCTGAGATGATCTGCGAACCCCTTGCGGCACAGATTCGAGTCCCGGAAAATTATCCCGTATGGCCCCAACCTATCTTAAGTCGAGAGAGCTTTGTGTTCCAATGTGGAAGATAGGGTTGGGTACTCACATAGCATTTCTATTATTGTCCCTGGTTCACTTCCGGTTATGGATATGATATGCTGGTGTACACGAAGCTCGGGGCATGACCGTGTCGGAAAAAAAAACACCCTGCTTCGTGTCCTCGTGGTCGGTCATACTTTGTCGCGGGAATAGGAGGAAAGCATTTGTATGTACAATGCCTTGGAGTCGATGTTTGTAGGGATGAAGGGTCTCAACTGAATCAAGCCACTCTAAAGGCCTGGAGTTAGAATCATTGGATGCTCATGAACAAGTAGCGGATAGTTTTGCCGTGCATATCAAGACCATTTAAACCACAAACTAATGTATCTCTTGCTTTGGATAGTTATAGGATACTGTCACTGACACAACGGATTAGGATCTATTTTAGGATGGTTACACTCAATTTGTGAAGTGAGTCTTGTGTATAGATAGCCTCAAGTTATATATCAAAGCAGTATTATGTGGTGTATCATCAGATGTAATTGGCCTACAGTTGTAGTGGCAGTTGGCTTTGTTTAGAAATACGGCATAGTAGTCTGGAACAGCGTATATTCGTTGGATGCTTGTAGACTATTGTTATCGGATCTTTAAACGTTGTTCAAGTCCACTTGTATTAAATATGTATTTAGCCAAATATATATATATACATGTATGCTTACAGATATACATCCTAGCTGGTAGTTAGGACAAAAACATAAGTCAGCTGTACTTGACAAGATTAGAGAGGTGGTCACACATATAAATACACACATACATACATACATATATATATATAGTCATTACTTTTAAATCACATTTACCTATTCTACGGCACCCGTGACCCCATATTAAGTTATAACACTAGAGACGAGTTCGAAGGAGGCTATTTTACAATATGTCCTGCAGATAACTGCAAGCATGAGAATCAGTGTATAGTAATGGCTTAAGCTTGCTTATTATATAGCTTTGTGAGGCTTCTCTAAAGGCCGCCCATGTATCCATTCAACAATAACCAAAACTAGAGAACTAGCATGAGCACCAACGCACTGGCATGTATTGAGCTACTTCTATACAGGCTTCGCAACTTCCACTATGGATTCTATGCCCTGATATATGGCTGTGCAAGGACAACAAGAAAGATGGCCGAAAGTCTTGATGATCTTCATGATTGATCCAGTGTACTTTTCTCCCGTGTAGTTGCTTTTGCAGCATGGAAACTGCAGGAGAGGGCATTACATTTTAGAACTGTGCGAAGTGGACAATAAGAAAAACTTTATTATCTATTAAAAACATTTCCCTCCCTTCACTGGATATGGTGATGAAGGGATACAGATCCAAGAAACAGAGTTAAGGGTAAAATAAACGAGAGACACCCAAAATGAGCCAAGCTCAAAAGCACGTTGTTTCACCACGTAGTCCACCTTTCCATATCATAGCACGATGTGATGAGATGTTGGCTTGCAACCGACCGTGGAGACCTATCGGGGATAGGTTTACAAGGGCAGGGTATCTGTGACGGTGTCGAGCAGGGCGTCGACAACGGACTCGGGTTCAGGAGTGTTGGGGCACTCAGTAGACGAAGTGCACGTGCAAGCCTGCGCACGGTTTTAGTATTGTGCAATGCATACTGAGAGAGAGTGTGTGTGAATGGAAGACTTACCTGCCAGTCGCCACTGCCAGTGCCAACAGGGCAGGTCCAGGGAACGGGGAAGCTAGGACCGCATGCGCCGTTGGTCTTGGAGCATCCAATCGCCTCACCGCTGCCATAGTCATCGTAGCTTGCACTAGGGGGGTAGGTGTTGTATGAACAGCAGTAGCGCTCGACCTCCTGATGTTCTCCGCCTTTGCTGTAGTCATCGCCGCCCTCAGGTGCATGAGGAGCTGCAATGGCAGCACAAACGAAACCAAGGATAGTAGCGAAGGTAGAGAGCTGCATCTTGAATGAAAGTTGGAGGATGGTAGAACCAAGTGATTGAGCTGGAAAGCGAATGGAAGTGAAGATTGTTCGAGTGAGTGACTTGAGAGGCTTGTTGATGATGATGAAAAGTTACAGCTACCGGGAGGATCAAGGGCCCTTTTATACCTTTGGAGGAGCTCGCATTCGCCTATCGCTTCTGCTGTCTGACTCGAAGGCAATCGATACTATGTCTTCCCATTCCAGGAGCAGGTGTCCGAGCGCAGCATGCTAGTACATTCCTTACCGATGTACCTTATCCAGGTACATCACACATATTTCCCGAGTCATATTGAATGTACTGAGTCCCTCGACCCGACTGAATCACGATGCAGGCAAGGGCACATTCTCTGATATCCCCGGTATCCTTGTTCAAGCTATACCATGTAGTGCGAGACATCTCTGAGTTCCAAACGCACTTAGGACTTACGAAGGTGAACTTCACTGGTCCGTTGCATCTGCTATGTACATCTATACAGACATTCTAGATCATTAGATGTTACTGTCAATTGAAGCTAATACCACGTAATACTCTAGAAAGTCACATTGAATATCTGGATATTGTAGGTAGTCGAATGAGATGATTCCTAATTCAACAGTTGCAATGGGGTCAAGGTGGAAACCATTATCACCCATGGCTCGCTAGACAAGATCCTGCTTTGGTTTAACTTCCCCAAGGTACTCCGTAGCATAACCACCTTTCATTCCCCTGGGTCAATCTAAAAATTCGAGAAAGTATCGAGCGAAGTACCATTGGAAGGGTTATTCCTGCCGCCCATTGGGTATCGAGTCCTTACATGTGAGAAATCCGACGAACACGGTCACGGACGGGCTGAGGCAGTGGAATGTATGAAAGAGCATCTACAAGTGTAGATCACGATATTCTCCGCATTCGTCTAAGAGCAATGTCCTGGATCTAATGAAGCTTAAGTTGCATTCGTGAAGGACTTCGAGTCATGGGTAGACAAGGGCGCTTTACCGCGGTGTCCTTACATGCAGCGATACTGACTCAATAATCATTGCTACAGGACATCATACATCATTTGGAATTTCATCGCAGCGCTCAGAATATGTGAAGTAATGTTTGAAGGGCAATGTAAAAGGGCTCCGGCACTCGCTCATCCCCTTCATTGGTGATATTGGCAATATCACAGGAATGGATTACGAATGCGACAGGGAGTAGTTGTTGGATGCTGATCGAGCATGTAACATGTTGCTTTCGGTTTTTGATACTATCTCGACCCCTGGTTACCCTGGTAGATTATCTAAACCGCTCATATAGTCGATTAGAAGCCTAACACAGCTTGTCCGTTTTCATCCTCCCTGGATCGAACACTCAATATTCCTGAGCTATCTCCTTTTTTAGACAGTATTCTTGCCTCCCTTGATCACAGGAAGACCTAGCCATTTCACAGAATCATTATATTTTGCTAGTATCAGGTATAGGTTTGAGACATAGTGTTATAGTATAGATCGCTGGTCCTTGCAGGGCCTCATCTATGTGTGGAATGTGAGTAGGACATACCGGGTATCCTGTTCCATTAGCCGAGAGCTAAGCTAGCTTAAGCTTCTTGTGGAGTACGCGATGCATGGAATGTGCGTAGTCTGTTTCGGATATCTTTTCCGTTGGCAAGGACTGGGGTACTTTGAGAACACAGCCCCTGGTGGAATGAGTGATGGAAGCAATGGCCGCATGATGCTTTCGCCGATTGTATCTACTCACCAAACAGACGAGCGTGCTCTTCTTTTCTTTTCTCTGTTCGTTTTCCCAGTCATGTAGTCTTACAGGTGCTATCATGGTTGTGGTAGAAACGTGTGCTATGAACTCGTGTACAACTATACGTGTCTTAGATTGGAGTAAGGAATTCAAGGATCCACCCCGGCACTTGCACGCAGGAGAGTGGGGCCTGCTCCCCCCGGATCGCTAAATTTATGTAGGGTTATCGCTTAGCACTCCCGGCGCCCGTCGATCATCACCCACCGGCCGTGTTCGGCTAAGGTCTCAACAATTTCGGCTGAATCATGATTCTTTAGATTGACCCCACAACCTGCACATCCCTGTGTGTTTGTAGATCCTTTCCGTCTAGCAGTTGTTGCCAACGGCATACACAATATAATAGGACCAGCCTTTGGCATGGTGGTCCGGAGGGTCCGCCCCCGATGCTGAAGCGAAGGGCTCCACAGGGGTAAGCACGATCTTTTCACGCCCTATCTTAGATTCTCGGTGGCGCTATGATATCCTAGATAAGCCTAGCCTATGTAGCCTCCCGCTGATAAAGCCGTAGCCAGAGATCTTCCTTTCGTTACGTGGACTATGTAGCCTGATAACACAGAGAATGTGCGATAAGTGATTGAACAGTACCTAAAAATATGACTCACTAGCGGCTTCCAGATGAAGACCCTTTTTAATCTGCGGTACCCGTAAAACATTCCAAGAGAAATATTAGGACGATGAAAGTGCAGTTTAATCCTGTATTGGATATAAACTCACCTATTGCCCATGTGTCTTAAGACATCACTCTATCTCTCAGATTTTATATTATGGTGGAGGTGAAATTATAGACAATATCAAGATGATAGAAACTAGTTCAGTATATCCCATTCTATGCCTTACTTGGCTCAGCCGCCGTACACTTGCCACTCGTATTTGCAGTCCCGGGCGAAAGTATCGACCGAAACCGAGTTTCTGCGCGTCACCCGCCTGTCTATAGTTAGTTATATTGTGGTTCTCTGCTCTGTCCGGACATCTTAATCTTTGACTTTCTTTTGTAAATCTATCTTTCAACGACTATCTTGTAGCTCTATTACTCTCGACTGTCCACAAGCAAAGATAGGAGCCTATCAGCAAGACGAAGTTTCTTACTCTTCTATCTGCAGGTCTATTTACTGCTTTTACGATAGCAACACCTTCACCAGATACAGGTGAGGTGGCAAGCCACCTTGGAAACAAAAAAGGTAGGGCCCAGCGCATTAATCATACTTCTGTTTAATGATAACTTCAGAATATATAGACTGACAGATATAACATATGGATAGACTGTATGTCCTTGACGCCTCCCTATCTAAGAGGTCACGTCAGAATATGAAGATATCTAGGCTGACGGAGATGGCAATATAGATAGATTGTCAGTACTTAACCCTTTCTTGTTGAACAGATGACTTAAAAATATGACTGACAGAAATGTGGATAGGAGGTATGTACTTCACCCCTCCCAGTCTAAGACGTAACAAGCACATGGCTGACAGAGATGGGATATGGATAAGAGGTATATGATCAAACCCGCGCCCCCTACCTGTTCGAAGGGCAACTGAAGAATATCTATACTAATATATGGATAGCTTGTATGTACTTGACGCCTCCGTACCTGCCATATGACATGACGATCTGACTGATAGCGATGCGATATGGATAGTGTGTATGTCATTGACCCTTTCCTGCCTCAGAGATAACTTGAAACTATTAATAACCGACATAATATACAGATAGGCTGTATGTATATAATCTCTCTCTACTTAGTTGACTTGAGAATATGAATAATCGCGATGGGATATACATAGATCGTCAGTACTTGACCTCTCCCTATCTAAGTGATGGCTTCGGAATATCTAGGCTGACAGATGATATCTTGATAGACTGTATGTGCTCGATCCCTCCTTGTCGAACATATGACTTAAGAATATGACTGACAGATGTGATGTGGATAGATTGTCAGTGCTCAGCCCTCTCTGTCTAGGACTTGACTTCAGACTATATGGGTATAAGCTAACAGAGATAAAATAAGGATAGCCTGTTAGTACTCAACCTCTTCCTATGTAAGAGATGACTTAACAGTATAACTAACAAAGATTGGGTATGTATAGCCTGTCAGTCCTTGACCCCTCCCTACAAGTGACATACCTTGAGAACGGTTAGGCTGACAGTAGACAGGATGTATATACTTAGCCCCTCCCGCTTGAGAGAGATAATTTGAGAATGTCTAGGCTGACACACATGGGGTATGGATAGTTTGTCAGTACTTTACCCTCCGTTGTCTAAGGGTTGACATCAGAATAAGACTAACAGACATCCGACATGGGTAGAATGTCAGTGCTTAACCCTTACCTGTCTCAGAGATGTCTTATTATGACTAATAACACTGGGATATGCATATCCTGTGAGTCCTTGACCCCCTCGCTGTTCCAGAGATGGTTTAGAATATTTTAGCTGACAGCAGACAGTATGGCTAGTACTGCAGCATCAACTGCAGGGAAACTTCCCCCCATGTAAGAACTGCCAATCGTCCTACTAACGGATTCTTTTTCTAGTACATCCGGGCGACAAATCTATTCCTTGGGAATATCGCCAAATGCTCATCCTTTCAGATTGGCTGATATCTTCGATCTGCCTTGGTCAAGGTTTTCCCTATATAGTTAGGCTTTCCTTCACAGTTATGCGAATGCAAAGGGCTATTTGAAAATAGTTCTCTCCCTACTTTAGTCTATCATCCCCTTCAGATACAGTGTAAAGTGGATATAGATGGTCGTACCGCTTCTTTGTCACATTGCAGGAGATAGCCCTCAAGTCGACGGGCAATACATTCCTACACCACCAGCTAGGATGGCCTAGGAAGACAGTAGAGAATCGATCAGTCTAGTTTAACTACTTGCAGCGAACGGTTATGTAATATACATGGCGCGCAGGATCGCGTGATGGGTAGAGAGGGGGGTAACTACAATAGTTAGATTTCCTAGTGGTCTTTTGTCCTTCGGCTTTCTTCTATTTTCTGGTATAGGGCATTCAGCTCACCTAATAGCCATTATCTCTTTTATCTATTTATTCTCCATTCGTGTTTCACCTTCAAGCCCTAGGGTCTTTCCTATTCAGGACTAGGGCTTCTGATAATTATATACTTATATATAAACTAGTCTTTACCTACTTAATAACTACTCATCGATTTATTAACTAGCCAAAGTTAACACGGTGCCCTCACCATGGACAAAGGCAAACCCTACTGATACAGGTGGATTCCAATGGTCACAGAGAACCTGTGTCCAGGCAAGTGTGTTTCCATCCGGGCCAAAAGGCCAGACCCAAGATTATGATGTGCCAGGGTTGCGCCCTATATACACTGAGCCCGGCGCCATGGTAACATCTCTCGTCAAGTTCGCTTGCTTGTACGTCCAATCCATGTCAACGGGGCTCATTATATTGAATTGATCCTTCATATCTAACAATAAAAAGATACTCTGAACACCAGTTATCGTAAATATTGTATTTCCACCAAACGCCTCAACGCCTGAAATCTCGCCCCAGGAAGGCCACAATAAAACATAATCCACCTGGCAATTGACGACTGGTCCATACATAGGCTTAGATCCTGCGCTTTCCCTTCTTAGAGAGTCGCCTATGTGTCATATGGAGAATCTCGTGGATGGAATCGATCAACAACTTCTTTCCCTATGACCTCTTAACACATAACAAGATACACTTGCCTATGTCCTCTGTAGAAAGGAGACGTGGATATATCAAATCTGCCCAGGCAATTCCCATAGCGCTAACGTAAATTATCTCACTCTCTGTACAATGCAAGAATTTACTGGCAGGAAGACATATAGTCAACTGACTATCCACCATAGACCATCCAACTCACCGAGGCCACCCAGCCACACGCGAAGAAGAACGTTACAATTGAAGCGCCAGCCCGATCACCAGTCGTGATCGGCTTCGGCGTACCTACCTGTTGATCCTTGTGCCCCGATCCTGCGCTGGGGTTGCTCTTGCTGGTGCCACCGGTGTCCGCCGTTAAGGGTGCGTGGTGCTCCTTCTTGTGAGCGATCATGGTGGACGACAGGACACTCAACGCGCTCATGTCCGACTCCAGCGACTTCGAGCCATCCCACTTGTCTTGTTTGTACCAACTACGCCCACAGTCGGTCTTGGAGTCGCCACCAGAGCATTGTTTCGCTGCGGCCTGGGCTGAGGCTTGGATCTTGGGGAGGATCTGGTCTTGTGTAAAGGGGGCAATCGTAGTGGTGAAGGTCAACCAAGATGAGAGAAAGCCTTTGAAGCAGTCTTGGTTACGGTCGCACATCATACTCTGCTCACAGGAAATCTCCGACATGATGTCCCCGCCGTACTCATGGGGGAAGAATTTGGCCATCGTGGTTCCGAGCAAGCCATCGATGGCTTCCTTCCACTTTCCATCACCATCGGTCTATATTTGGTCAGCAATGTTGCCATCGTCCACTAGCGAATGACCCAGAGAGAGAACCTAGGAATAGAACACACCAAATTGTACATGTATGCAGCTCCGCTCAGGTAAGTTCCGTAATTGTATGTCCACTGCAGATCCCCATGATCCTGGCAGTTCGCCTCAGTAGTAGTGGTATCGGCGATGTTCCAGTCAGCCGTCTTCAGCAGCGGGGTAGTGGCACTCCAGTCCCAGATCTTTTCGGCCCAGTCAATATAAGTTTGATTCTTAGTGTACCGACCCAGACGAGCCGCCAGCTGGAACAGACCACCGTTGGAGATGGCATTCTTCGTCGTATACCCAGCCTGGTAGGGCCAAATCTGCCATCGGAGGCCCCCATCGCAACTGGAGTTATCCCAGCGCGGGACTTGGGTGTTGAAAACGCCTTGCGCCAGGGACAACCACGACGACTCCCCTTCTTTATCAGGAAAGTTCAGCTCGGCAGCGGTCATGGCGGCCAGCCCCCAGAAGACCTGATCATCATTTCCAAGGTAGTTACTGTAGTTGGCGGGGAAGTAGTCGTCATGGCCTTTTTGCCACAGCATCCCTTGCGTGGTCACCTCGTTGTAGGACGTGTCGCCGGTCCAGAACCAGTATTGGATCAGGGTCATAAACATTGCGCCACCTTCCCACCATGTATCGGGAAGCTTTCCAGGGGTCTGGCCCGACTCATTTCCGTGGTAATAGCTCATCATATTGTAGGCTGCTGTCGCAGCTGCGGTCTTGATCGACTCTAGAGCGAGATGACGCGGTTAGTATGAGATAAGACACATAAGGAAGATCGAAGTCGAATGTGGAACAGTATAGCGCAGAGTGTATCAGCTTACGCTCATCTTGAAGGTCAAGTTGGATAGCGGCTCCAGAGCCCGCAAAAACGAGGCTCAGGAATATCGCGTATAGCCAGTCAGGCGGCATTATGATGTGCGATCGTGAGCAAGGCTGCAACTATTGAAAGATAGGTGAGAGCAACATCGAGATGAGAAGAGACTTGAATGAGTGGTGCAACAGTTAAGCAAGCAAGCAAGACAGGTAGTAAGGAGGGGTTTGTAGAATGCGGAAGTGCCCTGGAATGTACGGAATGGGTTACTTGTCTGTCATACTAACTATGCCACGACGAAAACAAATCGAAGGCAAACAAAGGGAAACCTGCTCAGTGACATAACAGAGACTCGAAGGGCGTTACAGGAAAACAAAAGGGTCGCGATGACGCTGACTATTGGAAGGGGTTGGGCAACATCACCTGAAGCAAGGGATGCTGGCGACTCTCTTCATTATTCACTCTCTGCTGTATAAATGCATTATGCACACAGCACATACCTTGGAATCTTGGCAACGTCGAGAATCCAGCTGCCAAAACGTCAAATGCTATATTTAGCAAGCACTCCGTATTCCAAGTGGCAGCAACAAAGAGCGCAATGCATGATGGATAGCGGGCGGAAGTAGATCTCCTCCACGATGTCCGCTTTCTAATGACGAGAAAGTATCATTTACTCGGTTTAAATCCAGCTCAATTAAGTATTAAACCGCTATGTATCAGTGCGCTCGTATAGTTCATAACTTTCCATTCTCCTTCTTGTTGTTCCGTCATCGAGTCCGGGCGCCGTATGCCTAGTTTTAGCAGCTAGTTCACTAACTTTAAATCCGGCCTGCACCCATGGACGAGAATCTTGGCGGGAGCTTTTCCCTCTTCCCTTGTTCACCAGGCTCTACTACTCTGTAAGAATAGCGGCAAGAAATCATATTGTCTAACGGACACTTGAGATTAATGAAATCATTTCCCGAGTCTCTGGAAAAATATTTGTCAGGAAACCATCGAACTGGTGTTAACCGAGCCATGCGCCCTAAGTGCATTCTGTGGAACGGTATGCTGAACATCAACTTCTCTTATAGAGCAATATGTAAAGCAAGTAATCTAAGCCGTGATAGCATAGATCTGAAAGGAACCTGGACAAACGGTCAATAGGGTCAACAGCGCAATCAAGCCAGGATGAAGGGTCGTAACGGACCGGCCCACTCATTGAAATCCAAACCCGCAATATCACTCGGAGTCCCCGTACGCTCAAGGCCACCGCCACAACACGAGCTCTGAGGCAAATACGAAGACTCTTTATAAAGATTAAGGTCCGACTTCGTATCAACAATAAACACGCCTAGTAACAAGTCAATACTCATGACTCTCTTTACAGCGGTATACGTGCCTTCGAATCCCGCCTGCCTGAGATACGCCTCATACTCCCCAATCTGACTAGCACCCGCAACACACCCAACATACATCGCCATATTATTAGTAAGATGGTCCGGGAGCGGCTTTCTAGCTAGAATATCGCTGATTGCGATCCTGCCACCGGGTTTCAGTAGACGCGCGATCTCTCGAAAAACGGCCGCCTTGTCGGTAGCCGGGACAAGATTGATGACACAGTTACTGATGATGCAGTCGACGCTGGAGTCTGGCAGCGGGATGGACTTGATATTTGATTCGATGAATTTTGCATTGGAAAGTTGTGCCTTTGAGATATTCTTCTCGGCGAGTTCAATCATACTCTTGATCGGGTATCAGTCCTAGTGTCTTCAGAGCAAAGGCCTGGAAGAACTCACTCTTGTCATATCCACGCCGATGGCCTGTCCATTAGGCCCAACTTTACGAGCGGCCAGGAGGGCATCGATGCCACTGCCGCTGCCAAGGTCCAGAACTGTCTCGCCCTGCTAGAAAGTTAAAAGTCGCCGATTTCTTAGCACCGTGGGAAAACAATCAGTCAAGGAACAGACCTCTTTCACATTCGCAAATCCTACCGGATTTCCACAGCTCAAGCCAAGGTTAGTCCTCCCTGGCAAGGAACTCAGATCTTCCGCGCTGTAGCCAAACGCCCTAGCGATTTCCTCTTCTTTGTCGTGCTGCTGGACGTTGGTGCTCTGTTTTGCGATGTCACCATAGCGAGACTGAACAAGGTTGTAGGTATTGTCGCACATATTGTAGCCGACCCCTTACACGTTGGGATGATATATCCTCGGGTAGAGGATGTAGATTGGGGGTTACTGGATGTATGTATTATGGTTGAGACTGATAGTATGATGAGCTCTCGGAGCGGCAGACGGGGGGCGTTCGACTGTCTTTATATCTACGGTCCTTCTCATTCATATTTAATTGAATACGAGAAAATGTGATAACGTTAGTCATTTTATCGTTGCCGGTATGTCACCAGTGTGAGCATAGCGTATGAGGATGGGAAAGTGGTATGTCACCAGCTATATCCGGAGTGGGTCCGAGTGCGGGGACTAACCAGTCAGTACGGAGTATTTGCATCCATATTCCATCGGTGAGAGACTGTTTCTACGCTTTCTTGTCCACCTGCCCCCGGATAATTTACCTTGTACAGCAGCTATAGAATCGACATAAGCCATCAGTGGCGTGTAACTTGAATTCGACGTCCCTTTGTGAGTATATAACAAAAGTAACGCGGCGGGACTTGATTTGCCACACGGAACTCGTCCGCCATGCCACGAATCAAACAGAAAACCAAAGTACGAGAATCACATTTTTTTTAATCCATGTAGCACTTAAGATCTGACTTCTTAACTAGGCAGAGGATCTCACCCGAGTCCGCAACAACCAACGTCGCTGCAGACAGCGAAAACGCGATTATGTAGCGGAACTGGAGCGGAGACTTACATCCATCGAGGACACTACTTCGCGAGAGATTCAAAGATTGCAGTCTATTGTGGACGAGCTGCGACAAGCGAACGAGAGGCTGACAGCGTTGCTCTATTCCGGGGGTACTGACTGCGGTTCTATCGGACCTCTCAGACAGACGGAGAGCGAGAACGATGCCTTGAGAGATATGAGCAGTGACCTCGTGCCTTTGGGGGACGCATCCATCCTGGGTAAGGCAGTCTAGTTTTGTCATAGTCCCTCCACCCCACGCATATAATATCACTCACCTATCACCGCCATGGCCTCATATCTGATATGACTGGATTCATAGGGCCCACAGGGAACATAACTCCAAAAGACATTTCTCAACTTGGCCTCTATCCACAACCATACGCACCTCTTGATAGATTCAAAGATTTTCTCCAGGAATCCAGCTGCCCCCCAATCTCTCCTGAAATTGAGCCGGATCCTGGATCCATACTTCTGCCCGAGCAGAACGTAATAGACACGACCCTTAGCGCAGAGGTATCGAAAGACGAGTATCAAGATACAACCGTGTGTGCTGTGGCCTTGGAGCTAGTTATGAATTGCAATACAAAGAACTTAAGTATTACGGAGCTTGATATGCGGCTTCGATGCGGGTATAGGAGTGCTCGGTTTCAATGGGAAGGCTGCAGGGTCGACAACCGGGTTTTGTTCGCTGTGCTTGCAGAGGTTATGAGATGAGCGAGTTAGTTTTGCTAGAGCAGGTAGTCTCTGTTTCACCCGTCGGTTATACCCACCCGATGGAACAGAGATTAAATAGGCCACACTGTTTAGGTCTACTGCCATCAGCCATCTCCAGATATTCGAATTCTACCCAAAGAGTTCTATTTTGTTTCTCAACCAGTAGTCGCAATATGTATTCATCATTTGTTCTCAAATCCAGTGAGCGTAAGGTGTATCTCTGGTAGTTGTTAAGTAAAAGCATATCTCCTTTTTATATAGTCCGCTACTTGGAGTCAGCAACTGCAGACGACCATAGGGTGTTGAGAACAGTGCTTCCCATCCGCTCAGCCGTTCTTCAGCCATATGTGCCCCGTAGTCAGTAAGTATAATAGTTCTTAGGCCTTTAAAAGTTTGAAACTATAATAACTATCGACTTTAGAATAAGTGCTGATAATTGAGATAAGTACTCTATATCTGGCTATAGCCAGCCGTAATTCCTACATTACTAGAAATAATACAGCTAATAACAGAGTTATCTATATTAGCTTTTTCGTACCAAATTTCGAAAGATATAAGATTTTAAGATATCGATAAATATATCTTGTATCTTTCGGAAATATCTTTTTCTATTTTATGTCCAAAATCTCTGTCTTGAACAACCATAATGATATTGAAGTTAGTTGTAACAGTTAGACAAGGACTGAAAATTGGTCTATGTTGGCTATAGAATTATTTTATATCTACTATCACAGGCCGGTCTATTGGAAAAGATCGATTATTTGTTTTAGATAGCCGCGATAATCATCTGATACCTCGGCTTGATTGGATCTGCTCAAAAGGCAGTATCAATCTGTATGCCTGCCTATGCTTCTGACCAGCTTCAACCGCTTGATGTTACTGTTTTCTCACCTCTAAAACGCACGTACGGGGAGCTAGTCAAAGCTACGATAACGGTGGATTTAACTATATTACTAAAATTGATATTTTAATCAGTATATCCTAAAGCCCACAAGAAAGCTCTTACTGCAAGCAATATTTATAGTACTTTCAACACAACAGGCTTAATTCCTTTCTACCGTGAGCAAGTTCTTGCTGGACTTACGATTCAGCTTGGTGCTTCGACGCCTCCAGACAGCCGACCAATCAGCCAAGGCAGTTCTACACCTAAAACACATATAACCAAACAGCTAAAGAAGGCAGAAGATAGATTGAAAATACTGCTTAAAACTCAATCCACAAGCCCTGAATCACCTGCTAAACTGAGTATTGAGCAGATATTGAAAGGTGCTGAGATGGCTAGCCATAAAGCTGAGAATATGGCGTGTCAGCTTGAGCAATATGAAACTGCCCATGGGAAAAAAATGAAAAAGAAAAAAGAAATCTTAAAAGGCAGAAATGGTCTACTGAGCAGCTTCGAATAGAATCAGGCATATCGGACCAGAAAGTTAGATTGCTTATAGAAAGCAGAAGACAAGCCGATGAGGCTATACAGGCAAAGAAGACATTATCTACTGCATCAGCCATTAAGCACGCCCCATCTAGATGCAACTACTCATGGTACACAGCACCATAGAATTACCCGCTATCCGAATCGATAGAACTACTCATTTATCCGTCGCAACGATTTCCATTGCGGTGTTCAGGAAAGTGCCGGAGATGGAAGCCCGGGCCTGCTCGCTCACTCACTCCGGTGAGCTAGGGCATAGATTGAACATTAGATTTAGCACCAGTGTGCTTCGCTGGTCACAAAGGTTAGGGTGTGAGGGGTAGCATGTTCCACCGCCGCGCATGTAGCGAGGGTCTGGTGAGGCGAGGATGGGCAGGGAATTAAGCCACTGGTAGACATTGGCCCTGGTTGATGAGAGCTTTGATGAGCTGTTAGGCACCCACACATGGTGCATAGCTCCACCACGCTATACCCTGCAGCTAGCATTCCCGGTAATCGTGAGATTCTCAAATTTCAAAACTTGCATTTGAACATAGGTCTCAGCATTTTTGGTTAGCAAAGTGCCTCAACATAGAACTTGATCCAACCCGAGCTTTTCCGACGGGGGTCCTCAGTGAACTTGATAGCATGGCACCTAAATGCAACTCTTGAATCCACATCACTGCCGCAATTCTCAGTTCAATACCTGCAGCTCATAGCAGGAATCTTGGCTGAGCTTTACCCCACTATCTTGGCTCGGCCCGGCCCACACCAAATTGCGATCGGTTCCGTTTTCGTGGTGCTCTGATCCATCATATGCACCTACGGCGGGCTAAATCGAGGTTCCGGACAATGTAGAACATTACCAGCTTTACCAATACCAACGCACTATTCTGTTAACCAATTATCTTTATCCTCTACTAGTTATACAATGCAGCTCTGGATTATTAACGACTCCGATTTTGAGCTGTTTACCGCTTGTTTTACTGCCCTGAGTCTTTTTAAAATTCTATATCTTTAGAAGCTCCCAGTAATTCCCCCGACTTCCGAAATTACCAGTACCCCGTCTTTGGAGACTACCAGTACTATATCTTTGGGGAATGTTCATACTAGTTCTTTAGACTCTCTGAGATTCTAGTATAAATACTAGAATTCTAGAAGTAGTAGTAATATTTATAAGCTCTAGTATGATTTTTAGAGGCCGGGGATTAGATAGAGTTAGAAAGCGCGTGATTTTATGTAAAATAAAAGGATTTCGGTGAAGAATCTTACATTGTCCGGAATCTCGATTTAGTCTGCTGTATGCACCCTTTTGTGCATGACGTGGCCGAATCATATTCAATCCATTCTATAGCCTTGTCACATATCTGCAAGGTTTACTATGGAAGCATTCACTCTAAACTTTCAGTGACGTGTGACATCTCTGGTACATTGTAAAATCAAACTGTGACTATTTGGAGGTCGCTATTTCTACACCAAAAAACAATTTCGGGAGAAACACATTTCTCCACTCCCTACTGGATATCACAACGTCGATCCTAAAACCGTGTGATGTGTAGGACCAGACTTATCTTACAGGGTGGGTGGGTTGTACTTGTATTGTACCAATCATATATCTTTCTACTTCAGGCAGACATGCAGTTGTTCAGGCTGAGGGGGCAACTGCACACTTTCTCCCACAATGGCATATCTTTCCACTGGGCATCCACTTGAGAGGGACATGCTGCGATCGTCCGTGCTCAAGGGACCGAATATTTAAGCAGAGGTACCCTCAGGTGAATGGAAATCTCTCATTTCTCAAAACAGTCACGTATCATTACAAGCCCTAGCTTCTTTCCTCACTTTTCACGTATACCCCTTGTCCTAGAATCTTTCCAGGGAACTACAGTCATTGCCATGTCGTGGTACGAGACTGGCAGAAAGTCCGGCTACAACGAGGGCTTCTACGCTGGCAGGGAAGCGGCGCTGAAGGAGCTCAAAAACCAGGAAGGAATCGATCAGACCAAGCGGGCCTGCTTGGACGAGCTGCTGCAGCGGGATCCAGAGGTTAGAAATTGTTTAAGGATCATGGATAGACTGGCTCTTCAATGAAACCCACTGACACAGATTACAGAACATCTACTACTCTTCGAACGTTCTTCGCAACTTTCTTGCTGATTTCTATCAAGCCGTACGTTCAGCCCTTGCCAGCAACAGTACTGAAGTTGTTCAAAATTACTGAATCCCCCAACTTCCTCGTGTAGGACTATGACCGTGATGGTAAGATATAGATATGAGAGTAGAAAATACAATATTGAGATCTGACCGCACCTTTAGGACATATTACCCTGCAAGAACTATGCGAACGCTGGAGACCTAATGATGAGGAAACTTACAGGAAGCTTGAAGCCAGGTTTAATGAAGCGGAGGTGACTGGTGACCAGAAGTTAACCCTTGCTGGTAAGAACAACTCCGTATCCTCATCTCATAGGAATTTTAACCAGGTGAATAGAGTTCTTTATCATCGGCTTTCTTGGAGACGACCGCAAAAATGGCTACAAGTCTGCCAAGAAGGTCGACTCCTAAATAACTCTATATGTGGTGCTTCGCGAGGGATCAGAGGCAAATGTTATCTACGGAAACTTTGAATCCTTCTTGCACCTTCCGCAAAGCCAGGGCGGCAACATGGTGAAGGTAAAGGAGATCAAAGTATCTATCACTTTACTGCAAGTGAATTCTTTCCCCGATACGAGGGCTATACAGAGCCCATTGTTCACTCGTCAATGATATTCAATATCGAAGTATTTATTAGTCTAATCCTTCGTAATCGGCTATGCTATGCCCTGGGTGCGTGTTTGAGTAAAGAGCTGTTCACTATACAGAGTTACAGGATCTCCAAGTAGAGAATTAGTTACATAATAGGTAGTTCATAGCTCAAGATTATGGCAAATTCACGGTATAAAAGAGTTTAGCTTTGGCTGGGACACAGTGTTCCTTTCGCTCAGCCTCCTCATTTTGTCCCTGTCGATAGCTATAGCTTCCTTGTTTCTTTACCCTGGGCTTTGGTTTTCCATTACCATGTACTATTACACATTATCAAGTCCGACCATTGATCTCTCTTGGGTCTGGGTTATCTTTACTTGGATTGTTGGACCTTCGTTATTGATAAGTTCCGAATGTTGAGCTCCAAGCGAAAGTGGGGTGAGACCGGCCTGGTCTATGGCGTCTAGGTCAGCTTTTCCGGAACGTCCAGACGGATAACGGCCCTTCATCTTGGGCCGCTCGAGCAGCAGCAGCCATGTAAAACCTTCCTTCATTTCTAGGCTGGGAGACGTTGCAATCGTTTGTGGTGTCGACAGGAAAGTAGTGGAGGGGAGACTGAACCTATGAACCGCAATCCGCTCCAGGGAATCACAAATTTTTGCTTCAGGGCTAATCAACTGTCGTGAGACCAGACCGTGACTATTCCGACATTACATTAGTGTATCGATTCTGGCCGATGCACTCCACATGGCCATGGCGCTGCGAAAACATAGTATGTAGAAAGACGCTTAATATCGGCGGGATCATGATGTTAACTCAGTCATCACTAGTAGTCTTCTGGCCTATCACTTATGTCTTCTCTAGTTATTATGTCCAGTGCCATAGGTAACCGAGCCTGCTATAATGAGGAGGATAATATCCCAACGGTCAGCCCTTATCTAGCCGCACTCGATGGATACTTAATTAATTTAGAAGAATGCCTCGTCTCATCTGTAGCCCCCTCGCGCCTACCTTCGTCCATAAACCATAGCTTTCCAGGGCACACTGTGGCATGACTACAGAACAAAAAGTACAGATGCTCGGTGGCATTGATGAAGGAAACTATTTGCCAGAACCATGGGCCATGTGGCTTTTGGCTGGTATAGTGTTGACAGTATTTTTGTTCTTATGTCTTGCACCCTTGGATATTGCAGAGTCCAACGCTACAATATTCCCATCCTGAATGAATGAAAGGTCATACAGTGGACAGCACGTACTAGGCTATTCCACCTTTTGTCAAAGACTCGAGGCCCATTCCTCGCATCTGTAACCCCATGAGTCTTGATCTGGTTGTTTTTCAGTTTTTGTTTTTTTTTTTTTTTCAAGATGTTTATTCTCAAGAAACAATTTAATATATAATTCTATATAGAAATTAACTATATTATATAATAAATTCTTAGTATTCAAAGAGAAAAAATAGAGAAAGATTAATACGTTCTACAAGCTTAATAAATTATATAATTTAATTAGAGAGTATTAGTAAAATATAAAAAGAAAAAGAATAAGATTATTATATCTGGGACTTTTGTTGTCAAGTGACAGGGTCTAACTATGACTATGGTAATACTATAAACTGAGTATTATTAAGACCAGGGTTCCTACAAGTAATATATCTTCAGCAGCAGCAGCATACATTGAGTCGCACAAACGTCTTTCTGACTGGAACAATGAGTTAGAATTTTTAGGTTTTATTTTATTAGAAATTATTGACCCAGAAGGTATTGAAGAGAGGGGTTTGCTGTCGACCTCCCGACGATAGTCAACACGCTGCAATATGCATGTTCCATTCCCAATGAAAAGCTTCGCCAGGTTTTAATCAAGAAGTCCCTGAAATACTTTAAAACCCTGCTTGATCAGGGCAGGCAGATACGAAACGCCATGGCTCACCATCAACCACCGGATGAAACCAGACTGAGAATACTACAAGAAAAGAAAGAGAACCTACCTAGTTGGCTGCAGTCTAATACCAGGCTCATAGCGTCAGTGTTCAACATTCATGAAGTACGAGTTTTCGTAAAAGACACCTTAGCTGACTTGTCAGTAATTGCCAATCCTCTGACTAAACTCAGATTAAATAGTATCCTTATACGACCCAGTCTCAAATACAAGCAACTTACAACGAGAGTATCTATTTTACTTGACAATAAGCCGCTATTGCTATAACGCGAGTAAATTTTGGATAGCGCAAAGAAGTCCCAGAGTCTACGACAGTAAAACGGAAAGAAAAAGGAACAGAGGAAAGTTGTCAAAGATACTGTAAGGTATTCGAGGTCACCCGGGGATACAAGGTTGAGAGAAGGAGAGAGATCAATATCTAAAAAGATAAATATAGGCGTTATAGACTCCAGAAAATGGATCGTAGCTATTATCAACAGTGGCAACTGAGATTAACGCAAGTGGATCGGATTCGTTGTATTATAGCAACCGAAGAAAAGGAATAGAGATTTCAACGTATACGGTATCTTAAAGGGGAAGTCTCAGGTGTGGGTATTTGTTCGTGTATATCCTTTATACTGGTCTTGCTGGCTGTAATTATACCCCTGTGGCTTGGTCTATTTATCCGCAGCTTATAGAAACGAACACAAGGGGTATTTTGGGAGATTGTTCAGTGTTAGGGAGGTGTCTCTTTGAAAACTTGCTGCTACCCAGCTGGTTTATAGGAGGCTATCAAGGTTTGCTTGACACTGTAAAGTATATAGTTATAAAAGATATTATATCTTTTCAACGGGTTGGTTTGGAGCAATATTTATTTAAATCCTTATTTGTTCTACAAGGCTAAAAGATCATAGAGTTCGGGATTAGAGATCCAGATTGCCCTGGGGTCACCTATGTAATATACCGCTGTTACAATCATAGTCAGAATTATCCAATCTTTGACCTAGTTGGGAGCGTGTTTACCTGGATCGTACGCTCTCATAACAATATATATGCCTTCTCTCTATATAGTCCAATACTTGTGCCAACCTTGCACATACGACCATAGGGTGTGGAGAACAGGGCTTCCCGTCCGCTCAGCCGTACTTAAGCCACACGCCGGGAGGTTAGTAGTTGGGTGGGTGACCACCAGCGAATCCCTCCTGTTGTATGTTTTTTTTTTATATATTTTTCTTCTTTGTTGTTGTATCTATCATGTTAATCGCACACTCCAATCGAGCCCTACACCATTTCAAGAGTGGCATAACCTAACTGCCGTAAGGGGACGACATATTCAACAAAGACGAAATGTTTCTTGTCAAGCGGAAACAGCCAAGAGTGGGGTGTAGCTTTAAAAGGCGAAAGGAATCGACGCAAGATATTTAGCGAGGTCGTGGGTGGATTGCAACCATTCGAGGGATGCAGAATTAGTGGCTTTCTGGATCACTCTGACAATACTAGTCCGATCAAACTAGCCCATCATGTTAGTTATGATCGACACTAGTCAATCATATACTTGTGTGGACTTGTCTGAAATATTGGCCTCTCCATTTTTGCAAGACTCGGGGGTTGTTTCTTGTTCCCATCTCATTTGGCCTAAGCTATGAAATCAAGCCCACACAAGAGAAATCCCTTGTGGACATACTATACTCCCTGTTTTGCCAGAGAGTCTGAAAAATGGTATCTTTCATCACGGATCTGCGTAAACTTTCCGCACTAGTCCGATGTTTCTTAGAAATTTAAGCGCAGTATGCGCAAAATTTCGGTATAGAGCTGCATCATCGCATAAGCGTCAGCCGTGGAGATTGTAATGGCATGGTGTCGGATGTATGTATGTACATAGCCTCTGCCGTCCCGCCACGGGCTCCAACAAACTGATCATCACCAACCACCCCATGCCGTGCAACCGGTCCGGTTACCCGGGCCACCTGCCTGGTTTCCAGATCTTCGGCGGCTTCGGAGTCAGCTTTATCAAAGACTACAAGGCCCTGCACGATGCCGGGTACAACGTCCTATGCTATGATCTACGGAATCACGGACGCAGCGGCGCCGGCTCCGGTGGTATAGTTGGAATCGGCCTGTTCGAAGCACGAGACGTTGCGGGCTCGATCAAGTACGCCCGCTCCCGTCCAGACACCGCCCATATGGAGATCGGTCTCTTGAGTCGCTGCTTAGGCGCTAACTCGACGATCGTTGCCTGCGAGAAATTCCCCCAGTAATTCAAGGATATCAAGGCCCTTATTGCGCTGCAACCGGTTTCCAGTCGGGTCTTTGTGGAGGTCGGTGCGAAGAACGCGGGTCTGGATCCTAAGGAGGCCGCTCAGGCTTTCGACACCAAGATCTTCCATATCACGGGTCTTCATATCGATGAGCTGTCCCCGATTCCGTACACTAAGGCCGTCAACGTGCCCACGCTGGTTGCCCAGGTTCATAAGGATTCGTCGGTCGTTCCGGATGACGTGCAAACCATCTACGACGGCATCGGTACTCGCGAGAAGGAGCTCTTCTGGATCGAGGGAACCACTAGACGTTTTGACGGTTACAATGACTTTGGCGAACATCCTGAGAAGATGCTCGAATGGTTCAACAAGTACATGTCTTGATAATGCCTTTCTGTATTAGTACGTTTGTTATAAAAGTCTCATTGATACCAGCTGTTACTCAGAGAGTGTTTGTTAAATACTTTAATCCGTCTGTTCAATTTATTAAATCCGAGTTCAAAAGCGTTAATGTACTCTAATACACAGATATTCCAGAAAACTTCCAAAAAGAAAATAGAATAGAAAATCGTTCTCTATTTAAAGTTTCACGCATTCAAGCTTCAAGATCGCTCTCAGTTCGAGGGCCAAGGCCTTCTTTTCCTGGTCTAGCTTACAGGTAGTAGTATCAGCGAGGCTTCCGTCGAGAATGAGATCAAACTTTTTGTGATTGGTAGACGACCCGGAGTCGTTGTATTTAAGAAGCATATCACATATATCCTTAGGCTTTCCCTTTTCGATAGGGTGGTTGAATACAGTTGAGTCGCGAACTATTAATCGTAGAACCAGATCGTTAATCATCTCCTTATGGAGAGTTTACTTACGTAGAGTTGTTCTATTTTAACTACCCAAGGACACCGATCCAATGCATTATAATCATCATAGGTATGTCCCAGATATAGTAAAGCCTTATACCAGTATAAAGTATATTTCAATATCCGAACCTGCTTGTGTCTCACATCTTACGCGCTTAATGGACGAGAGCATAGTCCGAAATAAATCTACTGAAGTAGATAGTGCTTCCAGATAGATAGAAAAAGAAGAATTCCGAGCTATTGACTTGAATACGCCATGCCGGAAACGACGACAATTTAGATCCGGGATGTTGAAGAACTGGTGGAGACCCCGAATGGCCGGCCGGAGAGTAGCAGTAGCCCTAATTCTGAGATATCAATCAGCTTGAAGATACGATTCCCGATCCCAGTAGACGTATCAAACGCGAACTCCCAGTCATTGCAGGCTGGGGAGCCACGGCTGCTTGTCGGCTGATGGAGGCAATGCTTCTGCCAGCATTTGACAGGCCTCCGGGGACCACTGCAGCCAGTTGGTCTCTGTGTCGAGTTGCCAGCTAGTCAAATCGTTGTATCGACTCTCAAACTCAGCAGAGAATGATACCGTGTCGGTCAAAACCATCTTTTTGTAAACATCTCGCAGTTCAAACGGCCATTGAAAACGGACGCGGGCGCCAAACGAAGCAGCGCACTGTTCGGAGGCATTTTCCATTCCGTTCAAGATCCAGTAGTCTCGAAATTGTGGCCTATGGGAAGGGTTCAGAAAAATATAGTTAATGCTGGGGTTCAGTACCATCGCGCTGCGGCCTCACCATGGGAAAAAGTCTAGGAATGGCTGATGCACTGTGCTGGTTTGTACCGGTCTTTGTTTTACAGAAACAGTCTTAGTCAACCGGGTCTCGGTCATATCTCTGCTGGCGGCAAGACAAAGGTCATGCTTACGTGGGTAACATATAATCCGGAAGAGATGAAGTTTTGTGGGAAACACCCACTCTGTGCTTGAAGCAAGTAAGTACCTTGGATGAAGGTTGTCAGGGAGCGTTAGAAACAAACCAGTAGCATGGACCTCATAATCCGCAGCAGAGCAATTCTGGTAACGGGATCGGCCCGGTAGAATAAGCCCTCGTCTATCGCTTGAAGCAGGCTCCAGACCACGTCGACCTGGGACCGGCTTGTGGCTACTTTCCAGCCGTCTACGACTGCGCGAATGCAGAAGTCATCGTCGCATACTGGAGTTAAAGCCTCATTTCCTGATATATCTGGCAAACAGAACTGCACAAAGTTCACGGCGCTTCCCAGCACCGCAAGATAGTTCCTCTCCCGGTCGGAGCAAATCAAGTCCATGCCAAAGAACGCATGTGCTGTGGTGGGCAGTGCACTGTTTCCGCTGGTCAGGGGTTCATCCTCAGTCATTGCTTGACGTGGGCCGAAATGCTGGCCCGGTTGATCCGGTGCACAAGGATCGGAGACAGGCGTTGCGGTGTCTTGGGCTAGATTGGCTATCTTGCGTAATGTTTCCTGTAAATGGTTGATCTTTTCTTGCTGCTGTGCGAGTTGTTCGCCTAGGTTGTCCTGTCCGTCGGGTCCTGAGAGGTCTTGGAGTGTCTTTTCCAGATAGGTGATATAGGCCTTGGTTCGAGCACGATTGTGTCGCTGGGCTTCGCGGTCAGCTGCCCGCTTTTTCTCCTTCGCTGCGGTGTTCATCCTTTGATTGCGTCTTGTGGATTCTAGGTAATGGAGAGATCCAGGGATTAGGGACGTTGCTTCCAGCCGAGTTCTTTCCGGTCGATGACTAACGCAGCCCGCTATTTGCAACCATTCTCACTATATATAGGCATAAGGCTGTGGCTCAAATTCTTCAACTGGCGCGAATTGACGCAGCATCGGAGGAAGAGGCGTTTCGCTGTAATCTACCGAATACGTTACTGTACAGAAGGTCACGTGTATGATTGTATGGCTTGCACATTATAGGAGATACAAATTTCTGATCTACCACTCCGCCAACTTGATGTAGAAAAGCCAAACTCATCTCCCTTGGAGCTATATATATGATACAAGTCATCAACAGGGGAATACATTATTTCGATTGTTGTCAACTGGGTAGTACGGTAGAATTGACTATCCATATAGTCCACCGTGCACGCACGCCAACTACAACAGCTGTAGGCAAAGTCTTCCAGGTTATTTTTTGAGGAATTTCGGAATCTCCCGTGCGACCGGGGGATTCTTGATAAACGCGCTGACTTCAGTATGGAAGGTACCCTCCCACTCGTCACCATGCAACGGGGTCCAGCCCAGCTTACGACCTAGCACGGCCTTTGTTCGGGCGCTAGAAGTGAAGAAATCGTCAGCATTTGTGATCACAAGACCGCTTAAGGGAGGGAGACAAACTTGGCAGCAAAGGATAGCTCGGCTCTAGAGACACTGCCAAGGGCCAACTTGTCTCCCGCCTGCTCCAGGGTAATCTCTCTGACGTTCGCAGTCGGCAAGACCCCCAGCTCATGGGCTGCCTTGGCCAAACGCACCGAGAACTCGCGATGCGAATGCTCGCCGGTCTCGCAAAAGTAGATGCCTTTCCGACCGGATGGGATCGCGACTTTAGTGCAGATTTTGTAGAGCAGGGTCACATGCAAGCCTGCCACGTCTTTGACGTGGACATGGCTCCAGATTGTGTTTCCCTGGGCCACGACACTGACCGCGCCGCTTCTCACGGCATCGGCGATCATAGCCGGCAGCTGGATTGAGTAGCGGTTGAACGGCCCCGTGCCCTGGCCGAAAATGGTCGGGGCCATGACAATATACGTGGTCACCCCGACCGCCTCGCCAGTCTCTATGACGGTGATATCGGTGGTGCGCTGATGATACGCCTCGCGGGATTCTCGGTACTTTTCGTACGAGTAGATGTCTTCTTCGTCGGAGAAGCAGTGGGTATCGGTATACCCATCCGTGTGGGGGCGATCGCTCAGGTTGGATGTCCCCGATATCTGGATATAGTGAGCCGGGCGATTCGTTTTGGCATGTCTGGTGCCTTGGCCCGTAATCAATGCTTTGGCGGAGGGTGTGTGCCAGCCTGCGCCGGCGTGTATGATGACTGTGTATCGTGTGAGCATGGCCTTAGTTATAAGAATTATCTATGGCGGGATACGCAAACTTACTGTCGAAGTCTGCGGCAATCTTCTCCAGGAGCTCTGTTTCATCGAAGCTAGAAAACGTCACAGGCTTAACACCTAGTTTCTGGACCGTGTTTGCTTGTGATTCGCTTCGCACGAGGGCTGCGATTTCCAGCTGTTCGGTCCATTGCCCCTGAGCGTCAAGGATTGAGGACAAGATTGTGCCTCCACTGAGAATTTGGAGATTAGGACACGCTCTAGATTGCCAGAAAGGGGTTTTCCTTACATGTATCCGGAAACTCCGGTGATAAGTAATGAGAGGGATGTCATTGTGGTGTACGGGGTGGGAGCGTGGGAGCGATCAGCAGAGATTCAATGCCAATAGAGTGCTGACATCCTGTATCAGCGAGCGCCATTTTTAAGGTCGATGGTAAGCACTGTAAATACACGCCGAATGTGGCAAGAAGTGAGGATGTGGGGATTCTTGCGACGTCGAAACTGCGACTCGAAAGTGGGCCCTCCTACGGCCCCTCCGCCATCCGAGCCCTAACAACGTGGTGGTCGAGAGGCCGGAATTTGCCCAGCTCCGAACCATAAAGTCACAGGCAATGCATAAACCATCTCGGCGAGACTTACAGGTGGATCCGATATTCCAGAACAAGGCTTCACGATGGCGAGCAGCCGGCCGAAAATGACCATGAACATGGCGTGCACTGCCCTTATTCCATCGGATTGTCCAGCCGAGTCGATGATCCAAGGGATCGTGCAAGAATAAGCTTGTGCACTGTAAATTGGTCAGCTCAGTTATACACAATCTGGAATTCAGATTCTGTGCATTCCAATGCAGATCGTTATAGAAAAAGCTACATCATTAAGATACAACAGCCAAACGCAGGACTCCATCGCAGATGATAAATAGCCACTCCAACCTCCCCCCAACCAAGTCTCAACAACCACATATCACAAGCATCTTAGCCAGTCGATAATATGTTCCTATCTTCCATCCATCTTCTCACTCTTCCTCTCTTTCTCGGGGCGGCGCTATCTGCCCAGGTATGCCCGCGCGTCCCAGGCATCCAAACATATGCAACAACTCCCCAGACCGGGCCAGTGGACGGTCGCTTCACTTCCTGCGACAACGCCTTCGACAGCCCCAAGGTGCAAGCTGTGAATGCTTCCACATATGATTGGTGGTACTTTGACGCGATCGGAACCGACGGTGTGTCCTCTCTCGCCGTCGTCTTCTTCCTTGAAGCGAACAAGTCTGGCTTCACCGTGACCGAGAACTTCACGAACCTAGACTTTGTGCAAATCTCGGGCACCTTCCCCAACGGCACCGGCTTCAGTGAATTCCTGTTCGCTGACTCTGCCATTGTGTCCACCATGGGTGACGGGTCCAGTGGGCTGTGGAACGGCACGGGTGTGTCCTGGGCTGGGACTCCGGAGTTGTCGGATTATTTCCTGACAATTGATGCGAGCCATTTGGGATTCAAGGGCACTTTCTCGATGCACTCGGTGAGTTGTGAAAACGGAAATTCATAAATGGAGTTGTGATAAACTAGCTGCTAACAAGCCACGCACGCAGGTCGCCCCACCCCATTACCCCTGCAGCCCTAAGCGCGCAAACCAGCCCCTGGAGGTTCTCCCTGGGGTGGGATGGGCCAATGCCGTCCCTGACGCCGACGTGACAGTCAACATGACCATTCAAGGCTCAACTTTGAGCTTTATTGGGACCGGATATCACGATAAGGTGCGGTCTTCAAGAATCCAGTTTCCTAATACTTCCATTAACACACATAAACAGAACTGGGGCGTCATTCCCTTCACCGATGCAGTAGGCAGCTGGTACTGGGGCCACGCGCGCATGGGCCCGTACTCCCTCGTCTGGCTCGACTCGCTCACCCCCAATAAAACCGAATATGCCAGTGGTTATGTGGCCTACCAGGGACAGATTCTGCACGCTGAGTGTGGCAAGATGAAAGTCCGGCCCACGGGTGAGAATGCGACCTTCCCGCCGACGTCGGATTCGGGGCTGCCCGATGGGTTCCGGATTGAGGTCAATCTGGGTGATTTGGGGGCTCTGGAGGCGGAACTCTCGTCGAATTTGGCTACGTTGTCGAAGCCGGGGTATGGGCGGTGGATTGGAACAGTGAATGGGAGCGTTGGTGGGGTTGCTTATGAGGGTGTTTCGGGATATGAGATGTTTAATTTCTTTTGAAGATGTGCGCGGATGTAGTGAGACACAGCGTGAGGATATCATGCGGCGGCTCAGCAGTCGCAGATACCTGGTTCGCACGGTAAGATGAGACGGGGTAAAGGACAGTGGATTGTACGATCTAAGGTGATTTTGAGGGAGGATGTATTTGATATAGATTTAGGAGACTAGAGGATAGTGAAAATAGAGAGAAGTTTCCACCCACTCTGGGTTAGAAAATAGCTTGATGTGCCCAGGATTGCTTCACGTCTCTCCACGATCACCGTTGCAGCCTCCACGAGCAACAGTGCTGGGCCCTGATAAAGACCACCAGGATATGCAACCCTTGCGAAAGCCTCCTTTGGAACCCCTGATCTTTGTTGTATGTAGAGTTGGTCGGGTTCCCCGCTTAGCCCGGCCCGAACCCGCCCCAACCCGGCTCCGGGTCGGGGACGGGTTCAAGATCTAGCCCCGGCTCCGGGTTTCGGGTTCTAGAGTCAAAAC